GGAGGGAGGAGGGAGGGAGAGGGGGGAGGAAGATGCGGATGCTGATGGAAAGGAAGATGGAAAGGAAGATGGAAAGGAAGATGGAAAGGAAGGAGGAAAGGGAAAGGGAAAAGGAAAAGGAGAGGTTGTAGAGATGAAGAAGGTGAGGGAAAAGACGGGTGTTTTTATCGAATGGTTGAGAGATGCGGAGAGTGAAGAGAGTAGTAGTGGAGAGGAAGAAGATAGTGATGAGGATGAGGATAGTGATTAGATTAGAGAGACTCGGAGGAATGTAGAAGAGAACAGAACAGAACAGAACAAATGAGGTGGGTTGAGCTAGGTTGTACTACTGGATATAGATATACTCTAGAACAGAAAGAAAGAAATCGATTGATTTGTCATTTGTAACCCACACGCAATGCATTCATTACAATGTGATACAATGAATGAATAATACTCGGCGAAAATGAGTAATATATAATTAGACTAAAATCAATATCAATATCAATATCAAAATCAATATAAAACTTGCTTAAAACGAATCAAACATTTCTGAATAGACTGATACCATCCATATCTCTGTCGTGCACGCACAGGAGAATTTAGACTAGCAAACTGGCAATAACTATCATTACATCCCAACAATTACAAACCAAAGCAACCCAAACCCAAACCCAAACAACCTTACCATCCTTACCACCACACCCACACCCACACACACACCACCCCTGTAACCTACCCACCCCACTAGCCAAACTAGCTGTGCTCCCTCCTCCTTCCCCATCCTCACCCATCCTCACCCATCCTCACCCATCCTCACCCACCTCCCCTTCATCCACACCCGTCAACTCTTTATTGTCGACTCCTTTTCTTTGGCCGCCTCTGGAGTCCTCCCTTTTCAATTTCCTCTTCCTCAGACAGCAAGGTATCAGGAGTGATGTGTTCCAAACCCATACGATGATCTGAATGACCATCAGCTTCCTTCAGAGACACAGAATCATAGCTTGTTTGCTCAAAAAGATCTTGACTTCCTATCCATTGTGGAAGCCTAGATTCCCTTGCTTTGTCGGATTGCTGCAAAAGCTCCGAGTTTAGATTAAAAGGTAACTCATCGATAACGGAACAAATTCTTTTCAGATGAGTCGGCATCCAGATATCGTAAATATTCTTGGTGAATTTATATGTGGTCCATTTGTCTTTACCATCCTTTGTTGTAAAATCGAACATATAAATCGGATGACGATAAAAAGTGGTTTTCTTTCCATCGATTATAGGATAATGACCAAATATACTTGCGGATTGATGAGTATGCGAGATTGAAAATGCGAGTATCTCTCGATGGAGCTCTTTTTCTCGTTTTACAAATCAAAAAAGTTCGACTATCCCTCTCAATGCAAGTGTCGTGCTGTGAGCATTCTGTCGTTCCGCAACCCAAAGATCTGTGACCTCGCATGTGAGAAATGGGAAGATCATATAGTATGTACCCAGCAAGAAAGACAAATCCAAGTAGCCACCAATATGCGGCTGGATTTTATTAAGCCGATCTTTGTAAATGCATTTCGCTTGAATCCAACAGCATAGTCGGGTTGCGGACGAGGCTCGGTTGGAGGGGCGGAACTGTCCCAGCCTTCGTTGACACTTTCAATCAGGGGGTTTAGATGTTTGGCGCCACGTATAGCTAGAGACTGAGCGGAAGGAACAATCAGTCGACCGATATCTTGAATAATTTTGGCCTCGGTTCTGCCTTGTAACATTTCACACGTTTCTTCAAAGATGTCATCCTGAAACAATGAATCCTCTGGAACTATCTGCTCAGCTTCAAGGAGGGTCTGGCAAACGGTTTTGCTTGTGTCCGTGATACCCAAATCCGATTTATACATAAAGGTACCCTTGGTCTCGAGTAGATGACTATATTGTGGGTCTTGATACGGAGCACTTTTGGCTTCCCTCAACTTTTGATCGGTAGATATAATAAAGCTAGATGTCGAAGAAGATTTCTTCCTCGCAAACAGATGAGCAAATGGGTGAATTAAGACTTGCCGCTCAACCCCCCTTTGCAGGTCTCGCTTGACTTGATGCGTGGCCATATCTTCTGGATCTCTATGTACAGGGAGCATCTCCTCGCTATCGACCACGTCCAGAAACTTCTCTACCATCAAGTTCCATCCGAACAAGAAGGCAAGAGAACTCTTCGAGCTCCAGAAGGAGAGGATTGGTGGACACGGTTGATGGACACGGTTGATGAATAGGTTGATGGACAGGGTTGATGAATAGATGGACGGACAGGTAGATACACAGGTGGATAAGTCAGAGGTGGATTGAAGACTTTAATATGGTAGATAATGAAATTCGTTAGAGTTTAAGATGGAATATGATAGCGGCAATCATCCACACCTAAGCTTTACTTAGTTCCTTAGTTCATACAACGAAAGGTAAAAGTTAAGCTGATTGGAATTGAGAGTTTGTAAGGTGGTGTTTGTTGTTTGAGAATGGAATCACAAGGGAAAGACGAACCGCTTGTGGATATCAGTTAACGCTGACGCTAGGCTAAATATAGACTTAGTCACTACTGTCAATATCACCAATCACTATAAGCCTTATAAGCGTGGTTTCTGTAATTTAATTTTTGATTGGCTGTGAGAATCTCTAATCCGTCTCCAATCATATCAAAATGAAAAATATAATCGTGAGGGGGTGGCACCACTTCACGCTTTAATATGATGGCACTCATGCTTAAATGGGCGAACACCAATCCCACATTAGAAAAAATCAAGTATTGCGGTAAAATTCTTGTTCTTGTTCTTGTTCTTGTTCTCCTTCTCACCAAGACCCCATTCTGTATCTGTATGCACGCATTTATTTCATTCTCTCTATTCTCTCTGTCCTCCATAATAGTATTCTTCTTCTTCTTCGTTTATTTTTCACATGTGACATGCATCCATTTCCATTCCCATTCCCGTTCCATCTCACAGCCCACAGCCCGCCCACCCATCTGACACCACAACACAACACCCGTCTATGCATTCACAAAAACATGTTCTTCCCATCCTACATACCCCATATATACATCTACTGAACAATCGGTGCCTGGATAATCTCGCTAGGAACCGGAGCCGGAGCCGTCGTCCCAGTAGGAATCGTGCCCGGATTAACACTCTCGGTATCAATAACATGTTGATCACCATTAGTCTTCTGAGCAGCAACAGCCCACTTAGGAGGTTTAGCCCAAGCTGGATCCGTCCACGGACCCTCATCACTCAGAGCACAACCACCCTTACACTCACACGAGCCACCGAAAATCTTAGGTAAATTTTCCTTAGGCACCTGAGCCAATAATTCCTTCTGATAGCCGGATCCTAACACATGAATCTTCTCGACGGTAATGGGATCCAACCAGCCCTTAACAACACCAAAGACGGTGGAGAAACCCCAGGGGGCATTGATCAAGTACAGTTTGCCGAGACGCTCGGGATAGTAGTTTTGCGACATGCCGGAGGCTTGCTTCACGTATGCGTAGACCGAGGGAACTTTGGTGATGCCGACGCCCTTGAGATCCATGATGGTGCAGCAGGTTTCGAGGAGGGATCCGGCTTTGCGGGAACAGGCTGGGAGACGTGGATCGGCCATTTTCTCGTACTCGACAGCGAGGTTTTGGAGCATGCGTTCTGATGTGGTGATTTTGTACATGGCGGTTAGGTCGATGTTGCCCATTTGTTCGATGTAGACGGGGCGGCCATCCTGTTGAGGTGGGGGATGTGGTTAGATAATGTAGACTTGAGGATGGGGATGGGGTTTAATGGAGTAATATACCTTATCAGTTTTATGATAGTATTGAGGATAGTATTTGAAAACTTCCTCCTTCTCCTTATAATCGAAAGTGCGAACAAGCTCATCAAGTCCGAATTCTTTTCTCCATTGCTCAGCATCCACGAACCTATCCCAAAATAATCAGTATCTGTCATTACATGCCAACCAATATCAAAGACCAAAAGAACGTTGTAAATAGTGAGGGGGAGCCCTACATCTTCTCTGAAAGCGCGACATCGAATTTACGTGCCCGTAAGAATCGAAGCTGTAAACAGATGATTATGATAATTAGCCTTTGCCCATCCATTACTGTAAAACCACCACAAAATATCAAATTGAAATACGACAATTCAACAATTCAACAATCCAACAATCCAACAGAAACAGAAACAGAAACAGAAGCCAGTAAACCTCGATACTCGATCTGCACACCAATCCATAGCATAGCATAACAGAATCAAGATACACACAGCTCAACCATCCATCCCACCATCCCACCACCAAGCACAAACACAAAATCTCAACCATCAATCATCGAACACACCAAAAAAAAAGAACATACCAAAGTCAACGTATCCAACCTCTCCGTAAACCCCTGCGCCTCCAACTTCAACCTCAACTGCTGCACCTGCGCATCCTGCTCCGGTGTTGTATGACCCGGATGTCCATTCTGTGCTGCTGGCGATGTGGTTGGGAAGTCATAGGTATCGTATTTTGGGTCGAGTTTTAGGGTTGGGTTTGCTGTTGCTGTTGGGGTTGTCATTTTGATGGGGGTTTTTTGTTTGTGGGGTGTTTGATTTGGTTTGGGTTGTGGTGTTGGTTGTAAGAAAGGGTTGACTGTGTTGATGGATGGGAAGGTGTTGTGTTGTGTTGTGTTGGGAGGGGAGGAAATTTAATGGTTGTGTAGGATAAAATTTAATGGTTGTGGGATGGGATGTAATGAGATAGGAGGTTGAAGGTTGAGTTATGCGCACAGAAGGAGGTGACGTTGTTAATTGTAGACGAGTAAACTAAAACCGGTAAATCATAAATCAAGAGGGGCACTAGCTTCGTTTACTTCCTGCCTGTATTGTGCTTTGCTGTGGTGTGGCAGTCTTCGTACTCACTATGACGGGGTATGGAATCCATCCTAATCCCATCCTAGTAAGCGAATCTAGTAAGAAAGAAAGATCCCCCTGAAAAAATAACCCCATGTCATTGTAGTCAATATGGTTAAATCGATATATATTTAATGGGTGAGAGGACCCCTTGATTTTAAATCCCAGTTATTATACGAGAGATATATTATAATCTGTTGTATGTTTTATATTGATCAAGTTTATGTATTGGTTTATTGGTAAACCCAAAAAAATATGTTGAGTTTAATTTCTCTATATAAGATCCCGAAGATCTATCCTTATTTCTCCTTGTATTTGACAGGACTCAGGAGCCATGATTTCTCCTGAATATCATATCATATCATATCATGAGAAAAAATTTGCCCCATTGATTTTTCGAGGACTTTATATTTTCATTATTTCTCCTTCCCGAGATTTAAATTTGTATCATTCATCAAGACTACCAGTCTTTCCATCCTTTTCATCTGCAGCCTCTTCTTCATTCTTTTCTTTTCGTTTCATCGTAACATCCCAATTGTATACCCTAGCCGTAGCAACCTCCATAGTCTATTGAAAAAAGTTTCGTCAGCTTAATCTAATATCTCTCCTCTCCTCTCTGTTGTGGTCTGTGAGTGGATTGAACGTACCGTAATCTGTTCTCGCAAAAAATCGAGATCCTCCTCACAATTTGAGAAACTTTGTTTCGCTGCTGCGAGTCGATTTGAAAGTAAATCTTCTGCCTCGTTGATAGGGTATGATAACATAACATTGGCCTAATCCATCCTGTTAACGCGGCACTATGACCTTCCTCTCTAAAGAGCAAACATACCCCTAACCATAGATAAACCTCTTCCGTAGCTGGAATCTTGGCTTTGGCATATAGAGTATCATTCAACTCAAACGTAGCCTGTAGAGGATCCGAACCCTCCTACCAAAATCTGTCAGCTCCAGTCTCTCCATTCTCTCCTCCTCTCAAACCCTCCCGCCTCCAATCATCCAACATACCTTTCTCGTCTTCAAAAACCTCACCGTATCCAGCGTCTTCTGAATATCCGGCATATTGATTTGCAACCCCGCAACCCTCTTCTGTTGATTAACCTCCATAAACTGATATTTCCTAACATCCAAAATGAGCCAGTGTTCCAACATTCCCACATTCCCACATTTCAACTCTTATTTCTTATATCTCAATAAACTCGAAACATCTCATCTCAACTCAACTCCTCAGGGCCCAACACAACACAACACAACATAACAAAACACAACAAAACATACGATATCATCTCCTGAAACCTCTTCAACGTCGGTTCTACATCCGCGCGCGAATTGACATAATCCTCGACACGATCCACAAACGGCGCAAAAGGAATACCTCGCTCATTTGTGCGAGCTACATCTGTGCGAGCTACATCTTTTCTACATCACACATTAGTATTCAGCAGACACTCAAGCTGCTCCTTGCTTCATTGGTACAAACTTACTTGGTATCTGTGTCCGCCATATTTGGCGTCTGCGAAACAAAACGATAAATAGAATTCGAGAAATATTGACCCCGACTCGACTGCCCACTACAACATATGGGCTAGCGTTCTCGCTTATGTAAGCTGATGCTGGTGCTGCATTTCGGGAGAGCTATTGACCCCCTCCCCCTCTTACAATACCTAATACTTAGATTTACTCATAGACTTAGACGTACTATCATAACAACATTACCACCTAGACCCATTACATATATATCATCATTCAAAACCATCCAAAATCACTAAACCATTACAATCTCCAATTTTACAATTCTATCTATGTATAAAAACTCTCTTTCTACTTCAATCTACTCAACTCTCATCCTGTTACCTCCCAGTATTCCATCCCTTATCATCCCTCCATCCCCCTCCCCTCCATCCCTCCTTACCCCTCCTCATTCCTCTTCACACTCACTCCTCATCCCACTTCTCTCCATCCCTCTCCATCCCATCCCCTTCACCCCTCCTTACCCCTCATCACCCCTCATCACCCACTCTCCATCCCTCCTCATTCCTCCTCACCCCTCCTCATCCCATCATTCTACATCCCCCTTCCTCACTCTACATCACCTTTTACTCTACTCTACAGTACCATACATACCATATCACAAAGGCTCTAAACAAATAAAATAAATAAATAAATAAAATCATTGCTCGATTGGATTCGATATCATACATTTTATTTTACATACTTCATACACTTCACGCACTTCACAAACTCCACTTCACAATTCACACTTCACCATAGAATCAAGTTCAGATACAAGAGTAAAAAAAAGCCCTTTCATGCAGGTATGAAATAGGTGAGTGAGAGGGCAATATATTCTTGGGGAGATGGTGGAATATGATCAATCACAGACAAGGTCCATTTAGTTTACAATCATTCACAGTCAAGAGACTTCGGTAACAAACAACTATTCTTTATCGGCCAATTTATTCAATACCGTACTCTTAGGTATTTAGACAGGAAGGAAATGATTTGATGATGATCAATGATCAATTGTAATGATTCTGGCCAATGAAAATGTGACCCCCCTTCCCCAAGAGAAAGCCATGCATAGTTATTATTAGAAAAGAGACCTCCCTATTCTACATACTAAAAGGAAACTCCCATCTCCGGTTCTCCACCCTCGAGATACTCGGGGGTATCCAATTTGTTACAACTTGGCACTTTGGCTCGATGAGTGTGTATTTAAGCCTTTGCTTTAGCAAGTCCAACAGTGTTCTTGCCAAGATCATAGACGGAATAGTATCTACGGAGGAATGCATCACCCAAGATAGCAAGAGGTCCTACTGGTTCTGGGAAGTCCATACCCTAGAATATTGTTAGCATATGTACATCAGAAGAGTAGATCCAATGAGGAAGCTTACCATGAAGGTGGAAATGCAAGATCCTTGAACCTCGAGAATATAGTCGTAAGGGCCAATGGCAAAGTCATGACCACTGAGAGTGAATGTAAGATCTGGGAGACTGTCACGCTTGGCACAGTCAATGGAGTATTGACCGTTGTATCCTTTCTTAGCACCGATCTCCTTGTTGAGGAGCTCAGCGAGAGTGGATGGGAGAGCAATGAGAGAAGTTCCGGTGTCAAGTATGACGCCAGTGTTGTCAAGCTCGGCCTTAGCATCACCAAAGGAGATAGCATCAAGATCGACTTCCCAGTAAGCCTTACGTCTCAATGGGATCTCAATGATCTCGCCCTCGTAGTGGTCCTTATTGACGCCACCAAAGATAGCCTCGGACTCATCACCATCATCATTGGAGTCACCCAAGTAGAAGGCGAAAACTGGCTCATCCAAAAGACCTTGATCGATCATGCTGTAGAAAGGTGGGACGATCTTGTTGACGGAAATGGTATCATAACCAAGACCCAAAATGCCATCGAATCTGCCAAAGGCAAATGCAAGACCTGGCTCTTCGGTTGCTTCGGCAAAGACTTGGTCCTTGATCTTGAGGTCACCAATAGACATAACGTCCTTAGAGGTGAAACCACTCAAGCTTCCTGAACCATATCGGATCTCGAATGATGTTCCATTCTTCTTGTATGTAGATGATGAGGACGAGTCGTACTTTGTGTGAAGGTAGCACGCGATCGAACCGCACTCGGAAGATGGAACCCAAAGATTGGAACTTCCGGTATCAAGGACGACCTTGAATGTTTGGGGTGGTGTTCCGATAGTAATCTCTGAGAAGTCTATTTAAAATCAGTACCTGATAGATGTTAAGTGTGGGTGTGTGCATCCTTACATTGAGCATTAAGGAAGTTGGAGACTGGAACAGTGTGATCGCCTCCCTCAAGGTGAACCGAAGTCTCCTTGAACATCTCTTCCCCGTGAGATTGAGGTCTAACACCCATATACTTCTGACCCAAATGTTTGGCATGAGTATCCATATTAGCAGTAGCTAGTTGCTCGCTCAACGACACCTTCTTGAGAGGCATCTTGTGAACACCAGCGCTCACACTGCCGAGCAGCGATGCTGCGGCGAGAAAGGCACCCTTCATGATGTCGATTTAATCTTATGTATTGTATGGTATTGTATTGTATTGTATTGATGGAAGGTTTAGATAGAAAAGAGAAGTATTTCTTTGATGGAATTCACAATGTTGATGATCTAGAAGTGGTAGTTGTTGATAAGAGAAAAGGAAGATGGCTGAAGAATTGATGGGATGGAGAGCTTTAGCATTAAGCAGAGCACGGCAGGCAGGATTCAAGTGAAATGCACGAGCACGAATGAATGACGATAGCGGTCGCCTATTACGGTTGCCTCCACAACCGATAACCGATCCACTTATAAGCTCAGAATCCAAAACAGGTACACTTTTGAACCAATAAGAAATGATCATGAGTTCTACTCGCTGGAACTCCTGTCTACAAAAAGATACCGATACCCCGACATTTTGGACGGAACACCATGCCTTGATGATTGATAGTTTCCGAGGAGAGATAGATAATTAATATACAATACCGGTACTGGATACTTATCGTTGGAGCTTCCAAATTTCAATCTGAGTGCTACTGTGCCCTTCGTCGCTAGACTCCAATATAGTTGTACCCAGAGTTTCGAATTCCCGAGGTTCCTTGAATCTTATCATGTCAGGCACCACAACACGGGCAACACTGCAACACTGCTTATGTGGACCCGGCGCCAACCGCTTTTCCGCCCCAGATCTCCAGGAATCAGGTACGAACGAAATCGAAACCTTACAGCAGTTTATCTCGGATTGTAGAACATGACCTTGTTTAATCCTGAAGCTCAACTGAATGTGTATATGAACAGAAGTCTTGTTACTGGTAAGTGGGTGGTCAATCAAGGACAGAGAGAGACGTTGGGTCTAGTATAATACTAGTAACATTCATCAGGATCCTAAGTGTATTATTTCACTGCGTGTTGAGCGGTTATTAGTTTAATTGAGGATAAGTGCAAAGTTCGTAGTGTTTCCCACCAACGATATATTCACATCTCCATCCCTAATAGATATTCCTTTAAACCTTCATTGACGGTAGAAACAGTTGATTTTCTACCTAGGTATCTCATATGGTCTATTGAATCCGACCTCTAAATTTTACTCATAATTCCCCTGCCACTCCCTGGTATATCATGACGGCGTTGAAGCAGTCAAAAGAAGTAGCGCCTGCAAATGATGAATCCTGATTGCTTTTTCTTGCCCACACCCAAACCCTAAACACCCAAACCAAATGCCCAATCATATCACATCTATTCTCTCCAGCCCTCGACTGGAAGAGGGAAGCTGCTAGCCCAGATAGAAATCTCCTTCTTCAACTCGTTGATCTTCTCAACCTCACCACCAGCAACCTTGGCCTTGAAGTCCTTGAGCTTGTTGTCGCTCTTTGGCAAAGAAGCTTGAACCTCTTTGCAAATCTTGATACTCTGATCAATGTATGATGCAACTCTCTTGAAGTCTTCGGTACCGAATCCACGACTGGTCATGGCTGGTGTACCAATACGAATACCGCAAGGGGTCAACGCAGATTTGTCACCTGGGATAGAGTTCTTGTTGCAAGCAATGTTAATTTGCTCCAAGACAGCCTCAACACGGGCACCATCGAGTGCTTGTGCTCTAAGGTCGAGGAGAACCATGTGAGAGTCAGTGCCATCAGCTACCAGCTTGTAGTTCAATTGCTTGAACTCAACCTCGAGAGCCTTGGCGTTGTCAATGACTTGCTGTTGGTATTTCTTGAAGTCATCAGTGGTGGCTTGCTTGAGGGCAACAGCGAGAGCTGTGATGGTGTGGTTGTGAGGTCCTCCTTGGTGACCTGGGAAGACAGAGAAGTTGATTGGGCCTTCAAGATCGTAAAGAGTCTCCTTGCCACTCTTGGCATCAGTCTTGCGGACACCCTTGCGGAAGAAGATCATGGCACCACGAGGACCACGGAGGGACTTGTGGGTTGTGGTGGTAACGATATCAGCGTACTCAAATGGACTTGGGATGACACCAGCGGCGATCAAACCAGAGATGTGAGCCATGTCAACAACGAGATAAGCGCCGACAAGATCAGCGATCTTGCGCATACGGGCGTAGTCGATAAGACGGCAGTAAGCAGAGGTTCCGGCAACGAGAACCTTTGGTCTGTACATCAAAGCGTTGGTCTCGAGTTGTTCATAGTCGATAATACCGGTGTCCAAGTTGACACGGTATGGGAAGGTCTCGAAGTATGTTGATACGGCGGAGATCCTGGCTTATGCATTAGTCTGACGAAAATACGAATAATGAATAACTTTGGCAACTCACTTTCTTTGGGGAGTTTGGTAGCCATGAGACAAGTGACCACCGTGAGGGAGATCAAGACCCATAAGTCTGTCATGAGGTCTCATGATAGCCTGGTAAACCTGGAGGTTTGCTGGGGAACCACTCAAGCATTGAACATTGACACCCCATTTCTCGGAGTCCAAGTGGAATGCCGTAAGGGCACGAGCTTGGCAGGTCAACTCAATAGAGTCAATGTGTTGGTTTCCACCATAGTATCTGGCACCTGGGTATCCCTCAGAGTATTTGTTTGACATGGGTGATCCCAAAGCATCGAAGACGGCGCGGGAGGTAACATTCTCGGAGGCAATGAGGATGATCGATTCACGCTGACGTTGGATCTCAAGTTTCTATATATTTCGTCAGTAATTTGTATAAGGGAAAGGGTTTAATTGTTTTACTCACCATAATCTCAGCGATCTCAGGATCGGTCTCAACCAAGGACTTTTCCAACATCTGTGAAACGTGAGTCAGTAAACTACTCAACACTTTTTATTGAGAGGCAATTGGTATGGTAACAAACCTCTTGGTGAGACTTTGGGAGGGCGTATGTGGAAGACATGATTGCAGTCTGATTCTTTAAAACTACTAGGGAGAGTGTAAATGTCGTTGTAGAATTGAGTTGATTGTTAAAGTGAAGGTTGCTTCTAAAAAAATTCGAAAGATGCAGAGGTAAGTTAAGACAAAGAGGGATACAAAAATTTGGTCGAGCTAAGAGTTGCCCCTCCAGCAAGCTAGCGGCATCGGAGAGGATCTCAACCAATGAGACCCCACAATCATGATCAACACGACTCGCTAAGATGAAATATCCCGTGAAAACCCCATGGTGCGGGGGAACGAACAATGGACAATAGTAAAACTTAAGTATCTATGAGACAATATATTTGATTTTTGAATTGTATAAAGGAAGATTCAGGGTCAATCCTACTATCAGTAAAACGATATAAAGGTTCGCACCCAGCATAATCTAAGTATAGCTATGAGTTGCTTAAGAGTACTTGTATGAAGCTATGGAAGTGGGATTGTCACACAATTATCCATCGTTGCCCAAATATCAAAGACGATAAGGGAAACAGAAGGTTGGAAGCTTTCTTGCTAAAGGGGTTCGCTTCGCTTGGTGCATTGAAGTTGAGAATTCGCGCTACTGTAAGGTGGTATAATTTGAGATTCATCTAGGGTATATTGTTTGAAGTCTACCTCGTGAATGAGTTGACTGCCAGGGCTCCAATTCTCCTTTGAAGAAAGCGAATATCCTCTTAAAACAATTTCAACTATCAGAAATTATCGGTCCGAGACTCTAACCGTCTCTTCTTCGCCTCCTTTTGCGCCTTTTTCTCCCGTCTCGCTTCGTCCTTGGTGGTTGCCGCACCTGGACCCTCAGTGCTGACGGCTCCTGTAGCTTTCTTTTTTGTACTCCCGGAATTCAAGGATGAGATTTTCGTAGTCACAGTGGATGTCGTCGGGTGGGATTGTGAGATAGTCGTATCTGAATTAGAGGATGGTTTTAGTGCCTTACTTGCTGGAAGTATGGAAGCTTGTGAAGCTCTAGTATTAGTTGTTATTTCGGGATCCAAATCAGAAAGTGATCTGGCTTGTAATCGTAGTGGGATGGATCGATTCACGAGCTCAATTGCTGTCTGTTCGTTCAAAATTCTCAGTTCCTGTATTTCGGACGAGGTAGGAGTAGACGAACTCTTGTGTTTTTTCTTCTTATCCCCGGCATCCTTGTGCTTCTTTTTCGATGATTTATCCGCATCTTCTTCAGACTCTTTTCGGGATTTTTTCGTTGTACCAGACTTGGATTTGTTAGCAGGTGTCGAGGCTGGTGGTGCATCTTCCATCTCTACGTCTGATGCTTCGTCTTCCGACATAACGATTTTCTGGAACTTAGGAGGGCGTCCAACTTCTTCTGAATCACTTTCATCATCGGAACCAATGATACCAGGTGCGCTTGCAAATCCAACTGGTTGGAATCGCGCCTTGAGACCTTTAGGCTGTTGGCGGACAGGCCTCTTTGCGGGCACTGTAGCCTGGTCGTTCTGTTGGGAAAGATTGACGACTTGTTGCATGTGATATATCTGATCCACGGGCTTTTTCTCTGCGATGTCAGGTCAGTATGTTAGGAAAGGATCAATCGTAGATGGTCTTTACCAATAGAATAACCATCTTTGGAGCTGCTGGGCAACAACATTTTTGTATATGTTTTGTCCTCAAGCGGATCGAGAACGAAACCATAATCATTGCCGTCCTGTGAAAACACTGCCTTGCCCAGTTTTGCATCTAGTAGTGACATCTCCTTCACAGAAGCAATAGGCACCGATGCAGGTGCTGTGATGTACCATATCTCTTTGCCCTCCAAATTAGAATTGTTGAATAGTTGTGATGCCTTGCTCGAGTTTTTCGAAGAATTCTTTTCAAATCCGAGAGGAGCCTTGAAAGGCGCAACTTTCATCGATACGGTTTTGGCATCTTTCCTAATATAATATCAGCGAACACGTTCAAAATTTGGCCAGCGTTGAAAAACGTACTTGGACGGCGGTACAACAGATTTGTTTCCATTCACATTCGTTTCGTTTTCTTCCTCCTCTTCCTCTTCCTCGTCATCACTCTCACTTCCACTTTCACTTTCTGCGTCGCTAACAGCCTCGGAACTGTCACTACTTTCTGCGGCTTTGCCCTTAGGCTTAGAGTTAGGTTTAGATGTAGATTTCACAGCGGGATTCGATAGCATAGATTCATTATCGCTATCGGAGCTCGAATTGGTTCCCGTTGGCTCGTCATTTTCATTGTCGCTCTCTCCAACGAATTCGGAGCTCTTGAAATTTGACGGTGTTTTAGCGACTGGAGTTTTAGTTGTAGCTTTCGAAGAGGATTTCGAGGAGGATTTTGTCTTTTTCTTTTGCTCACTAGAAGTGGGTTTAGAGGAACCCATTGTAAATGAGTATGAATTCGTTTTGGGAGAAATTGATTCGGGATTCGTTCAATGGTGGTTGTAAATAAATGAAAAATCGCATCGAAACTTTTTTTTTTGGCAAGGCTCGGCCTTGATCGGGAAAACACCGTATCTAAGTTTTTTGATTCCCCAGAACTGAGCTGCCTCACAACTCTCCTCCACAATTCGAACGATCATACATATAGATGTAGAAAATTCTTTTAAATAGAAATTTTCAAGATAATGTCAAGTAAAAGAAGAAAGCTAGATGCTCCTATAAAACCTCGTAAGTTCACTACTGTATTATCAAAAAGAACCATCTTTGCTGAATTCAATATAGAGCTGAGTGCCGTGAGCGCTTTCGCGGCTAGAAAGGCGCAAACTGCTGTCCATGAAACTAGCAAATCACAAAAAGAGGCCCCTTCTTCACGAAATGTTAGCCAAAAACTTTCCCAGCAAGTGACGAAAGGTATTCCCTCCAGAAACCTCAATCGGGGAAAATCGAGTCCAGTCGGAAATGACTTGCCTTCCATAAGTCCAGACTTCATTGCTGAGGAAAGTGAACCGGAAGAAGACCTAGACAATCATGTCTCGAGGTGTGTTCTTTGCTCCTCTTAGATTATACTTTTACCAAATGTTGACGTAGAACAGTTCTGATTCACGTGAGCAGTCGCCTGAAGTGATATTCGACAGGCCGTCGATTGCATTGTCTACTTTTAGGCCTAGTGAGGACAACACCAAAGTGCTTAAAGGCAGAATACTGGTGTTGAAACTTGCGCCCGGTGAGGTCAGTGATCTTGTCTCTGTCAACCACAAACTCTAACACGTTATAGAGATTGGTCATCCTTGGGCAATGTAATCTCGAGGTCACTGAAGGACAAATCACGATCCTAGGATCTTTTATAAAAGCTTCGAAGTTGAAATATCAAATATATGCAGCGGCTTCACAATCGTTGCCAGTAATTAGATGTCCAGATGACGAAATTAACCCTACAGTAATCCGTCTTTATCAGTCTGATTGTGGGATCAGATCCTTAGAGTCTCTTTCTCCGCTCTTTGGGAAGTTATGGAATGAGGATACACAAGTTTTTGGATCAAGGCATAGCTATTCTTGTGCAAAACTTGGGAAGAGCACATTTCAGATTGTAAGTACTCATCACAGAAGCCATCATGATTAAACTAATTCTCTAGCTATTGTCATCCAAGGATGGTCCAAGCAAATCCTACTTGCAACCGATAATTTCTCCACCAGAATGGAACAAAATGTTATCAAAATTGTCCAACTCTACCCAGGCCAAAAAACGATTCATGCTTTGCGGTCCCAAGTCATCGGGAAAATCGACTTTTGTGAAATTACTGGTAAATAGACTTCTGTCTGCAAGTCAGAACGAGGCTCAAAGTTCGTCCTCGAACTCGAGCAAGGGTGCCGGTGTTGTACTACTTGATCTAGATCCAGGGCAACCTGAATATTCTCATCCTGGTCAAGTATCCCTCATCCACATTCGGGAACCAAATTTTGGCCCCTCGATTACCCATCCTATACCTGGAATCAAGAGCCGTCTGATTCGTGCACATGCTCTAGGCGCGGTGTCACCATCTATGGATCCAAGTCTCTACATGACATGCGCACTCAACCTATTTGAGCACTACCGCAGTTTATCTCTCCGTTCCAGCTGTCCTTTGATCATTAATACTCCTGGCTGGGTATTAGGGACTGGGCTCGAGATTCTCGTAGATTTGATAACCAAAGTGCACCCTTCTGAAGTCATATACATGTCTAAAGAAGGTCCCGCTGAAGTCGTCGAACGTCTACAAGATGCCGCCAAGAAGACATCTCTCATTACTCTTCCTTCCCAGTCTAGTGAATATGCAACACGAACTTCAGCTCACCTTCGAACAATGCAGTCAATGTCATATTTTCATTTGGATTCCACGAACAAGAATGAACTTGCGTGGAACGAAACGCCATCAACATCTATTCCCCCTTGGGAGATCAAGTATTCTGGCGAAAAGTCGGGTGTGCTAGGCATTATGTGTTATGGTGAACAACCGCCGCCAGATCTTCTTGCTGAAACCATCAATGGCTCTATAGTATCAGTTGTTGTTATCGAAGACGCTGCTGCAATACCGGGTTATTCTTCCTCTCCGCAAGAACATAACAAGACCTCCGACCTCGACACTCTCCGCGCCTCCAAAGCCCCTTTGACCCTCGACCCCATAAAGACCCCTCTAATCATTCCTACACCCCATGAAAACCTTCCGTACTTCAACCCCCTCAACGCTATAACTCTGGATCCTCAATATTCCCACACCATAGGATCGGCTCTCGTCCGAGGAATCGATGTAAACCGCCAGCGCTTACAAGTACTCACCCCAATTTCTCCAGAAGTTCTTGAACAAATCAATCAGGAGGGCAAGAAAATAGTTTTAGTAAGCGGGAAGTTAGATACTCCAGGATGGGCGTACACAGAAGAACTAATGAAGAGAACATGGTTGGAGAAAGAAAAGAGGAGGAAAGAGTTAGATGGAGAAGATGAGGATGAAGATGAAGATGAGGATAGCAATGCGGAGGAAGATGGAACCGAGACGCTAAATTGGGGGTCTAATGATGCAAATATGGCATTTCGTAACGCTCCTTGGGTCGAGAGACTTACGGGCTCGCAAGGGAGAGGTATAGGTGCTAGAGTGTGGAGAGTTAGGAGGGACTTGGGGAAGATGGGGGATGGGAACTAAAGATTAGGCTCTTCTTCTCCTTCTCCAGTAATGTACTCGAGTATGTCCAAGGACTGATAGACGAATTTGGGGTTTTCTTGGAGAAGAAACATGGAAGAATAAGAAGGGAAATATGATCAATTTTGGGAAACTTGGGTGATTATAGTATTGTACATCGGTATGAGAAGTGAGGATTGAAAAGTGGTTGGAAAGCTTGATGATGTTGATGTCATTTCATTGTGCTGTATCTATGATGAGGAGCACGTATATGGAATGTGTACGGTAATGCCATTCATTTGGTATATGCTAATTGTGCAAATGTATATATTTTGGATACGTTCAAAGTATATGCCAGGTACAAACAATTATATCTATCTATCATCTTCATCTCCATAACCATCTCATCATAAATACTCTATCCAAATTCCACAAACCAAAACGACCCAAGAAAAGACGCTCTCTATATGCCAACCAAAAATCACAATACAATACCACTGCACTCCACTCCACTCACCACCCAAACTTCTCAACCGCTATTTTCAAATTCCTTCCTCCTTTCACAAATTCCGCACACTTATTATTAACCGTCCTATTCAACCCATCCGGCCCACTAACCACAACCCCAATCTTCCTTCGAATTCTCCCCTCCTTCCCACATCCCCACCCACGCACTATCCCCTCCATCATCCCTTCTAAATCCGGTCTACCGACTTCTGACGTCGCACCCGGTATTATGATCTCGACCCCCTGATTCTCCATCTCCTGCCTCTCTTGAGCACCTATCCATTCAAGATGCGACCCCTCATGAATAATCCAAACCAGCACAATTCTCCGTCTCCTCACATTCGCATGCGCCCCATTCTCAGCATCTTTGGTATCCCTCTCGAGATCCAAAAGATGATGCACAATGGGCCATTTAACCGCAATACCACTGCCGCCCGCAACCATAATCGCAAGATCCGAGTCCTCGAGAAGGTTTCTCGCGTGACTACTGCCGTATGGACCATCGAGTCGACATTTTAGAGTCTTTTTGATATGGGCGGCTCGAAGGAGATCGGCGGAGAAACCATCGCGGGCTCGGATTAGCAGGGATAGTTTGGAGGTTTGGGAGGATAGAAGGGGAGCTGGAGAGGCGATGGTGAAAGGGTGGGCTTGTAGGGCGTGGGTAGAGCCGAGGGAGGGAATGGTGAGGAAGATGTGGTCGGTTGCGTGCCAGCCGGAGGAGATTGAGTGGCCGAGGGTTTGGGAGAGCATGTTGCTGGGGGATTTGGGGAGATGGAAGGTCATGAGGATTGTTTCATTATCCTCGAAGACACTGACATTGGCCTAAGTGGTGATTGTTAGTACATCTGATCAAGAGATGGAAAAAGTAGATGAGGGACTGAGAGTAAGGAAGTACTAACCTCAGCCATGATACTTTTTGTGCCAATACGAAAAACCAAACGATCAACAATGAATATCGAAAGAGCTAATCCAACAGAAGTTTTCGCTCCCCGGTGATGAAAATACAGAATGGTTAAAGCTGCAGCTTGCAACACAACGTGTAATCCCAAGAAAAGTTCATACCACCGCTGACGAAATGAAGCCAGTGACGTTACATACAACAACTTATACGTGAATAAAGCTGACAGTCCCAAATAGATACATGGATGAGATAGGTATTCGAACAATGTCCAACCTCTAAAAGGTTTTAAGATCGTATACCACATCACGAACATCCCGCCGGCATGAATTAGCGCCTCGAACATCATCAATTCTCCAAGTCGTCGATGAATAATATTCAAGGACTCATATGAAACGCCAATTAAAAGCTTCAGTGGCTGGTTCTTTGCACCGAGGATATAGAGAAGTGGTAGGTTGACGGCAAAGACTAAGCCAGCTCGATCCCCAAGTACGGAGGCTTCGAAAGTGGTGAATGGGATGTTGTAGAAGGTGTAGAATAGATTTAAAGCGAGAAATGACAGGATAAATAGTGAGGAGCCATTTGAAGGGAGAACTTTGTTGAAATATGGGATTGGTCGAGGTTGATATATCAGGAATGCTTTGATGCGGGATGTAATCGTGCTTCGACTCGATTCGAGGCTCTTGCGGTTCTGGCGGTGCAATAGAGGTGTATATTCATCCCAACCATCAGGTTTTAGAGGAGGGGTAATCGATCCCAAAGTACTGCTTCCTGGTGAACTAACACCGCTATGCTCTGTTACATCATCTCGAATCGTCTTAGATGGTTCATCGTCAAGTAAGTCGTAAGAATATCGAGGCCCTGCCCTCCGTAAAGCCCGCTTTCTCCATCGTATAATCTCTCCCGACCAATGTACGACCGAAAGTATCAAAACAATCCCCAAAATCGCCAATGGATAAGTATTGATAATTTTCTCGTTGAACAAAGCACCATCAATCAACTTCTGGAATTGATTATCATCCGGCTTCGGTGATTTGGGCTTAGGGTTATCGATGGATGATATGTGGGAGCTTGTGTTGAAAGTAACACCTCGTAAAGTATCGTACATCCATTCCGAGAGAGAAAAATGTGATCGAATGGTATTCATGTGTATTTTTTGAGCAAAGATGCTGTGTAACGAAACTAAAAGGGATATCCGGCGGATCAGATTAGATGATCTGATAAGATCCAAGAGGCTGACTAAGTTAAATGGAGCTGTTCATGCCCCAGCAAATCATAGCACCGAGCACCGACATCGGATTTAAACGTCAAAGTGGAGTGAGTGTATGCACATGCAAACGAGACATGCAAACGAGGCATGCAAGTGAATGAAATCTTTATTCCAATGACCTGAAAAGGCTCACCGGGAAGGCACACGAGGGAATTCGAAGCAGGAGTTCAGCCCACAGGCTGCTCCTTCCTTTCAACCTCAACTGGGTATTGAGGGTGCTGGTAGTTGAAACGGGAAAGAGCATAATAAAAAACGTTGATATCACTCGGTGGTATGGTGGATTCTTGGGACAATCTTAGACAGATTAACATGTGTGAAGCTATTCCTACATTGAAGTGTGAAAGCCTAGGTACATGGGCGTGACTGCCGAGCTCGTGATCGCGTTGCATACTCACCTACCGGTATATCGCAACAGAAAGTATGTCCTTTGATGTCCCTGCTGAGATGCAGCGGTATATTTGCCTCCCTAAGCATGCTCGCGATCAATCTCTTAATTAGTTTTAGTAACTTGTTGCATATCTCTCATACCTCTCATACCTGGGTAGATCACGGTGCATGCGATCTCGAACAATCCTAACGAGTGCTTCAATTAATTCATATTGCACTCTGGATGAGAATCGATGCTCTGTTGCGAGTGCATAGAGACTTCGGAGAATCTATGAATGTTTTAGCTATGCAAAAGGAGTAAAGCAAAATCACTTGCTAGAGATTATCGAGAGCCATTCCGTACAAAGCTTGTGTGTAGCAAAATCGACGAATAGCCAAAGGGCCGCCTAGCAGATGCATGTTACCGAACACCATATCATCCATGCCTGGAGACATGATGCATGTAGACCACCCAAGACATTCTTGCAATTGTAACGTTTTATACTTTCTATACAGTCAGTAAATAATGACGGGAGAAGAATGTAGCTACAGTCTCTAGAGTCTAGCTATATAGTAAATGAATGAAATTCACCGTCATATTCCTCCGTTCATTCAGACTTTTAAACTCATATACGCAGCAGGCCTACCTCTCCCGAGACCAACTACTATACTAGCATCTGAATGTGATAACCACCCATCATTTCCAACAACTTACAAGTGAAGATGATAATTAAATGTTGATTCCTGCTCACTGCATTTCCCCAACATGACTTTCAATCGAAGAATCAGCCTTCTAGAAAAGAATCACGCCTAACATCTATCCTCATCTCACCCTTTCTCATATCTTCAAGAAGAATGAATAATCTTCCATGCCTTCCACCCAAACTCTCGCCACACAAGCCTCAAACAATACACAACCGTACATTCACTCACCTCGTATCCAATACAGATGTATGTATCAGCCTATTCTCCTGATAAAATCAAACAATGTGAACAAATAAGTCTTTCCTCTCTACTTTTATAATATTGAATATTTGTAATCAACAGGTAAGCCTGGATGCTGCATATACGAGTAGTAATACCCAAGTAGCAGTCCCCAAGTTCAGCTCTCACTATATTTATTGTACGCTTCCCTACCATCAACGAACGAGATTTCACTGGATTTCACTTTCACGTATGCAATGTCGGCGAAGTTTAATATTGGCGAACGTTGCTATCCTTTCCTTGCCAAACTACCTATCATACATACATCATCTTCGAGGCAGCCCCATCACTCTCTGTTCATGCTCACTAACTCTACCACAGGAGGTTCCCAATTGGGATCCTCCCTCTTCAACTTTGCAAAGATCTGTCTCAATCTAGGAAACATGTGATCCTGTGCCCTGGACACATATCTCAACTCCGGATCATCTTCCGGATACATATACAAACGTCTTCTCTTATAATCACCGTACGGGACCGCTACCACAAAGAACAAATGCTCGAGCTTCTTGAAGAGTTCGGTTCGCTGGACCAAGGCTCTGCGAGACCAGGAATCAAAGTTGAGAGCGAGGGTTGTGATGCCTTGATTGACGGCGTTGAGGATGGTATAGTGTGAGTTTTCAATTTCTCGGTTGAGGATGCTGGGATCTTCTTCAACGTTGATTTGGAGATAGATGATGTCGTTGGGGTGAGAGTAGACGGGTGCATATGAAGCTTGGAGGCATTTGTCGTATTGCAGAGCAAGGGTGTAGTGCTCTTTGAAGGCCACTTCTCGTGAGCCTTGACAGGTGTATAGAAGGGGAGAAGGTTTTTTGTTTGAGACGAATCGAGGGGTTTGGCTGTGCTCTCGTACCAGGAAGATAGAATACCTCAGTAACGACGTCAAGACTTGTGTCTTTGCGAATTGTAGCTTCTTTCCAGATTTTGAGTTGTAGTTCCTTGGGGAGGGAAAAAAAACAACGAAAACACGCTCTCTCGCTCGTCTGGACTCAGATGCGGCCATCAAAAGCTTTATCTCCGCGTCCCACTCATCGAGTTTGGCGCGCATATCAGCTCGCATAATTGCCGTATCTTTCACAATGTCTGGAGTCATATCTGTAGTATCAGCGTGACTTTGCTGAATATTTGAATGATATCTTTGGCAGGAGCGGGATTGACAACTTGTGCAGAAGTATGGCAAAGATTGGGAGCGAAATGTTGACTAGGTCTGATATATTGAGAAATAAATTGATTGCTCGTCACCTCACCGCAAGCGATCAATTGGGATTCTACCAAAGTTTTATTAATAAAGGATCCAAGACTCGAAATTGCCATGATTTGAAAGGATACACGACTGGAGTATGACTTCTCCAAAAAGTGACAACGGAGAGATAAAATTTAAAACAGAGATATCAAATGGTGTTCACCTTCACTGTTTCTCTCTGCAGTAATTGCAGCCATTGAGTTGGTAATTTTCTCCATCTTGCAGTATGAAATACGTTGTCAATTTAGGAAAGCGTTGATAGAAGAGGGGATCACATTTGAAGATCAACAGCCTAACGACAACAACAGAATTACCCGACAAGAAACCGGAATAATATCACAACTGAGAAAGGTGAAGCAAGTTTTAATGCTGTTAAGACAAAGTTAAGTATTTAGAAGTGTCTTTAAAAGATTGTGGTAATATAATAAATGGCAGGAGCGGTGGACTTTTCAGACTAGCTAATTACATGCCAATGCCAGCTCAGGTGAGGGAATTGGAAGGGGAAGATGTTCTTTTGCTAAAAACGCATTTCTTCACCTAAGCAATAAATGGCTTCCACTGTTCATCAGTATTATATGTATCTTGATCACAAATTGGATTGTATGTGAGAAGCTATTGAAGTACTGTACGTACTCAACTGTAAAAATGGTCAGGATGATTAAGCGAATGAGTTCACGTGATAAATCGTCTAAAACTACTGGTAACAACTTTGAGCCTAGCGCATTTTTACGGCATCCCACGACGAAAAAAATAATCCTAGAAGCTTCTGAAAATTTGTGGAAGCTTAACTTTCAATCCAACAAACCAACCATCAACGACAACATAATATCGACAAGATGTCTGCCGTTGATTACCTTCTCCATGAGTCGGCCACTGGGTTCGCAATCTTTCAGGTTGTGCATCAAGCCGACACAATTGGCAATCGCTTGAAGGAAGTTCAAGATGCTGGTCAAGATCTTGCGAAATTTGGCAAGATGGTCAAGCTTGTGAATTTTGCGCCATACAGGTTAGCCATTAATGCTTGCAGAGCGGAGAGTCTGAATTGACAATTACTCTAGAAATGCTGCTGAGGCGCTCGACAATATCAACATGGTCTCCGAGGGTGTACTTTCCGATTACCTAAAGTCGAACTTGGAATTGAACATGCCAAAACCATCGAAGAAGAAGAAGACCATCCTCGGTGTCTCAGACAAGACTTTGGCTGGTAGCATCAAGGAGGAATTCCCAGGTGTTTCTTGTGAGACTGGTGAAACTTCCGAGGTTGTCGCAGACTTGCTCAGAGGCTTGCGATTACACGCACCAAAATTGTTGAAGGGTCTACAAGTGGGTGATGTCGAGAGAGCTCAATTGGGACTTGGACATGCATACTCGCGCGCTAAGGTCAAGTTCTCGGTCCAGAAGAACGATAACCACATTATCCAAGCTATCGCTACCTTGGATCACCTCGACAAAGCTGTCAACACTTTCTCTATGCGTGTCCGTGAATGGTACGGATGGCACTTTCCAGAACTTGTTCGACTCGTTTCCGACAATCACACATATGCCAAGCTTGCATTGGCAATTGGCAACAAGAAGAATTTGAACGACGAATCATTACACGATATTGCCGCCATTGTCAGCGACGATGGAGACGTTGCCCAATCAATCATCGATGCTGCAAAGGTTTCTATGGGTCAAGATATTTCGGTCGCTGATATGGAGAATGTCTCCGCATTCGCAAATCGTGTCGTCAAGCTCGCCGAGTACCGAAAGTCCCTTTTCCAGTACTTGACCGACAAAATGGCTATTGTTGCACCCAACTTGGCAGCTTTGATTGGTGAAGTTGTTGCTGCTAGACTCATCTCCCACGCTGGTTCCCTTACCAACCTCTCAAAATACCCAGCCTCCACTGTCCAAATTCTCGGTGCTGAGAAGGCATTGTTCAGAGCGCTCAAGACCAAGGGTAACACACCTAAATACGGATTGATTTACCACTCCAGCTTCATTGGTCGCGCAGGCGCAAAGAACAAGGGACGCATTTCCAGATTCTTGGCAAACAAGTGCAGTATTGCAAGCAGAATCGATAACTTCACTGAGGTACCAAACAACAAATTTGGTGAGGCTTTGAGGGCGCAAGTCGAGGAAAGATTAGAATTTTATGCCACCGGTGCCGCACCAATGAAGAACCAGGATGCTATGGTAAGAACTATGAAGAACCGCAGTTGTGATCTATTGGCTAACACATTTGACAGAAAAAAGCAATGGATGCCGTTCTCGGTGATATCAACGTTGAGGATCCAGTTGCTAAAGATACCGAAATGGCTGACGTCGAATCTACTCCCGTCGCCAAGAAAGAGAAGAAAGATAAAAAGAGAAAACATGGTGAAGAAGAGGGTGAGAAGAAGAAGAAGAAGAAGAAGAGCAAGACGGAATAGATTCTTCTTCATGATTACTCAAGTGTACACATGGTCAAAACGTCTTCTCCTTTTTCTTTCTATCTTGTAATTTTCGGGCAGCTGGGTCACAATGGCGGAGTATAGATGTGTTATTATGGGCGTTGAGGACTATTTTTGTTTCTTCCGTATCTCTGGCTTGCATAGGTACATTATATGGCTAGACGACACTATGAGGTGCATAAATTGGAATAAAGCATATAACTCAATACCTATGCAGACATTCTTCCATATTTGACTTTGAATCTGCACTATCAAAGTATGAGACATGACATTATTTGACTCTCGTATTGTAATGGTATTTCTGTAACTCTTCGCCTTTCTTATTCGGAAAGATTCAATTCATGCCGGACGTTCATTTCAGTTTAGAACCCCATCCATTTATAAACGCCTTGCACGCCACCATGCCATACCCTATACTCCTCTCCCACCAGCCACCCTCCGCACTCCTATGGAGCCTGCAGCTAGCTTTGCATTCTTTTCTTGCCATTACCTGTCTAGCCGAGCCGATCATTGCAGCAACGGGACACGGAAATCAAGCACCTTCACTACCAAACTCATTGGTCCAATCCGTACTTTTCTGGATGTCTTCTTGTGAGACGGTGGGTCTAGCTCCCTTGATGGCTTTGATGAAATCTTTTACTTGAAGAGCTGGCTCGAGTAGTTTATCGGAATCGATTTCAGTCCAAGACATTTCCATGGCGCCAGCATCGCCAGGCGAGCAGGGGGTTACTTTTTCTATGCCTTCTGAAATGACCTTTTGGGGATGTCAGTTACTTTTCTCGGATTGTGAAGAAAACGCGTTGCGGGGCGAGGAGTGAAGAATTTACCTTTTTATAATGTGTAGCAGTCTGAATCTTCCGTACAGGTTGCATCAGCGCATCTTGAACCGCAATACTGATATCACTTCCAGAATACCCTTCACTCAACTCTCCTAATTTCCTGTAATCGGCGGCCACGAGTTCACAAGGTGTACTTCCGACACTGATCTCAAACATTTTTGTTCGTGCAGGTAAATCGGGGAGAGAAATGTGAACACGACGTTGGAAGCGACGTCGAATGGCGGCATCTAGTTGCCAGGGAATATTTGTCGCACCCAGAACTAGCACGCCTCGACTGTCTCGTCCTACACCATCCATTTGTACAAGCATTTCCGTTTTGATACGTCTTGAGGCTTCCGATTCTCCTTCTCCTCTAGGTCCGCAAAGAGCATCTACTTCGTCAATGAAGATAATAGAGGGTTTGTTTTCGCGGGCCATGGTAAATAGCTGCTTGACTAATCTGTTTGATCATTAGACATGCCCCAAACTTCAGAGTAGGAAATCAAGAAACATACCTCTCACTCTCTCCCATCCATTTACTGACCAAATCCGAACTGCTCACACTGAAGAAAGTACTATTTGCTTCCGTAGCCACCGCCTTGGCCAAATAACTCTTTCCCGTTCCCGGTGGTCCATATAGCAGAATACCCTTCCAAGGCTGTCTTTTCCCTGTAAACAAATGCGGAAACTTAATCGGCAGAATGACCGCCTCCTTCAGTGCCTCTTTGGCTGCTTCCAAACCCGCAACATCCTCCCATTTGATATTCGGTTTATCCTGTAAAATGGCACCTTGTAATGCATTTCTCAATTTCTTGTTTTCCGGGTCGCCTTCCTCTTCATTCGCTTTGCCTCCCGTCGAACTCCCATTCGCACCCATCATGCTGGGTTTCTTCCGCTTGCCTTCCGCATCCGCAAGATGTGTTTTTAGCTTTTCGGCTCGTTCCATGTATTCGCCGGCTTTGGCGCGGATCATTTCCTTGGACTTGGTATTCTTCTCATATTTGAGTGCGAGCATGAAAAGTTCGAGGGATTGGTAGTACAGCTGGTACGCTTTATCATATTCGGCTGCGGTATCAGCCTCGATTGCCTTCTTAACCACGTCTATGGCGCGGCCGAGGAAATCGGTATTGGACATCTTAAGGGTGGGGTTTTTGTGTGTCGATGACGATGTCTGGGTAAAGAAGCTGCCCGGCCAAGTGAAATGGATCTCCCGTTAGTTTTGAGACACGGCGTCTGTGACTTTTCTCGGAGGACACCTGTAGTGAAGTTTGGCTTGAGTGTCGTTCTATCTGAATCTGATTAGGTTGCGATTCGATTTCGATAGAAAAATGGCAATAAACAAGGCCAACAAAAGGGACTGCAAGTTAGAGCTTTTAGAATTGTAAAGTTGTAGAAACGAAAGATTAACTGACACAAGTAGAAGCTAGGTTCTCTGTGCGACCGGTATTCTCGTCTTATATATCTTGAGCTTGTGGAGGGGATTGTGAAAGTCTGGGTTGTCGCTTGAGCTTGAGCTTGGCGGTGCGGTGTCTTGGTTGCCCCGCGATTGCGCTAGACATCATCTCAATAATTTGATGCTCGATAAGGGAAATCTACGAAATTTTGATATTGACGTATAATTCGAAGATATATTATTCTGCTATTCTACATTTACATCTTCAAGAAAGCAAGCACCTAGTAGATAATCAACTTACCCAAAAACTCCCTAGAATTACAGCCCAGAAATCAAATACCCTCACATCTACCACCATGGCAGAACAACAGCAGCATCTTCAAGCCCTCACAGAGGAATATCAAAAACTCCAAACAGGTCTTTCCCCCTCCTTTCCCTTCTCACCTCCACACACACTAACCCCCCTCAGATCTCCAAAACTCCATCGCCTCCCGTCAAAAGCTCGAATCCCAACAACAAGAAAACAAGGGCGTTCAAAAGGTACCCTTGCCCTCCTTCCCTCCTCTGCCATCCCCTCTCCTCCCATTTCGATTCCATATTCCCCTCCCAACCAACATGCACACTAACTCCCCTCTCAGGAATTCTCTGCCCTAACCTCCACAGCCAACATCTATAAACTCGTGGGCCCCGTCCTCCTAAAACAAGATAAAACTGAAGCGGTTATGGCCGTCGATGGGCGCTTGGAATTTATCGAGAAGGAAATGTGCGTTTTCTATTCTATTATTTTTCTTCTACATTCTTTCTACCTTTGGGGACATTCAAAATGAAGTTTTGGGAATGAGTTGTGGGAAGGAGTTTTGGAGTTGTCATAAGTTTAAGTTGCTAATGTATTTCTTTCCGGCAATTAGAAAACGAGTAGAACAAGTTCTTAAAGATGTACAGGATAAAAGCGACGGTTTGAAAATGGAGGTATGTTCCCTCTTACTCCTTCTATTTTACTCCTTTTCCCCTAACAACTCACCCCTCCCAGATAATCAAACTACAATCCGAAACCCAAGGAGCGCAACCTCAAGCTGTTGCATAAATCCTTATCAAATATGAGAACGAAATCAAGAAGAAAATCAGTCGGGCGGGCGTTCACCAGTAATGTACATACAAGTATGTAAGGGAGCATTTTGCATGGCCATGGGCGTTAGATATCCATTTACCACGTACGATCAAGGGATTGTATATGGAATGTTTTTGCTTATGGCAAAGAAAACGAAAAGTGATTTTTGTATCAGAGTCGCGTGGGCGGAAATTGTTCCCCTGAGAGAGAAGGGGGACGTTGATTTTGCTGAACACCTCACCAGTGAAGTCTGTATATCAATGCTCAGCGGCACCTAAATCTACATGCTCAACAATACCTTTTCCGTTCTTTCGTTCATAAGATCATAAATATACACACACATATCAATATCCCATTGAGATCAAGCACCATATAATCCATATCGTTTTCCTATCGATTTCCTATAATCTTCCCAACGATTTTCCAATTGCCCAGTAAGCAAAAAACTAGCAGGGCAGATCCAATCACTGTTCCCCCTATACACCCAGTACCTACAGACATGATTTTCTTTCCGTCCTCATCCTCACCCCCATCTCGATTCCAACCCTTCACTCATAGTATGTGGGACAAGAAAATCCGGGGAGAGCTTCACCATCTATTCATCCACCCATCTCCTTCCAATCTCAAATTTGCCTGGATTCCTAACCTTCCTCCCTCCTCCCCCTAACCCTTTATGTTTACACATACCGCAAACTACAAATCACAAATCGTGCCTTCTAAAAAATGCGTACATGCACACACAAGACTCATCAACTCATCACGAAAAAACTCCCAAAAAGAGGGTAACAATATCAATACATATTAATCAATAAAAGAGCAAAAACAGAATAAATCATATAATTCTATTCCATTCCATTCCATTCCACTTTCTCCTTTGATTTATTGATACTTTTTCTCGTGTGCTTCCAACCAACTACCATTTATTCCCAACTTCTTCCCCTAATATATACAAATTACTGTATGTCATCGATTCCCTCTCGCTTATCTCCCCCCTTTTTATTTTCTCGATACTTGTTCTAGTGTATTATCCAACCCTCTTTCCTTCCAAGCTTCTTCTCACAATCTACTCGTATACCAATGAAACCCATCGGTCTCCACTTGCTCCTATTTCTCTTTATCCCCTTTGCACTTTTCCTCGTATACTTTCCGACTACATTTTTCTCCCAACATACAAGTGAGATCAAGTTTATCCTCCATGAGTCCTTGACCTCAGTTCTTCCTCCACTATTCATTCCCAATCACCAAATCCAACACTTCCTTGTACTACATATGATCAAGTGACAAATATGTTTTAGTTTCTTCATCTTCTAGATCTAATGTCTCAATATTATCTAAAACACGATCTTGTATCTTCGTCTTGAGAGATCTCAACAATTACGAGCCCAGTGAGCCATGCTCTCCCAAGCATACTCTATTCTCCGCACCCTATATAGATCTTCGCGCATCGAAGTGATGTGATATCCACGCGCTTTGAAGATACCACTCGCGTGGTTGTAATCGGTAAGGAAAAGAACATATTTATACATCTATCCATCTATCCATCCATCCATCCATACATTACATGTACACAAATATAACTAGTGATCCTCTCTTCAACCTACAAAGATAAACATAACATAACATGACATTATATAAAATAATATATTCCACTCCTCTTCCTCCACCTCTTCCCCTTCTAAAAACCTATTTTCCACAATACCCCAGCCCACCCACCTACCTAGCCACAAATAGGAAAGTATCTACTAGTATATGCATAATCCGTATAACATAACAGTAACATTCCTTACTCTTATTCTTATTCTCAATCTCGTTCCTAATATAATATGAGGATTCTTGAAATCAGATATCAGTATTAAAATCATATCCACGTTTCGTTCAATTTTCCATGAGGTATATAGTACTACTCGAGTGAGTATTGAACAAAAGGAACTATAAATTTATATCTAAGGTTATTTTCTACGAATAAATTACTGTTTTATATATTAAATTATATTCAATATAGTTAGCCTAATCTGATTTTTAATTTGAGGATACTAGTAGATTTCATTCAAATAAATACATTGTCAAAAATCCAGATAATGAATACCGATAGCTATCCTTTTTTAAAGCAGCATTTTTATCAAATATATTATATATCTAGCGTGATTTTCATTCAAGTTGTAATTACGAATCTGTATAAGTAATTGATTACCTGCTCAACTCTTTGCAAATCAGATTATCTACCCAATATGTGATGTGATTACTCTTGCAGATCCGATTGAAATTACTGTGAACTGGACTTTGAACGGGCTGTTAGACAGGCAGACAGACCTACCTCTGTTGGTAATCATCAAGTACCGTATTGTATCCCTTAAAATTCGTATTACCTTTTTCATTTTATTTTCATTCTTCGAGTAGTTCTCTCTTTTCTTGGGAGTTTTGTTGTATGTACTCGTATATGAGTAAGAGTACTCGAGTAAAATATGAGGATATATATATGATGTATGGATGTTGTAGGAATATACTTGTAGATAGGGTTGTGGAATGTGAGAGTTGAATTGTATGGTATGTTATAGTATAATATGATACGATATCATGATGGCATGGTATAATATTACTAAGTATATCGTATTATTGTTATTGTTATTGGTTTATTGGTATTGGTATTGGTATTGAGAATCTACTATATAGGATAAGATTTACAGAATAAAAGTTATACTCAAATAGAATAAGAGGATTATGATATAGATTAGAGATGAGGTATATATACCCGATCGAGTATATATCTTCTTATATATAACTGCTTTTAAACTTTAAGTTTCAAGTTGAGTAGAGTAGGTAGTCCAGAATGAGTCAACTAAACTACTACTAATCCCTATCACCTACCCTATTATATATCATCCTTCCTTCCTCCTTTCCTCTCTACCTTCCTCGCTTCCTCATTATCTCCCCCTTTCCCTCTCCTTCTCCCCTTCTTTCCCCTTCTTTCCACCCCACCCCATCTCTTTTCATTTCCACATTTCCACATTTCCATCCTACCTAGTCTACCTACCTAGGTATACCATATTCAAAAGTCACATCTTATAAGTCACAGTATATAAATAATAATATCTAAACAACAGTATACAAACAACAATATATAAATAACAGAATGTGTATATATTAATATACCTACACTCGAGTATACATGTCCATCTATCTGGCTCACCTTCTCACCTTTTTATATACCTTCCTACTCCATTCACTTATCTATTCAAATATATCTATAATACCCAGTTTTAAGACATGTATTATCAGATAACCTCCACTTCTACTCTTACTCCATCCCCATCTCCCTCTCACCTCCACCTGCACTCCCACCTGCACCTCCTTCTCTACCTCCACATCAACCTCCATCTCTATCTCCACCTCCATTCCTACCTCATTCATCTCCATCCCTATCTCCACCTCACCTCCACCTGCACTCTCACATCCATCTCACCTCCATTCCCACCTCTATTCCCTTATCCATCTCACCTCCCCCTCATCTCCATTTCCATCCCCCTCTCTACCTCCCTCCACCTCATTCCCATCTCGTCCTTATCTACCTCCATCTTCATCTCTTTCTTATCTTCCCCTTATCTCCATTTATTCCTTTCATCTTTATTATCTCATTCCCACCTCCATCTCCACCTGCACCTGCACTCCCGTCTCCCCCTCACTTCCCCTCCTACTCCCCCTCATCCACTTCCCCTCCCACTCCTAACAAACCCACCCCACACACAATCTTAACTCTTCAATCTTAACTCTTCAATCCAGTCTCCAGTCTATTATGCATCGGGCTCAACTTCTAATTTCCAACTTCCAAGATATAATATCAACATAAATACAACACAACACAACACAACACTCGAGTATAAAAAGATACATAACATGAAAAAGATAGATATGTTTTTTTGATGTTTTGTTTTTGAGATACTCAGGTAGCGTGTATATGTATATGTATATAAATACCCGTACTTGTATATATACTCGAATATGTATTGTAGAGTACATAGAGTACATACATACATATACTTATACTACACATATACCACATATATAATATTTATCCCCCCCCCTTCTCTCTTTCCCACTCTCCCTCTCCCTCTTTCCCCCTCCTCCTCCCCCCTTTCACTCTCCCTCTCTCCTTCACTCCCCCTCCCTCTCTCCCCCTCTTCCTCCATTCCTCCATCCCTCCCTCCATCCCTCCCTCCATCCCTCCCTCATCCCTCTCTCCATCCCTCTCTCCATCCCTCTCTCCATCCCTCTCCTCCTCCTCCTCTTTCCTCTCTCCCTCCATCCCTCTCTCCCCTATCCCCCCCCCCAAAAAGTATCACAAAGAAATCTACACATCCACATCCACATCCACATCCACATCCACACAACTCAAAATCACATCCTCAAAATCACACATCCACACAACTCAACAATCTCAATCTCAAATTCCAATTCAAATTCCAACAAACATTGTATATATCTATCTACCCATCTACTCGAATATATCCCACAATTTCTACATCACATCCATCACATCCATCACATCCATCACATCCACCCATCCAGCTATCCAATTCTTCTCCTCACCATGCCATACCCATCCCATCCCCCCTCCCCTCCCTCCCTTACCTCAGAATAAGATAAATGTCGATCCAAGATTCCAAGATTCCAAGCAAGCAAGAAAGTTAGTTAGTTTAGATAAGCATAATCACAACACACCAAACCAAACCACAAAAAAATGTAGAATGAGATTGTCTAACGCCCGCTTGTCCAACCAGATGATATTTAAAAAAAAAAAAGTCAAAGGAAAAAGTCAGCCTCAAAAAATAACCGCAGGAACTCTATAAAAGTAATTCCCTCCTTATCTCTTATAGCCTCTCGAATCCTCCATAGCCTAGACTATCCTATCCTGCCCATATAAACTCCCAGGGTAAACCTTCTTTACTCTTCACGTGTGAACGAATATCCATATCCAGTTTCCATATCACCCATCCCATTCCATCCCTTAAACCACCGTCTCACTCTCCTCACCACTCGCAATTATCGGCACTGATAATCCTCGATCTGGACTTTGTAATACCAATTGTTCGTGTCTCCTGGCTCGGATGAAATCGCTGAAAGCTCTAATCAAGATGAACCATCCCACTATCATGAGTGCATATGCAAACCATTCATTACTTGCAATATCCGAGATGCCTCCGCTTCCAGAATCCATTCCTGCTGTCGCGGCTTGATTAACCTTATCTGGGTCGAAATCGTGGCTATTTGGATCGGGAGGTTGAGCATATGATGCATCATTCCCACCTGATGGTGGCGTGACAACATTCCCTGTGCCTTTCATGTAGAAACCATATTGGATGAGTGTAATTCCGAGACCAGCACGAGAACCATTCTTGGCGGCGTGTGTAGTATGTAAGAGATATGTGAGGAGGAAACCGACGAGTTGAAATGACATCGATATCATGCCGTTCCAGACAAAAGAGAATAAGGATCCAACTGGAAGACCTTCAACATATACTTCGTCTAGCCCACCAAGTCCGGGTGCGAGAATGGTGGTTTCCCAATATGGTGGAGCTGCATCTGCCGCGGCTTGTTCATATGTCTATGTCTCGTCAGTGTAGGTTCACAGGATGACAATAGATATACATACAGGGGGATGTTCCTCTTGTTTCTCGCCTCTCTCAGGTTTAGCACTTAGATTTGCAAAAACACCATCAGACCCTGAACCACCACCATACACTCTTCCACCAGTTGGTGGTACAAATGTCGGCAGTGTCGTCACCGTCCTCTGAGTCGCTGGTCGGTTCTCATCACCCGGCGTTTCCGTAGTCAGCCTTTCCGTCGACGATGAAGGATTCCCACGCATTAATCGTTGTCTATCATCTCCATCATTATCCTCATCATCAGATCCATCATCACCAAATGTATCCGCTAGATTCTGATCGACGGGCGCTATGTGGTGTCGTGAAGAAGGAGAAGAGGTTCGCGATCGGAAGGATGGTGGAGGGGATGTAGGTGTCGGAGGGGTATCATCATTCGCAGATACCTAATCACATTATGTTAGTATGTATATAGCCACTACATCCACTCCTTCAAACGTGGCGAGGATTAGCGGAGGTTACGCACCCTCTCATATCGTTGCGAACTCATATTGAATTCGATATTTGGCAAATAAAGAAAAGGGAAATGACGAAGGGAACAAGACTCGAGTGTGAGCGAATGAATGTGAAAGGTTTGAAAAGGAGAGGTCGTGAAGTAGGTAAAAGGAAGAAAAGGAAAGGTGGTTGCGAAAGTCAGGAGATTTAGTAGAGGAAGAGGAAGATTCCTTTCGGCTTTGTTTGAGATGTGAGATGGGGGTTCAAGATTGTTAGGTGTAGTGTAAGTAGCGCTTCATTCATTCGCTAGAAATCATCTATATTTTGATGAAAAGGCGCAGCAGAAACAATGGAGTTTTTATTTGTATTAAAGAGATATATATAAATTGATAAATAAAATATTCAACTCATCTGGTTTACATTTCAATATCGTCCAAAGTTTTTGAGTAATTATTTGACCAAGAATCAAATAATCACACCTAAAATCATGTCCAGACCCCAAATCAAGTTACTCCTCATCCCATCAACACTAGAACCACACCCCCCAACCTCTAATATCTAACTCCCAAACATAGCACATAACATAGCATAACATAGCAGCACCCACCACATACAAATCCGCATCCCTCCACATCCACATCCATACCCATCCAACATCCATACCCATCCAACATCCACATCTCGCACCCGCATAGCATAAACACAACAATGCACTAAAAAAAAAAGCTATACCTCATACTCCATCCCACTCCACTTTCTTTTGATCAAGCACTTATCAAGCAACCCAAAAAAGTAATGACCGCATACCACTCTTCAACCATACATCTGCATTGAAAAGCCCCCCAATCTATTTATCCATTTACTCCTTCAACCCTTGCTATTGTTGTATCATCTTTCACACTACGAGTATTACATTATATTACATTACCTTGGTATCCAATTGATTCTTTCTAACGATACGATACGATACGATACGAGTAATCAATTTCAATTCAATTTGGATCAAACAATCATGTCGCTATCAGTAAGTTTTCTTTTTCTTTTCTTTACCCCTCCAATTTCATGATGATCACGATCAAATTGCATTTTTTGTTCTCTCTCTCATGTTGGTTTTCTGGAATATGCTGGGTGGGATGTTTGGGGGGAGATGTCTGGAATGAGTTGTTGCAGTTATTGTGGTCTATGTCTATGTCTATGTCTATGCATCACTTCATACTCCTTCATGCTCCCCGCCCTCTCCCGCATCCCCTCCCTCTCCCCCATCCTCAATCCCCCCCTCACCCCTCACCCAAACCCAACTAACACCCCCTCTCCTCCCACCTCTAGCCCGCCCACCGCCACTACATTCGCGCCCTATCCCGCTGGCCCAAAGATGCTTTACGCCCCGAAGCCCAATTCCAAGATGCATTGCGACGACGTCTCGCCCGTGTAACCGCTGCTAGTGCCGGCACCGACACATTCAACGAGAAGCGAGAATTGGGGCAGGTGAATGCTTTGTATAGTTTGGTTGAGAATCGGTATAGGATTAAGGTATGTTTTCTTTCATTTTTATTTTGAATTTGGGACGAGGGGGTGGGAGTGGGGTTGTGGCTAGAAGAGAAGAATAGAATAAATAGGAAACAATGAAGGAAGACAGAAAAGGGGAGTGTGACAAGAAACAAGGAACAAAAGAGGAAGACACAAGACACGACCCCAAGAAACCCCAAACTAACAACCAAACCCCCTCACCACCTCTCAGTACCCCTTAACATCCAAAATCATGAAACCCGCCAGTAACCCCACATACTACGAAGATCTCATCAAGGAGCTCGAAGAGGCGCCTCATCGGAGTTGGTTTCAGCAACAGGTGAATAAATGGAAGGGGGCTTTACGATTTCAATGAGCAATGAGCAATGAGCAATGAGAGAGAGGAAAGGAGAGGAGAGGATCGGCTGATGAAATGAAATGGATGGAATGTATGAGTATGAAAATGGAAGCTTGTATCTTGTAACTTGTATCTTGTATCTTGTATCTTTACTATTGGCGTCTACTCTACTGAATACAATGAAACACATGAATGGATACATCACTCACTCACTCAGTCGGTACATAAAAAGTGATCTGACTAGAATCGATGTATCTATCTATCATTGGAGAAATCATAATGCATTCAAGGACTTTACTCATTACTAATGCCCTAACATGCAGACATCAAGCTCTCTCTCCCTCTCTCCCTCTCTCTCCCTTTCTTTCTCCCACTCTCTATATTCTCTCCTCTATATCCTCTCTCCTCTATATTCTCCCCCTCCCCCTCCCCCTCTCTTTTTCCATCCACCCACCCAAACACAAGTAAAGGTAAAGAAGTAAAATTTAGATACGGTAAGTACTCCTGATATATACATATACATACACCCTCACCACACCTCACCTCACCACACCTCTCCCTCTCCCTCTCCCTCTCCCTCTCCCTCTCCCTCTCCCTCTCCCTCTGTCTTACTTTCTTTTTCCATCCACCCTCACCACACCACACCTCTCTTCTCCCCTCCTCTCCTCTCCACACCTCTCCTCTCCACACCTCTCCTCTCCTCACCTTTCCTCTCCCCTCCTCACCACACCACACCACATATCATCCATCATCCACCATCCACCATCCATCATCCATCATCCATCATCCATCATCCATCACCCACCATCCCCAGTATATATTCCAATTCCAAAATTTGAACACTATAGTACTATACTATACTATGCAATATTACATAGCCTTCCAAAATCGAACACCCCAGATAACATAAGACCAGATAAGACCAGATAAGATAAGATAGGTATAGTAAGTATATCAAGGAAAATTCTTCGAGGTCCGTCCGGCTTGTATTAATTACATTACAGTATACCTAGTAGTAGTCTTACAGAGTTCGGCTTCGGGAGTTGGAGTTGGTTGGTTGGAGTTGTACTGCGACTATCCTTTTCTTCTCTTCTCTTCTCTTCTCTTCCCTTTTCTTTTCCCAATTTCCAAAGCTAAAGAAAGAAGAGCTAAAAGCTCTCTTCCACCCCCCTCCTCCCTCTTTACCCACCTCAAATATACCTACTCTCCGGATCCACCCTCCCCATCAACTCAATACTCTGCTCATACATCGTGAACACAATCCCCCCACTAAGAATCAGCCTCCCCAACCTCGGCAACGCGCCACTCCAAAAAGTCCACACGCCCTCATTCTTCACAATCAAACTCGCGCAATGGAAACTATTGCGATACAGAGTGCGCGCCTCAATACTCTGCATGCGCGTCTTGATCGTATCGAGCGGTTGCGTCACATACACCGTGATGATACCTGCTAACCCGCCAATGCCAAATGTAGATAAGACGCCGAGTTTTTCGCCCGGTGCAGTGTATGATTGCGCGAGTTGTCGCAGAGAAGTGTAGGAGCCGAAGCGCACGGCGGAATTGGCGGATTGTCGTGCCGTGGTGGGAACGAAGCCTTGGAAGAATCCGCGGAGACCGCGTTCGCGCGCGATGATGGGGACGGCGTGGAGGAAGCCTCGGAGGCGTGGTGTGGCACTTTTGCGATCGTCGATTCTAGGGGAGGGAGGTGGTTAGATATATGTATATATATATGTATGTGTGTGTGTATTGTAAAGAGGAATGTAGAAAGGGCAACAAACAAAGTCGTCTTGATACTCTCAAAAGGCGTCACCGCCAACAAACTTTCCGTAACCCCTGCTCCAAACCCCGCGATGACAGTCCTAGGCCCCGAAATCTTTCCATCCGCATCTTGCAGCATGGATTTATACTGATCAAAGGCGACGAATCCTACACTCACACACCAATCAGTAAGTATGCGCACGTACATTCACTTCCCCTCTTCCTCCCTCCCTCTCCCTCACTTCCCCCCAAGCTCACCAAAACACACACAAATCAAACAACAAACAACCAAAAACAAAAAATAAAAAAAACCCCCCAAACATACGAATCCCCGCCTTCAACGAATTCCCAATGATCAACGTCGTACACCCAGCATACCACGCCTTTCCAAACGGAGGCCACGGTAGCTTGGCCGCATCGGGTAATCGTCTGTTTAGCTGCGTGCGCGTTTTGGCAAATTCAAAGGGGTAGGTGATGGCGATTTCGACGGCGCCGGCGGTGCTACCTGCGATGATGCTGCGGAGGGCGGTGGGTCTTTGGTTTTGGGTTTGGGTTTGGGTTTGAGGGGATTTGGAGGGAGGAGCTGTGACGGCGGCGGATGGTGGGGTTGGGGTTGGGGTTGTCATTTTTTGTTTCTTGGGTTGGGATAGGATAGGAACTGCGGTGCGGAATTGGGGAGTAGGGAGGGAAAGATAGTGGGTTGGTTTTAGAGGTATCAATCGCTATATCTAATCTGAATTAGAGAGAGAGAGAGAGAGAGAGAAAGAAGTGCAGGGCGCGACACGACAGGGATTCGTTCGATTCGTATCGGGAAATAAAATATTTATATTTACTAGGTACTGTACCTAGCTAGTTGGGCTTATCGATTATGAAATTCTGATGCAATTACACCCGATACCCGATAACTCGGAGACATTCGTATTGCATTGCTGCTTTAAGCGAGGGGTGGTTGGTGGTTGTACTGACTACCAAGTACTTGCACTGCGGTTTGATACTGTAGATTAGATTAGATTGATAGATTAGATTGATACTCCGTATGTACCTACTACACTGATCTTGATTGATTATATTTATATTTACGAGTACAGGATACAATTAGTAATGAATGAGTGAGAGCAACGAGTGAGGCGGTAAAAGGTAGATAGATGATTAATAGATGATTAATTAATTGATGTAGTATAGAATTTGAATTACTGTACGAGTAGATAGATCTAGAAAGTCATTTTCATCTTTATATATTCCATCAATTATCAATTATGTACCTACCTATCTATCACCTACCTACTACCAATCTACCTACCTACCTACCTACCTACCTACCTACCTATCTCTCATGCTTCTCATCATTACCATCATCATCATAACCTAGGTATTATCATCACAATAATCATAATACCTAATTCCTTGTCTACCCTACCCAACCGGGTACGATCGATAGATAGATACATGCTGCCGTATTAATATAAAGTGAAACTGCAAATCACCCTCCTATCCCCACTCTCTCTTCATACAATATATACACAGCACAGCACAGCACAGCACAGCATAAATAATATAATAAGATCTCGAATTTGAATTCCTCCCTCCCTGTAATAAACTACACTACACTACACTATACAGACATACAGACATACAGATATACAGACAACAAAAAGAACCGTGGCTCATTCATGCAAATATAGGTAGTCTAATGTACAACTAGGAGTTGTATAGTAGTATGTAAGGACTGAACTCCCCAATACTCCCTCCATATGCATATCGGCCCTCCCTTCTCAACGCCTTGGTAAGATTACCATTTCAACCCATACAAAGAGGTGATTTTTTTTTCAAGAATCAGAAACTCTACAAAAAGAAAACATGTCGATCGATTCCAGCCAGATGTCATCGTCCCGTTGCCTACTCTTATTGATTGAATACCATAGGTGTTCCTCCTAAACTTGGGGCAAGTTGTATAGTGCCATATCCTCCAGGCATACCGGACATAGAACCCAACTGCTCTCGCTCAATCTTCTCCTGCTCCATGCGTGCTCGATCAGCTTTTGTGATACGAGATTTACGGGCTGCTGTGTTTCCACCACGAGAACCAACTCCGACTGATGTACCAGCAGCCTTACCACTCGAACTAGCACGACTTGTGGTAGTGGTGGCCTTCTCGCCAGCCACTTTTGGCTTTCTGGTGCGAGGCTTCTTTGCTGGACCTTCACCTCTACGTAACAAGTCAGTTATGGATCCAAATTCATCACGGGTTTGCGGTGCGTACCTGTCGAGTGTGGGTTTCTCACCCTCTCGAACGAGAGGGCCTGAATAAACAAAGAAGCCATCATTTGCAGCGGCAGCTTGTTGCTCCCACAACATCTCAGAATCGTCAACAAATCCATCGTCCTTGTCGTAATCATCCTCCTTGGTCTTCCTCTTTGGCTTGGCTTTCCTTGTACCACTATCGGTACCAATACGTCCATCACTCATTCCACCCATTTCAACATTACTGCCCTCTCCTTCAGAATCCAGTGACATTTCATCACCACTTTCCTTGCTTGAACCATTTCGCTCCAGGGCTGCACCTGCAGCTGCAACTCTTGCAAGTCGATCGCGCTGAGCTGCCAGTCGAGGATGTAAAGCATCCCAGCCATATGTCTCCTCAGCCATACGAGCAAAGTTGACATAGACGTTAACTTCGCCGTTCAAGGGGACGTCAAGCACGATTGTCGGAGCACGAGTTTCCGTACCATCATTATCTCCAAGCTGCATCAGGCCAGAACCACGAAGAGGCGGTGGGGTAAGAAGAATAATCTCTTTTTCTTTTTCTTTTCCCTTGGTCGATGGCTTTGGAGTTGATGTTCCTGAGATTCCGTTGGTTGCGTTTTTCTTATTCGAGTTGCCGTTGGAAGCTTGGGGCTCCTTTTGCGACAAAACAATTGGAACGGAGAGTTGTGTTGGAGCGGGCATTGGTTGCGACGTTAGTGTGGGGGTAGGTGCAAATGTACGACTAGTTGGATCAGAAATTGCCGATGTACCAAGTCTATTAATTATTGGGGACGCAGGTAAGGAATGTCCATCATGTTGACGTTGCTGATGCATCAAAAAGGAATGAGCTGATGGTGATGTCAAAGGCTGATTGGGAGGGTCGACAAGGCTGGAGATGGAAGGTGATGCACTAGCACGATTGGCAATTTGAGGCGGAATCGGGGATCCTTGGGAATTGTTGTACGAGTGATGACTGAGGAGGGTTTCTCGCACAGGATCATAATTAGATCTAATGGGATCATAATTCTGACCACTGGTACGAGTCGTAGTTTGAGATGTTTGTGTCAACATTTGTGACTGAGGTTGAGGTTGAGGTTGTTGTGATTGTGATTGTGATTGTGATTGTGGTTGTGGTTGTGGTTGTGGTTGTGGTTGCGGTGGTGGAGCAACTTGTGGTAGGGATTGAGGTGGGGCGGAATTGAAGAAAGATTTGGGGATAGCCTCACTTTCTCCCGATTTGGCAATTATAGCGTTTTGTATAGGTGGGGTTGCAGGAATACTGAAATTGGTATCGTTCAAACGCATACCAGGAGCATCCGTAATTTTTGTTTGTCGAGATGATTCTGCACCCATACCAGTTGTGTTTTCAGAAGGTGTGGCCTTCTTTCGTGATCTGGCAGGTGGAGCGTTCGGGTCTCTTGGTTTGCGAACTCTTTTAGGTTTTGGTGCGTCGGTATTGGTAGCCGAGCTAACATCTCCAGCCTTGGTTTTAGGTTTTCTAACTGCCTTCTTGCGGGCTGGCTTCTCTGATGTTGAACCAGCTAAATTAGATTGATTGACAGTACGACTTTGCAGATCATCCATCTCAGGACTTGATCGTGGTGGAGATGATAAATCGGAGTTGCTGTTGTTGGAACCCATTTGTGGCGAAACCTCGCGAACATTATGAGAATTTGACATCTTGACCAAAAAAAAACCTCAAATCATTTAAGTTTGAATAATTAATTGTCTATCAACACCATCTATTGATTTTTGAAGAAAGGTGTTGTTCAATCTTAATCTCTACCTTTCTCTCTGCGTGATTTGTAACCCGTGCTTGTTGTTGGCGGTTGTTGGCGAAACGAAACGAAACGTTGGTTGTACGGATGTTGCGAAACTTCTGAATAGCTTCAATTTTAAGTCGGAGATGAGAAAAATAGAAAATGGTCGTTGTTGATAAGAAGCGAGGTAACTTCAATCTATAAGATAGAGGAACAAATAGATTAGATTGTTCAGTATCTAATGGTGGTAATTTGAGACTATGATAGATAGAAAGTCAAAAAGGATTGATGGAAATAGAAAGATTGATTGAATAGATGTTGAATATTTGTTATGTGTAAAAGAGAAGAATTGGGAGTTGAGTTGATATTGGAGGGAGAGCGGGTTGGAAGGGGAGAAGGGGGGAATTTAAAGGTCTTGTACTTTGGATCATACTACTTACTTACTTTTACCTTTTTACTTACTACTTGTACGTTTTAGATTTAATTATTTCCTAATTATTCAACAGATGCCTTAAAGAATCTCTTCCCGCGCATAGAAAAGCGTAATAAGGTAAAAATGGAAAGAAGGGGAATTGAATTTAGGAAAAGGGAAAGGGAAAGGACGGTTGCCGGAACTAATATGGCTAACATGAATCAATGAATGGATTATTTGGTACAAGTACCTAGCTAGAGGAAGTGAAAGATAAAAGATGTTAGACAAAATAACCGTAGCCTTCCTTTCTCAAGCGGTTTCCTTTTTTCCCCACTTCACTTGGTCTGGGCACTTCATAGAAGGTTTCGGGTTCGGGATTTCTTGGGTTAGGGATAAATAACCCAGGTATAACTAATACTGGTAGTACAGAGCAGGTGAGGGTTAAAGTCTGGTTGGTCTTACAAAGAAACATAAAAGAAGGGGTGGGTTCATATACTAGGTAGTAATAAGGAGATTGATTATAAGGATGTGGATGTGGATATGAATATATGAATGTAGGGGGAGTAGAAATACTATACTGTACATCATTCATTCATTCTCCCTTATCGATATCGTGTCGTGTTGAAGAAGAATCATGATGATCACTTCTTCTTCCCCTTCTTCTTCCGGGAGTACACTACGAATCTATCATTGTTGTTGAAAGCATGCATGCATGTGATATTAATACCCAATCATCATCAATTGCAAGAGAAGCATTATGGATAACATTATGGATAACATCTCCATAACATGCAACGTGTACCGGTAGTCTCAAGAAATCCATCCCATCATCATCACTATCTTCTATCTTCGGGAAATCATTTGATGTTCCCCCACCCCTTATGTTCGGACCATGATTGATCAATTAATTTGGTAATTTGAAGATATATTGAATGCACCTGATATTGGCTTTTATGTCAGGGTACTATAATAATATGCATAACCTCGATCAAAATGTAACAATGGAATATTTGTTTCCATCGAGATGTTGCATGTTGTCAATCGTTGCTCGACGTCTGATGGCTTCCCAAAATAAATCTTGGTAAAATGCAGCTAGTCAAATATGGTATAGCGTATAACCTTAATCTTGTTAGAGGCTCATGCTTTTTAATATCCTGGCAGCCTTGCATAACGGATCTTAAATTTCCCCACAACCTAACAATTTAAAAAGACTACAGAAATACAAACATGGAGTTTCGTGGCCAGAGATTTACTGTTAATCTTTCGGATGATGAGGAAGATGAGGGTGAAGTCGGATCAAGTTCAAATATTCCATCGGATAATGTCCCTTCATTTACTTCGGCGTTCGTCGCAGATGTTAAAGAACGCCCTACCAAACCACCAACAGCTCCTCAGTTAAAAACTTCGACAACCGGTTTTCCAGAACACAAAAAACGGATACGAGTATCGGCATTTAAGAAACAAAGGGCGGGAGATCCGGATGAGCCGGTGGCAGATTCCCCCAATGCCTATGGGGTACCCTCTCCTCAAGGACGTCCAACACCCGCAGAGCCGGTGACAGATTCCCCCAATGCCTTTGGGGTACCTATTTCTCAAGGGCGTCCAACAGGCGCAGAGCCGTCCACACAAGAAGACGAATTTAGTATCGACAAGGAACGAAAGAGAATAGATAAGGAAAACAGAATGAGAATAGCTTCTATGTCAAAAGAAGAAATTGAGCAAGAACAAGAAGAACTACTTTCTACCTTAGATCCTTCATTGATTCAACGACTTTTGAAACGGGCAAATTTTGACGATGGGCGTGGGGATACCGGAATCGACCCCCCTTCTTCGACTCAACCTTCAAATAGTGATAATAACCAAGCCACAGCACCGGATAATAAAGTTGATGCCATTCCTGCTCCCAAACCAGAAGGCAAACCAGTTGCGCCTCAAAAGTCTGTGAGATTTGAAGAAGATGAAGAGCCGACAAATCCTATAGATCTCAGGCCGGAATCAGAGTCGACTTCTAACGTTCCTGAAATCCCGCAACCATCCATACATTTCCCTACTGCTTCCGCGGTTCCAGACTTAGATCCGAATGATCCTTCATTTCTCGAAAACTTACACCGAAAATATTACCCATCACTTCCCGCGGACCCATCAAAGCTTGCTTGGATGGCACCAATACCTACTCATGGTTCATTAGCAGATCAGGAGTCTCCTTACTACCCCGCTGCTGAAGCTTTGGCGGCTTCAGCCCTTCGATACGATTTCAGGGGTGGTTTGTTGCCACCGAGAATTGCAAGAGCTATGCCAGTTACCAAAGGTCTACATCATCATGGCGAGGCTCCTGAAGCTGCTGGATACACCATTCCGGAACTAGCAAGACTAGCTCGCTCTGCGTTCCCAGCTCAAAGATGTATTGCATTCCAAACTCTGGGAAGGTTTCTTTACAGATTGGGTAGAGGTGAGTGGGGAGATGTTGGTACTGAGATGTCGAAGGGTCTATGGAGAATTGTGGAAGCAGGTAAAATTGTTCAAACCCTTGAAGAGGCCGCCAATACCGAGGGAGGACACCAAGGTAGTAAGACTTATGCGATAGAAGCTTTGTGGCTATGGCAGAAAGGGGGCGGGCACATCTGGAAAGCAGATTGATGAATTACGATCAATGATCCTCGCTCCACTATATCAAAACATCTTTCAAAGCTTTCAGAACACTTTATTTAAAATCATTTATAATGCATTAAATGACAATACCCACCCAATCAAGCTGATTGTTGTGTTCTACCTCATTTGTCTATTGTTTGCAAAAACATAACATGTTCAACATCAAATCAAATTCAAACATCAAATTTTTGTAATGTTAATAATCCGGGGACATGGAGAGCTTAAATACCATGGCAAGATACGCAGGCAAATGAAAACTACTCGTACAAGTAACTCTTGTATGTACTTACTCTAAATGCCCCTGGAAATCTAACAGTTATCATGGTTCTCAAACCACGGCCCAAACGAGATGAAGCAATCGCGCTTTCCATATTTCTGCTGATTAGAATTTAGAAAGAGAGGGTTTGTAACCTTTCTTCTTATTTTAACTTTAGGTAGGTAGGTAGGTAGGTAGGTATAGATACCTAGTAGTTCTTTTCATACTCTTTATGTTGTGTATATCTTGCTTTTTGCTTACTTGTTTGCTTACTTGTTTTCTTTCTATTGTCGTATTCTTTTACAACCAAGTGTATTCATTAATAACCGTTTCCGTTCTCATTTTCAGGTTTGGTCTCAATTTTTAATATTCCCCCATAGGGATTCCCTACCAGGCATCGAATAACTCTTTTTCTTTTCGGGGAGGGGGACATTGAATGAAGACTTAATGCATGGATTCATGTTGGGGAGAGTGGTGAAAACAGTGTTTGGTATATGGTATATGATATATGATATATCCTATCAAATATACTACTACGTTTCCATTATCCATGATCAGGTCTCGAACTCAAACTCGAACTCCAGTCAAGTTTGGATTCTGGGTAGGTATTCCATTTGCAGTCTTAGTCTCAGTCTTGCTCGGTATTCTTCGTGATGATGGTATCGCAACCCTTCGCAGCCGTACAAAGAGTCGAGGCAACACAATATGTACCACGAACACCGAGGATCTCGCAGAAGAGATGGGTGGATTCGAAAAAGATGGCTGATGAGTGGATGAGTTCGCAACTTGCAGGCCGGTGAGTGGCGGAGCGGAGCGGAGTCGGTCTATGATATGATATGATATAGTATACCTAATGGTAATATACATACATATATGCTAATCGTGCAGCGAGAACCAAGCTCAAATAGTCACGCATGCGTATGCGCATGCGCATCAAGCCCCCGATCCCCACAGCCAAATGGTCGAACTCGACGTCGGCAGCGTCACGCATAATCGGCGCACCTTCCTAATCCACAAACTCCTCCTCTGCACCCGCGTCCCCTACTTCTCGCAGCTACTCCAACACCACGCTACCGAAACCCCCACCAATTCCCTACGACTGCCCCACCAAGAACCCATTTCCTTCGCGCTCTTCATCGACTGGCTCTACAACGCCCACTATGCATGCATCAACCCCGCTCATGGGAAAATCGCCTATACGATCCGCTTGCGGCTCTATTGTCTCGCTACGGATTTCCAGCTCCCGGATTTTATGGATTATACGATTAATGTGCTACTGTGCAATCATGTGAAATATGGGTGGAGCCCGGTTCTTGAGGATGCTGTTGCGGTGTATATGGATACGAGGCCGGGGTCGAAACTTAGAGTTTTGATTTCGCGGTTGTTGGCGTTGCGTTTTGTGAAGATGAAGATGGTGGTTGGTGCGGATGAGATATTTTTGACGATGGGGAAATTGAGGAGGTTGATGAAGGTGGATCATGGGGATTTGTGGAGGGATGTGTGGGATTGGTTGAATAGGTTGGAGGCGGAGAGGATGAGGGTGAGGATGAGGATGAGGTGGAGACGGAGACGGGGTGAGTGTACGAATGTGTTGATGGGGATGGGGATGGGAAAGTTGGCTTTGGGGATGGAAATGTGTAAGTTTCATGTTCATTGTGAGGGGATGGTATGTCCCGTCAAGGAGTATATTTTGTGATGGGATTCGAAGCTGCTGTTGGATTGTTGACGTTGGTGCTGGGGAAAGATGGATTTGGTGCTGTCGGCATCCAATATCACGCGCTTGTATAGGCACTCTGACTCTGATCGACTAGTTCTCCTCTGATTATCTTGGTGTGGTTTAGGTATCGCAAGAGGCTGATCAGTCACTTGGTATCAATGACTTGGTATGAATAATGATCGTGGCTTGCATTTTTTTCAACTGTGCTTTTCCTGTGAATGAATTATAATCTAATATACATCCGATTACCGCTAACATACTCCATTGTGAAGGAAGTTTTAAGAATTCGTTCCCTCGTAAGACCACGCCGTAGCCAACCAAATCATATTCGTATCATGGCACATCCCAATTGCAACTTAATCAGCTCGTTTCTTCGAGTCCCCTTCGACTTCACCCGCGCTACTAGCACTGGGTGTCTTCAACCCTTCGCCCTCCGCACTGTCCACTCCACCCGCACGTTCATCTTCCTCCCACGCATCTTCCACATTCTCATCCCAGTTATCAACCTCTTCATCCAGCGTCTTCTTCGCCGTCGCCGTCATCACACCACTCTCCTGCGTCCCTACCCCCTCGCCCAATTCCACATCTTGTTCTTCGTCCCCGGGTACCGCATGATATGTCTTGGCCAACCGTTTGCGCTCCAGCATCCGTAAGTGATACCAACTACATAGGGCTATCCCGGCCAGCGACCCCACGATATTGGCGAGAATGTCGTAGAAATCAAAGGTTCGACCATTGGGCAAGAAGGCTTGGAGGAATTCCGAACCCACGCCAAGAATGCCGGTGCAGATTATGAGGGTAAAGTTGAGGTTTCGACGGCGGCTGGTGTCGAGGATCCAGTAGAAGACGACGGTGAGGAGGAAGAAGGTTAGGGTGTGGAGGATCTTGTCGTTGATGATGGCGTCGAGTTGGAGGGTGGTTAGACCTGCGTAGCCGGCGAGGAGGAGGAGGAATAGGAATCCTCCTGTTGTGAGTTGATGGATTAGTTTGGGAGATCTAATGGGGAAATGGGGAATTGGAGATTGGAGAATAGATAGGATAGGATAGAATGGTGTGGAGATTGAGGGGAGGGGCAGGGAACTAAGAGCTTAGTTGGAGTATTATTTACCTGCAAATGGTAGCCTTATGCGCATTTTCTTAATGGAAGCTCGTTTTCTTTTCTTAACAAATTGAATATCTTTGTATCAAAATAGCATCACTGCTACTTCTAATAATATGTAATTTGAAGTCTGGGGATAGTTGATTCTCTTATGTTTATTATGTTGAGACAAGTTGTCTTCCTTGTGTTCAAGAAGTGTTCAGAGCTTCTAGATGAGATACCTTAAACCTGGCAACTTGCAGGTCTTCTCCATTTCCATGTGGGTTGGCTGCAGCTTGGGCTAGCTAATAATAACACCTGAGGTTCGATGGGTTGGTTGATGGTATGTGGTTCATCTGCTTCGTGCACCTATCAAATTTAGCACAGACCAAATATCGGTATCTTCAATACTGATATGGAGATTCAGTACGAGGTTAATCTTTAATTCCATCTGTACATAGAAATTAAATAGACAATTGGATTGTATATATTTATATTCGTAAATTGTGATGTATTGTAAATTCTATACCAACTTTGAGTGTATTTCAATAGCGATAGTAAAGTATTTAATGGAAAATGATGGTTCAAATGGTGATTCATTCATTGTCTTCTCTACACAACTACAAGTGCTAGATTTCTAGGTAAGGGAATCACAGACAACGTCCTACAACCACCAACTCTGACTTCACCTCAAGAACTCCATCAAACCGTCAACGTCAACGCCAGAAATTAATCAATATTTTGCGCAAATTTGGTACAAAGATGCGCACGATTTCAAATCCAATTTAAATCACGAAAAGGCGACGACTCCAAGACGGTTTGTCGCGACCGAGAGAATTGTCGTTATGGGCGGCGGTCGCTCTGGGGTATCCGGATACACCTCTTCCATCACGAATGGCACATCATGGCTACCTTCCTCATCGAATGCAATTCATTCTCAAAAGACTTACCAGAATAAAAACAATACTCCTCCGCGATCGCATACTTCAAGTATATTCGATGCCACAATGGCTGACTCGGCCAACGTACAGGAGGAGGAAAGTCAAAGGACAATATTCAGAGAATTATATCGCCGCAGCGAGTTAAAGTTAGCTGGCTTATTTGGAGCCGGAGACTTTACTGCAGATGACGACGAAGACCAAAATGTCTCGGCACAAAATATACAATTGGTCGAGGATGCAACTGTCATCGAGCGAGCTAAGCAAGCACAACCACCAAAGAAACCGGCGCGCGCCATAGACGAGGACAATTATGATGATGACGATGATGAAGACGAGGACGGTCAGCAAGATTCTCCCACAAAGGGGAGAGGTGCAAATGCTTTGTTGTCGCCCTCGAAGTCTGGGAGTTCTCCAATTCAATCCGACTCCTCCTCCTCAAAGAACGCGGAACAAAAAAAGGGTGACACTGCGGGCGACCAACCTAAAACATCCGAAGATGCGCGCAGGATATTGGAAGAGGAGAAGAAGGCTGTGGAAGATGCTGCCAAGCGCAGTTTCAATACCGTATTCTACACGTTGGAGAATGATCGGATTGCCATGCTAGAACAGCAGAGGCTGGAGGAATCCGAAAGGCAAACTGACGCGGAGATGGACAGCCATGGAACTGCTGGACCTGCCAGTAGTCGACAGGCCGAGCAACATAGTTCTCTGGCCAATGCCGAGATGGGCGCATCGAATTTGACGTTGAAGAACCTCTTTGCTCGCATTGACGCAAAGCGTGACAGGGTTAAAGCTACAGATGCAGAGTTGAGGGCTTTGATCAACGAAGTCCGTAAGAATAGAAGTAAATGGGCCAATGAAGAAAATGTTAATCAGGAAGAATTATACGAGGCGGCGGAGAAGGTTTTGAGTGAACTCAAGGCTATGACAGAATACTCGGCTCCCTTTCTTGTCAGAGTAAACAAGCGGGAGGCTCCTGATTATTACAATGGTAAATCCCATAATTCATACATATGTTGTCCTGGAGCTGACGTGAAATAGTTATCAAGCACCCTATGGACCTCGGCACCATGACTAAGAAGTTGAAGTCATTGGTATACAAATCGAAGAAGGAATTTGTTACTGATCTTGACATGATATGGGAAAACTGCCTCAAGTACAATGGCCAAGACAAACATCCTTTGCGAAAGAATGCGGAAAATATGAGGAAAGAGGCAGCAAAACTTATCCCTTTGATTCCAGATCTTATTATTCGACCACGGGCGGAAGTGGAGGCAGAAGAACGTCGCAAGCAAAATGGAGGTGATGATGCCGACGAAAGTGACGATGAGCCTATCATGTCTTCTCGAGGTCGAGGTGAAGGTGGTCGAGGGGTAAAAGGATCTACCAAGACACGGAAGAACGCTTCTGGACGTGACGCAAGCACTCCAGGAATCGATCAGAAACCTGCTATTCAACTCAACGGAGTCCTTGGAAATCTTAACCGTGACGGCTCTGAAGTAGACGGTAGCCAAAATGGCTTCTCTACTCCAATGCCTGGATCCGTCACACCTGGTGGTATGAATGGCGTTGCTAGTCAGGTTGATGGCATGGATATCGATGCTCCTTCGATCAACGGTCTAGGTCTGGCTCAGGGGTTTGCAGCAGAAGATGTTTATGAGGACGAAGAGTACAAGATCTGGAAACAGGTTACTAAGAAAAATCGTGCTACGGTTGCTAAAGAACGAGCCCGATTGTTTAAAGGTGATAAGTTGAACCCAGATGAGCCTGCTCTTTTGCGAAGTAAAGCCGGGATGAGGAGGTGGCTACGCCAACGAAAGCAAAACGACCCTAATGGCACAAGTTTCGAAGGTGCCAGTGAAGACAAAGCTGCGAAACAGGGCGCGGAGACTCTTGCCGAAGGTATGGAGGGTGAAGAAGAACAATTTCTGCCTGATTACTATGACCCGTTATCGGCTATTCCGGATATTAATCCAAAATTGCAATGGGTGGAGGATGCAGATGGTCATCTAGTTGAGCAGTCGGGAGAATTTCTTCGGATGGTACCTGCTGGTCACTTTACAGCACCGAAGAGTTTTTTAACCGGTAAAGTCGAGGCCAATATGAAACAAATGCAAGAAACAAGAAAATTGTGTTCCAAAATTGGCGTCATAAAGCAAATGCAATTGCAGGCGCAGGTAAGACTGATAACTTTGGCTGGATGTCGAATCTCACTAATCTTCCATTCAGATGTATAACAATCAATTTCCCAAGTACGAACCCAAACCATTTATAGAAACAGATATCGAGCCACATGTCACTTCAGACGATGGTCCTATCATGTCTTCATGGGTCTGCAAAGCTGCAATGCAACGATCCGTCGCCAAGTTGTGTTACCATGCTGGTTTCGAAGAACTGCAGCCATCTGCTTTGGATGTCATAACTGACATTGCTGGAGACTTCTTTGGTAAATTGGTCAAAACTTTTGGTATCTACCGAGAAGCGCACAAAGTCCCCGCTGCACCTGGCTCTCGAAGTCAATGGCAAGAACGTTATACCAACGAAGAAGTCGTCTTGCATAGTTTGGGTGAAAATGGTTTGGACATCGAAGCCTTGGAGAGCTATGTCAAGGATGATGTTGAGCGTCTAGGATCTAAACTCTCAGTCATGCACGAACGCATGAAGTCTCATCTTGCAGATTTACTCCGACCGGCTCTTACAGATGGTACTCAGGATGGATCCGGAGCGTTCAACGAAGGTAGTGAGCAATTTGTTGGCGGTGACTTTGCTGCAGAACTTGGCGAAGATTACTTTGGGTTCAAAGCTCTTGGTTTGGACAGTGAATTCTCGATGACGAGCCTTGGCGTACCACTGCATCTTCTCCATACGAGAGTATACAATACCTATCAGGGACCCGTCGTAGCAGCGCCACAAGCTGAAATATTCACACAACTGGCACCTCTACCACCCATCTCCAAAGAAAGCATCACCAGTCAAATTGGCCTGGTCAAGAATTTCTTCCTCGCCAAGTTACACGCGAACGATGATGAACCTCTACTAGAGGACGAAGAGCTCACTGGAAAACAAAAACCAACGCGACCACGTCTGGGCCCCACGGGCAAAATTACCAATCCTCGTAAACGTCCACTGAAAGAACAGAGCGGCAATGCAAAGAAGAAGAAGAAGCTCGATAATGGCACCGCGGTAGATTCACAATCCTCGGTCAAAATTGCAGGTGCAAGTGTAAGTCCGCAAAAGGGAGATGGTACCAAGAATGGCAGGACCGGTTTGTCAAATGGGAATGGGAGCGGGAGGTCGATTTCTATGGATCGAGCGGAGAGTCAGGATAATAATAGTCCAGTTGAAAAAGATGATGGGACTATGGGGCCGATGAGTCCGGAGAGTATTGAGAGGTAGTTTTGAGGGGGGTGAAAACTGGGGATGAGGTTGGGGGTGGGGTTGGGGATGGATATATAAAAGTTCGGGTGGCTGCATAGGATGGGTGGCTGGCTGGCTGTATTGTTGTTTGTGCGGGCATGCATGGTGTTGGTGGTGCGACTTTTTATGGGAGAAGAGATTCTGGGGATGTGATGTGAATGGATATCTCACTATCTATTTCCACAGACTCGGGTTGGAGCTGGAGAATGGAAAGCGGGGGGGCACAGGGAATTGGAATTGGAATTGGGAATGGCAGTTGGGATTTGGAATGAAATAGGATGGGATTGGCAAGAGCGGAGTGAAATGTGAAATGTAGTCGGTGGTTGCGGTGGTTGATATATTGATATTGATGTTCATTCTTTCTTTCACAAATACAGTACTCGAGTAAGAATATCATTCATATATGAGTATGAGTATGAGTATGAGTATGAGTATGCATGGGTATGATATGATATGAAATTAAATGGATGAAATGAAGTGGATGAAATGGAAGTATATGAAATGGATGGTATGAATGGTATTCATGGCAAGCAATAGTGAATGAGATGATTTATGATTTATGATTTAAATTCATGAGTATTCTTATATTATTAGTATATATAATATATGTGGGTAAGTGGGTAGCATGGAATTGTCAGTGAATACTGTGAATATGGGGTAGGGTAGCCTGCAAGAGGGAGAGAGGGAGGGGGAGGGAGAGAGGGAGGGGGAGGGGAGAGGGAGAAGGGAGGAAGAGAGAAGGGAGGAAGAGAGGGAGGAGGAGGGGAGAGGGAGAAGGAAGGAAGAGAGAAGGGAGGAAGAGAGAAAGAGGAAGAGAGGGAGGGGTGAGGGGAGAGGGAGAAGGGAGAGGGAGAAGGGAGGGAGGAGGGTGGTAGGTAGGTAGATAGTTGATGGTGTCAGTAAGAAAGAAAGAAAGAAGCGCAGGCTCTGGTATTTGTAAATACAGATAGGAGAGGAGAGGAGAAGAGATGAGGGAGGTAGGGAGGGAGAGAGTAGATAACCTAGGCAGATGGGCAGATGGTTAAACAGGTAGATAGATAGATAAGAGTGTATGGAGTGTATGTGCATATGGATGGAAGGGGGTGGTTATTATGTTACTCGAGTATATTTTAATGTTTTTATTAATGGGGGTTTTTCTGGTTTGTGTATATATTGTATTGTGTATATTGTGTGTGTTATGTGTGTTATGTGTGTTATGTTATAGTTTGTTGAAAGGAAGAGGAAAAAGAAAAAGAAAGGCTTTTGAGAAGGGGAGGGGATGGGGGTCAGGAAGATTTGATGAGAGGTTATGGTGGGATTGAGAGGGGGGATTGAGAGGGGGGATTAAGAAAAGGTTTGGGGAGGAAGGTTTGAGGGCCCGGGGATGGAATTGGGGATGGGGATGGGGATGGCAATAGATTATATATCAATCAATCAATCAATCGATCTATAGGTATAGTTATAACTAATTAGGTGGAATCGAATCAAAGTATACTCGAGTATTATTTAGATACCAATAATTTCTTTCCTTTTCTTTCCTTTCCTTTCCTTTTTGTTTGTAGGTGAGACGAGATGAAATGAGACGAGATGAGTATATATAATAAACAAATAATATAATTAATCTATAATTAGCGATATACTCGAGTATAATAATTTCATAATTTTTAAATTTCTATATAAGTAGATAAAGATAAAAGAGAAGAGAAGATAAAACTTGAAGAGAAGATAAAAGAGAAGAAGAAGTAATAACTATCTAGTATCTATTTTTGAATTGAAAATGATATGACTAGCTGTAACTAGCTGTAACTAGCTATAACTAGTACGAATAGTAGTAATATTGAAAATAAAGCGAAAGTATAATATCGAGAGTAGAGGAAAGAATTTGAATAGATCACTGAGTCATACTAGTATACCGGTAATAGGTTGAGAACTTGCTAGTGACAATACCGGTACTCGATTCGGAGTACTAGGTTCAAGTTTGAAAAAAAGCAAAGTAGTAGGTTTGGAAATAGTATTTGGAAGGTTTGAATCAGAGAAGGAAAATACTTGAGTAATGTTTTCGAATATTGATTTTTTTTTTTTCAAATTGACAAATTATCATTTCTTATCTCTCATCTCATTTAACTCGGTTTTCAATATCTTAAACTCAATTTCTAATATCTCCCTATGCTATCTCATACTATTTCATCTCATCCCACCTCATCCTCTCCTCTCCTCTCCTCTAACCTCTTCCATCCCATCCCATCCCATCTCGTTCCTCCCATACTACCCACCATTACACATCTCTTTCACATCAAATTATACTCGAGCATTTTCATTCGAAATGATCTTTTGAAATTTTGATACTCATTCTTCCCTAATAAATACTAATCCTAATCCTAACAGCCTTGCGAAAGGCTCAAAATTGAAAGCAACATAATATCCTTTTCTTCATCTATTTTCTTCTTTTCCTCTTGTGTATTATTGAAAAACACACAATGTATCCTCTACTGTCTTTCTAATACTCCTAACACCAAACGGCCTTTCACATTCCATCCCATTCCACAATTCTGAAATTAATCTTCACCCTCGGCCCTTTGCTCCAAACCCCATATCAAATTTGACGGTAGAAATTAATCCAATAATATATGTATGCTCTTTTCTTCTTGTGCATTCCAATCCAGTGTTCAGTATTTTTACTCGTATCGTCGTCGATGTGTTCGTATTTATTCGTCGTGTTGTAGGGATGTAATGTTGGCTGGGTCCAGAAACGATATTATTATATCCTCAACCAGCATATGCGAATCTTCCCAAATTAAGACTCAACCCCAATCCCTTACTTGATCCCTCTTCGGTTGGCGACAATGGCTCATCCTCCCTCTCGCTGTCTGGTGTGATCATATCCTCGCTACCCTTCTGGTTCAAAGCAGCCTCTTCGGTTTCATCGACTGGGGGTAAGGGGACGGATGCCGGTTGAATGTTTGCCAATCTTGGGTTGTTCTCTTTGCTAGCCTCGGGAAAAGGGACGCAGGTCCTGCGGAGAAAGGCGATGGGGCCGGCGGCGAGAATTGGAGTCATTGGAGGTGTTGGTGGGAGCTTGAAGCGATTGTGTGCAGCAGCACCTAATCGCTGAAGAGGAGTGAGTACAGATCTAGCTGAGGGGGTAGGTTTCTTTGCAATCGTGGGAATCGACTTCGCTGAAACAGGAATCCGCGATTGGAACTGAGCCGAGAAGGAGGATGGTGGGGTTGGAAGACCTTGATTGGGAGTAGTCTTTGGTATTGCAATATTTGAAGCAGCAAACGAAAATCTGCTCTTCAAGGATGGGAGTGAGGTGGATGAATTGAGAGTCGGAGAGGGTGGCTGCTCAGATGAGTGTCTGCTAGAGGTCGAAGAATCAAGACTGGGAACAGTACTTTGAGAATCTTGAGACTCATGATGCTTGGTAGACGTAGTTGTTGCACTTTCCTGAGAGTCATGAGTAAATTTGGACGAAGGTTCTCGGAAGATGTTGATTTTTGGTTCCTTGGTTATAAAATAGTTGTCGACATCTGGAAGGCTCATCATAGCTTCCTCGATAGAATCGTCTGAATAGATGTTGATATCCTCCTTCGGCTTTTTCTTTCTCTTTGAAACCTTGAGAACACTTGGACTGTCATCTTCGAATCCATCCGCAAAGAAACGGCTTCGACCGAGCTCCACTTTCTGACCAGTTCCTGGTGTTCGAAGGTACGAATCATCCTCACATAATCGAGCACGCTTTGGTGGACGCGACTCAGTGAATGAATCCACTCGTCGTCCAATCGATCTGGCGCTTTGAGGGGTAGGGTGAGGAGGTAATTGTGGCTCAACTGCGGTGGTAGATCGTTGCAAATATGGACGAATTGGTTCTGCAACCAATGGTCCAGAGTTTCTAGACAAGAGCTGTTGCTGGCTGTGAGAAGGTGTAAAGCAATTGACATCAAGCTCTGCAAGGGGGGTACGCTTGGTTTTGAAATATGTATCGATCGAGACACCCTTTTTGAGATCGTTGGTTGAGACAGATCTCTTCGAAGCCGTGAAAGGATTGGCCATCATGTTTCTTCGATCAGTGAGAATGGGTTGCTTGGTGATAGGATCCAAATCGCCTTTTGCAACGCCTTGAGCAATTTGTGGTGAAACGTCGTGTCCAATGAATTGGTTTTGATCTTCCGTGAGTGGAAGATCTGGTTGAGTGTGAAGAACTAAGGTCAAGGTCTCGGGACAGAAAACCCTCTGATGTAAAAAAGTGAACTCGGCTTGATAAAAAGATTCGAGGTAATTCTTCGGCACCTGGAATTTCCCGTCAAATTGAATCATCTTAACGATATTTTCAATCGTCTTATGCTTCCGGACTAGCCGATAAGCTGTCTTTAACCCCATTCTACTCATGCTAGCTAGATAATCACAACCACTTAGGATTGCCATCCTCCGAAATTCGACATCAGACCAGCCCGTCAAGTTGGCATCTTTGCAAGCGCAAAAATCGGCCTTGTTAATTTCAATACAGTTTCCAAACTGATCCAACTTAGTGAGAAGACATTTGGCACCGAACACCAGAAGGTCAGAGTCCTCAGATAGTATTCCATCGATTATACCTTTTCGTTCTAGGTAGACCATTTGGGCATCGGCTTCGTATGGGGCTACAATATATTGTACTCCCATCTCTTTCAACTCATCAATTACATGACGGGCCATCTCCGGAGTCACATCGACCGCTTTCTGAAATTCCAGGTATGCTTGTGAGGTCTTCCCAGCATTCAATAACTCCTGCCCAAGTCGTTTGCTATCTTTCCGACGCTTCTCTCTGTCCTTCTCCGTCGCAGCTTTACTTGGCAAATAGTCACCATCGAATATCAAGTAAGGAGTGACGCCAAAATGCAGTAACATTCGTACCCGGTGCATACAATACTCAACATATCTGCTTTTCTGGTTAGCATATTCCCTTCCCAATCGACCTCAGTCACCGTACTTTCTTGTTGGTTTCTCCATCGCAAGATCCATAGCACATGATACAGTTCCACGATGTAGCCAGCCATAAGCATCCACCCCGAGGGTTTTGCCATCGAACTTCTTCAAATTGCATGGCTTTTGTATGGATTTGAGCAAAGGGAGGAGGCCTATAAGTGGTTAACATGACGAGACTCGAATAAGTAACTAGAATAATATATATATACCATTAATCCCCATATTGACAACAATGTTAGTAACACAAAATACACAAATCAACAACAGAAGACTCTAGGAACCATTGAATCAATAACCATAAGTATTTCGTCGTAGGGTGGCAAGTAAAGAATGAAACGAATTTAAAATTCAAGACATGAATAAGAGGAAGGGAATATTGCTGAGTATGAGTGTTCAATTGTTATTGATGTAATGTTGTCGTAGGTTGTCGTGAAGATATATTGATATCAAAGTTCGAAGATCAAAGTTTCCCACTTAAACCTGCATGATAGAAAGAACGCGTGTAGAAAGCGCGTCGAACACCAATGAGCTTCCTTTTCCCTTCACTACGGCAACCACCAAGTTGATTTGGTAACCAATAAGCACTTTTTGAGTCTGTGTGTCATTGTCATTATACCCACCCCTACTAGTGTATAAATAATAAGCGGGGGAATTTTTGCGATAAAGAATCCGATATGGAAAAAAAGTTCAAGCAACCGAGTTACACTCACACTCACTCAACTACACAACTATTTCACCAAAAACGATCAAGACCAATCAATCAATTACTTCCACCTATTCCCCCCAAATAACTTCATAATGCCGAAAAGTCTTAAGAAGACCTCAAAGCAAATCTCGAAGAAGAGAGGAGGAGAAGTCACATCTTTACATGAAAATTCCCGAGATTCTCGCATGTTAAGAAGAGCAGGAGGACGAGATGATAAATTGGACAAGATGGCAGCTGAGAGAAAGAGACATAATCGTCCAATATGTATGCACTTTATCTATCAGTTCCTAATGGCACGAGCTTCAATTGACATTATTGATAGTGGATCGAGCTCATTACTTCCAAGAAGCCGTGAAGAATAACGGTGTAAAGCCACTCGAACTCGATGCGATTCATAGCCTCATATCAATGTAATGCGGTCCTCAAACAGCGAAACTGTTCCAACACTTTTTCTAACTATATATGCAGTTTTGTTCACCAAAACGACGAAGAGATGACTGCTATAAAGAAGGAACGCCGGCCCGGGCGACCAGCGAGCACAAGAGAGGATCTTCTAAGGATCAAAATAGCGGGAGATGAGAAGGAATACGAAAATGGATTTTGTAAGCCGATGCTTTTGCTTAGAGCGTTTGAGACTACGACTAATGATATACAGATCTACCAGATCTTACCGATTCGGACAATGTAATGGCATTAGCTTTATGGGAGAAGTCAACTTGGTCATATCTCAACACCTTAAAATGGGTGCGATTGTCGAGCAGTGGGCATATCCAGGAGACCAAATTCCCACCCAAAGGATCTTCATAGGATCTTCATGATTGAATGAAAGTCGAATTGGCGGAGTTCGTGGAGTTTGTATCAAAACCCAAAATTGCGGGAGCAAAATTGCGGATAATATTGCTATTTGATTTGTGTTATCGGTTTGCATGTTTGAACAGAGTTGAGACATTCAACAAATCTATACATACTGAATTTAAAATAATAAAACACATTTATATTTCGAGCATATTAAAAACACCCCGACAACTCTCAAACTGAAAATAGAATTGTGAAAACAGCTTATGAAATCATCTCAAATTTATATGGTTCGGATCAACCTTTTTCCGACAAAAAAGTTCCCTCAAGAGGCGAACTCAAGAATTCAGAGAATAGAAACTTTCCAAACCACAATTTTATATCCTATCAACACAACCTTTCATTTAACTACAAAAACACAAGTTCACCATGCTTTCACTCCGTACCATTGCTCGTTCAGCTCCACGAGTTGCACGAGGCCTAACCAGTACCGCCATCAGAACCGCAACTCGTCCAACTCTCCTCCAAGTCGCCTTCCCTGCCTCCAGACTACAATGCGCATCAGCATTCTCAACCTCGAGCATGAGAGCTAAATCTGCGTCTCCAGAAAGCGATGCCGAATTAGCTGAGAAGCTTGGTGCCGAAATTCAAATGGAAGAGGATATGAAGAACGAAGAGGACCTTCCTACCAGTGTGAAGGACTATTTAGAGAATGCACCATTTAAACTTCTCGATAAACCGGGTCACGAAGAAGTGGTCTTGACGAGGAATTTCGGTGATGAGAAGTATGTTCATACCCATTGCGCCTTTCCTTTTGTTTTATTTTCCCAATTTTCTCGGAGAAGACAACCAGTTATCCATTGAATAAAACAATGGCCAAACAAACAAATAAATGCAAAACTAACCCCCCAAACCCAGAATCCGCGTCTCCTTCTCCATCGCCGACCTCAACGCCTACGACCCCGAAAACGACCAATTCCAAGACCGCGCCATGGCCGACGAAGAAGACACCGACAACTCCAAGCCCGAAGATCTGGACCCGGAGAGCCCCGCCGACGGCGAAGGTGAAGGCGAAGCCCAAGGGTTCCCCGCCCGCATAAACGTCATTGTGGAAAAGAAGAACAAGGGAGCGCTCGCCATCGAGGCTGTGGCCGAAGAAGGCATGATCGTCATCGAGAACGCATACTACTACACCGACGCCTTGCACGCATATGCTAAGACCACCGAAGCCGCCCACCAACGTCAAGACATGTACGTCGGGCCTCCATACGGAAACTTGGATGAAGATCTCCAGGTATTACTGGAGAGATACTTGGACGAGCGGGGAATCAACCAGGCGTTGGCGATCTTTGTTCCGGATTATATTGACATGAAGGAACAAAAGGAATATTTGAGATGGTTACAAAACGTCCAGCACTTTATTCAAGCGTAAGCGTGATGTGATATGATGGATGATGGACGAAAGGAAAGGAAAGGAAAAGGAAAAGCGTTTTATTTCAAGTTTTATTTTCAATGGTTGTCTTCATACCCTTTCCACTCTCTGTGGCAATACCTCGCTGGGTACTGTACACGCTATGTATATTATCAGATGGCACGGCCATCGACGTACGATATGACACGAATTCGATGTAATGAATTTCAAGAGATATATACTTGATGACTATAGGCTTCTTCTCCTGACTTTTGCATCTCACTGTGTATTTCTTTGCTATGCTGCTTTACGAGAATGGTTGGCTACCATAGGTATGCTAGCTAGCTAGGAAGTCCACAAGCTCTCACAAGCTTCAAATGGAAGAGAAAAGCATCTTAAGCCCCTGCATTCACCAGCCGCAAATAGGGATGAACTTTAGCAAACAGAAAGTACATCGTGATGATTGGAAACCCTTTTTAGAATACAAAGTTTTCGCTAATTTTCATTACGCTAATTTTCAGTCTACTTCGAATTAGAATTCCTTTCTCTCTGCTTCCAGTCTCCATCTCAGTCTCAGTCTCGCCATTCTTATTCTTATGTGATCGATAGTAGCTCATTTATCTGTTTGCATCTCTTTTTCCTCCGGTATCTGTGCTGTCCTGTCCCATCATTCCCTCCACCCATATGTACTCCCCCAAATCCATTGCAAGCAAGCAACCAGCACCAGCCAAACCAAATTCCTACCATCCAGACCAGACCAGACCATACCATACCATACCCACCAAAACATAGATATAAGCCTCGCCGGCTTGCGAAAAGACAAGTCCGGCAAAAAAGCAAGAAGCGAAAAACAAATGTGACAACCCCGCCATGCCATGGTAGAAAAGAGGATGGAAACAGGCAGCTAGAGTAAAAGAAAAATATACGTCGTTCTTTTGTGACTATGGGTTCATGCTTGCCATTCTGTGCAAAATTGTCCAGGCCAAGAAAATCACTATAGGTGCTCAATAAATCAAGAGAATATCGGGTGCCATGAGGATGAACCTGCACAAACGCCCAATGATGCAGGAGGGGTATTTGATCACTGTACAATAGACATTTAAAGTCTAGAGGCTGGCAAAAATGCTTCGAAAATGGTCGGTCGAACAAATTGTGTACTCGAAAAAGTCTGTTGCTCCGGCTCCTGGTCCATGAAGATTCTTGGCCATTTGCTACGAGAATTTCCAAGTCACCGAAAAAACCAATGATGAATAGAGGAGTGAGAACAATGTGTGATTAGAAGGTAGTGCTCCAAGACCACGCACCATTGGCAAGATTATCGGCAGTGTCTGCAAGTAGAATGACCCGACGTTTGTTACAGTAAGATGTCTTATCCATAATTTCTACCTTCAACTTTTGGGCAGCAAGTTCTGCAACTGGTTTCTCAAACATTTCAGACAAAGCTTCAACGGCCATCTCGAGATCTCTCTGATTGTCCTCGAACATCTCGGTGAGATTGTTACGTTGAAGATAGAAAGCGAAGGCGTAGGTCCATTTGAGAGTCTGACGACAAGTTTGTAAGGCTTGACTGGCGGAGTTTAGATATTGAACTTCAATCCAAGATAATCCAGAGGCAGATTGGAGTTGAATCATTTTCTTCTCCGTCTTATGGTAAATATCCTTATCCAACTTTGCTGATTGTTCATGATTGGCATATCGGTTGTAATAGTGAAGGTAGCGTTCCAGGGATTTTCGGGAGCTGGCCTGAGCATCTCTGGCTTCGGAGCCGCTCTTTTCTTCAAATCTGTTACAATTGTACCAGCTTGTACCATGCTCCGACCATAATCCCATACACATCCAACAAAACTCATGTTTGCACTTCCGACATGTCATATGGTTGCACCCCCCATTCTTCTCGATGGTAGAATTACATTTCGGACATTCTTTTGTGTGGGCAGAAATCCAGTTAGAAGTTTCCGAATCATCTGCACATTTTTTTAACCACTTCTTGACCAGTGTACAAGGTGCAGGCTGATGATCCGCGAATATGCAACCAAAGCAAAAGCGATGCTTGCATTCACATGCAACTGTGGGGACGACTTTATCGAGATCTTTCTTCTTGATGCCACACTCAATAGCGTTCTGACAATCCGGAGCTGGGCACCATTTCAGGAATTCTTTATCTTCAACGTATGTTCTCGTGAGAAGTTCGTGATATCGTGACTTTAAATCTGCGGCGACAAGTAGATCCAGAGAATGACTATCCATGATTCGTCGGCACCCGTCGTGAGGACATTGAATACGAGCTGCCTCTCCCTCCTCTTTGATCTTTTGACTCAAGTAGTGATTATAGCAGTTAACGCAGTATCGATGTCCACATTTCATCGCGAACGATTTTAATCCGGCTTCGTCCTCGCAGCAGATATCGCACACAAAATCTGACAAGACCTCGAGTTTAGGTGGCCCGGATTTGCTTGATACTAACCCAGCATCGTCAAGAACCTTTTCTGGACGGTCCATGTAATCTTCAATCAAGCGTTCCTTATTCCACCTGAAATGCCTCAAGAGAATAGCTGCGTCTTCTTTTCGAATGTCGAGTATCATGTTGACTTCATTGACAAGTTCGTCCTGCTGGCCTTGAATATCTTCGGGACGATGAATCTTGTAGTTTATGTCGAAGGTCTTCTTCTTCTTTTGCGAATTATCATCCTTGAAGCTGATATCTGGTGCTGGTTCTTCGAAACCGAATTCTAAATGTTCCAAAAGATGTCAGTGATTGTACCAAGGTGAGAGGATATGTTGGAATGAGTTTTAAGGAAATAAATCCTACCATCTTCCGACTCCTCCTCATTCTCACTTTCGTCCATGAGGACGTCATCCTCACTTGATCCTCCAGACATATATTCATCCTCAGAATCCATACTGTTACTATTGGTTTGTGGTGATGGAAGTGCTGCGGTGTTTTCCGAAAAATTTAGAATTGCTGCAGCTGCTGAGGCGATGCGTTTGGTAGATCGAGTCTCGTTCTTATCGTTGGTTGGTATCGCCTCAGCCGCCTTTCTCTTTATGGATTGGGAAGAAATGGTGACTGTGAATATGTGCTTGGCTCGTCAAAGTCGACGAGGTCCTAGGCACACAAGGCTACCGAAGATGAATGAATTCGGTGTGAATGACCCTCAAGAGGAACGAGTCAAGAGGTGGCGTGTGATTGTTAATGTATGTAACCTGACCATTCAATTAAGAAGTAGGTAGTCAAGGATTCGTTGAGACCTTCTGAGTTTCCTGTTGAAGGGAAGAAGGGAATAACTTGTGTAAGTTAGAGTGCAGGTGAAATAAGAAGAAGAAGAAGAAGGAAGTGGTGAGAATGGTAAGAGTGTGTGTTGCGAATGAACTCAGATTTAAGAACAAACTATAAATTCGAGGTTGTAGTTGTGGTGGCTCTGTTGGGTTTGTCTGACTAAGTTTCCTAAGTTTAGAGTTTAGAAATCCAGTTACTGTACAGTGTTACTGCCGCCGCCTTGAAATGCGCTAGTACGAGTACTGCTATCTAATCAACAACTGACCGAAGGCAAACTAGTAGAATTACCACTAGACCAAATTACCGTATATTATATTAGCGTCTTTTTAACTCGATTTCTTACAGGATAAAAGTCTCTTCTCACTGAACGTCACTCATTGAAATGTCAATTTGGAACATCTATTCAACTCGATCTACTCGAGTATCAATGTCCGAACCATGGATCCGGAACTATACTTGCCGTCTACGTGATTGATGATCTTCTTCGAGAAGCTAGTGCCACGATGAAAGCTATTACTGGTATTGGCTCCAAAAGAACAATAGCTCAAAGAATGATAGAGGTAAACAAACGAACAGAAGGTCCTAGGAAGTTTCCTTTGGCTGGTTTGATGGATTCGATTAGTTCCAGGAACATGTTTGTGGCTCAGGATATGATTGAACTGGTTTTGGAGGATACGGGAAGGGAACGAAGGGTGATTCAAGATTTATACGGAACGTGTTGGTATTAAGCAAGATGAAGATACTGTTACGGCCGCATTGAAATATCGAGAGAATGGTGCTGTCGCCTCTGTTCATGCAGATTATCTTATCATCGATGATAAAGCAGAAAGCCAAATTCGAATTCAACTCGATGTCCCTATACCGTGTAAGGTACAATGGGATAATTACTTAAAATCCATTTCCACGCAGATCTCAAAGCCCCAGTACACCAACGAAAATATTCATCCACTTGGTTGAATGTCCAGAAGCCTGCGACGTATTCACACACATTAACAATAGCGACTGTTTTCCATCCTCGTGTGGCCCCTCAAAAAGCGAGCAAGCTTCAAACTTCACACCCGAGAAATGCAAAGAGTTACACATTTCAATAGGAATAACCGATACCGAAATTGGTATCAAGAGTATTACCCCTAGGGACTATCTATACGAGTAGCAAAGCAACTACACCATAGGCGTATATCTTTCTCGCTAGTGATGCAGCCCAACAAATACCTCGACGGGAGGACAAGGTGTTAACTCCGTTAGTGTGGAAGTTCATGACCTTGCCAGGAAAATCGTTGCGGTGTTCAAAATCCAGAACGAGCAAGAAACTCTCAGAGACATATAATGCAGAACGCCAGCCCATAGGCAAAATTACAGCCGTGATATCAGCAAGTAGCGCCTGATGAGAGACGGAGGAATCGTCTTAACAATTCTCTGGGTTCTCACAGTCATAATGGGTTCTAAGGAGAATCGTTCTATCATAGGGGCACGGATACATCTACATCAGTTAAGTAATACGCATAGAAGACGTTTCTCCACTCAACAGTCGAATCTGGGAACCATGGACGATAGCCAGTCTTTTTCTTTCACTTGATAGCAGAGTCGGTTGTAGGATATCACATCTATGGACAATACACAAAGGGAAACGCATCTCAACTCTCGATCATGCAGGTAAGGGTGTGTTCTATTAGTCGGAGTAGAAGGACCAAACGGTGATCTTATTAATGAAAATAACATGTCTAAACATACTGTGGGAAATACAACTCAGAGGCTGATATTGGTACAACCGAATAGATATATAGTGTAGAGGGCGAGAAAACAGACTTTTGATTCGGAAACACTGCATATTCGGCTAAAGGTGCCATGGAGGCAGGCTTTGTGTTTAGTATGATTTAAACGATTCATTGTTTGTACTCGTATATAGGATTAATATCATAAAATCCTTATAAATCTACAGGCTGATATAATAGATTAAGAAATTTGAGAATTCGAAAACACTTCTCATATAATGCTCGAGTAGAGAACTCAGTTTATCTAAGGTATATTCCTTACCATAGGTAATGACTTTCCACATAACACAGAACTCGATTTACTTGTACAACTATGTATCCTCCCCTTCCTTCACTATAACCAAATACAAAATACCAATATCCGCACCTCCATTTTCCATTTTCCACTCTACATCCACACCTTCCTTCCTCTCCTCCCTCACAATAATAAACAAAACAAAACAAAACAAAACTAAATCAAACCAAACCAAATCAACACAAACTAACCCGCCAGAAACAACACACACAAAACGTAAAGTACAACTAACTGACTGACTAATAACTGACAGACAGTAACAAGCTCGTCCTCTCACCCTCCAAAAAACAGCTCACCAAGAATGCTCATCACACCGAGAATAAATAGTAATAATCACATGCGATGAATAAGTATAAGACTATATGACGCTCACCAGCCAGGAGTTGATAAATCTTAAGTTTTAAGTGATAAATGAAGCCCACCCATAAGTTAAACTCTTGATATCAATGCTCACTATTAGGTTATGTTATGTTATGTTACGTTATGTCATCGTGAATACCTAAGAGTACTTTGGGATCAAGTATCAAGTATCAAGTACTAGACTTCCATTTATATTTCCAGAGGTGTGGGTTTTTGTTAGAAATACGTACTGTAAGATACTTGTTGACCGTTATTTGATTTTCAGGCGAGTATAGATAGGTAATAAGATTATTATGAATATCATCACATACTCGAGAAGAAAATTAGAAATACGTAGGTGATATAACTTCATGTATTCTTGATATTACACCTAGGGGTTAGATGATTTTCACCACACTTACTTAATTTAAGCTCATGGTTCACATACCGGTGTGCAAATGAAATACATATTTCTTATTCTAAAACAATCCCTCTCCCACTCCCACCACACCAACCACACCTACGACTCCGCAGCAATCCCCTTAGTAATATCCAGCACACTAACCGAAACCCTATTCGTGGTAGTCGGTGGCAAGATCCCCCCGCCCATAATCAAAAGATGATTCCGATTACTCTCCAACACTCTCAAATGACGCGTATAACTAGTTTTCTCAGATGTCCCCACCGTCTTCCATTCCTCTTCCGCTCCCAGCGCTCGATTTACGAAGATTTCTGTGCGGCCGCCGCTACTTACGATGAGGGTGCCGTTGGTACCACCGATGGGGGTCCAGGTTATGTAGGGGGATCCGGTGGGTTGGATGCCGTTGTTGGTTATGAGGGGGATACCCGGGGTCGAGAGGAATGTGAGGGGCGAGGAGGAAATACGGTAGTAGATCGGGAAGAGATAGGTGCTGGTGTTGTTTATGGTGGGGCCGCCGCCGTATTCGTAAGTCATGATGTATTTGTGATTGGGGAGTTGCGTGATGGCTGTCATTCCGGGGCGAGCGGTGTAGGTTGAGTAGTGGACGTCGTCTACAAGGTCTTCCCAAGTGTGGAGATCGGAGGAGACGGTATGCACGAGCTTTTGACCGTATAATGGATCACGTTGGTCGGAGTAGTATACTTTAATATTCGATTAGTACTATTTCGATTTTGATTGGAAATTGCATTGCATTGCGTGAGAATACTTACGAACGACTTGTCCCTTGTATGTAAGAAGGAAAGGTTCCCAAATAGCAGGAACTCCATTATCAGGAAAAGCTGCATCGCCATTCGCCACTGTCGATACATATTCCCAAGTATATCCATGATCCAAACTAGCATAAACATCAATCTGAGTCTCACTTAAATCGGCCGGTATAGAAAGTCCCGTTGCAAGAATAGTGCCTGCTGGGTATTTTCCAACCTTCTCCGTCATCAAGTATAAGAATGGTTGATATCTCAATCCCCATCCGTTGACCTGATCCGTGATATTCGAGATATGTTTCCATGATTCCCCACCATCTGTACTTTTGAAAATGGGGAAATAGACAAGAGGAAGTTGAGGACTGTAATTTTCCCAAGTAGCTAGGAGGACATCACCTGGTAACTCGACGGTTCGTGCATAGAGAACACCAGGATCAGTCCAATTGGCCCCGGGAGTAAAGACCGTGACATCAGAAAAAGTACTAAAAGGAGCAAGTGCAGGAGCCGCGAGAATCGTCTCGACAACCGCAGTAAGCAGTGCAAAGGAGAATAACCTTATCTTGAGTATATAAAAAAATGGGATAAAAACACAACAGAAATTACACAAAAAGGAGAAAGAAAAAACATGAGTTTATACTTTCCCAATACCAAACCCTTGCATCCCCGTCTTGATTCACGACCAGGTACTCCGGAAAAATACCCTGCATGAGAATAGGAATATAGTATTCTCCAGTATGGGGATATCCACATGTTGATCCCAGTATATCATACGGAGAGCGCTGGCTAATAACATGGGACTGGTTCGCAAGAAGGTTTCTCCAGTGCGCATCGATGCGCACCAATCGGAGGGGTGCGCTAGCAACATCCCTATGTGGCTTGCAAACGAAAGGGGTACTTGGCGTGGAGATGTTGAGGGGAAGCTTGGGGAAACCTACGAGTAGATTGAATGCATACGGAGTATGTACTGGCAGTGAAATTGTTTGTCCGAGGTTTGAAGACTCCTGGACTAGTTGCTCGAGGTAGGCTGGGTCGTATGGTTGATGCTAAAATGCCATTGTGAGCAATCCAGCGTTGATGATACGACCCATTGAGTTATTGTTGATATAAAATTGAGTGTGAATACTACTGACGAAGAGTTGATTGACCATGCTGTGTGGTAGTTATTAGTAGTGCTACTTGAAGTCTGAAATTCAATATCAATGTTGTTGTTAACGTTATTGTTGTTGTCGTTTCTATAACCTTAATTTCAAACAAGGCAAGAAGTGACGATCCCTCCACACATCAGCATCGCTTCCACCTTCCCTTCCAACTTTTCTCAATTCCCAAATCTCAACCCAACAAATCAACCATCTTCAACCTTTCAAACGCAAACTCACTTCCAAACATCAATTAAACACACTCACACAATGGCAACCAGATTTGCTGTCCGCCGCCTTGCCGGCCCCGCTCCTCAAACCTTCCGCACCTTCTCCACTACCCGCCCTGCATTCATCAAAGTGGGTGATAAAATCCCCAACCTCGATACTTTAGTTGAGAATTCTCCCGCCAACAAGGTGAACTTGAGTGAGCTTACTACTGGTAAAGCTTTGATTATTGGGGTTCCTGCTGCTTTTAGTATGTTTGTTTTCCTTTTCCTTTTCCAATCTGCACGTTTTTATCTTCATCTTCATCTTCATCTTCATGCATCATATCTTTGCACATTTATATATATTTTTTGATACTCGAGTATATCAACATCAATAAATAACATAACATTATACCAAAGACCAAAAACCAAAAACTAACAACAAACCAGGTCCCTCATGTTCCAACTCCCACATCCCAGGCTACATCAATCATCCCAAGCTCAAGGAAGCAGGCGATGTATTTGTAGTTGCTGTCAATGATCCATTCGTGTAAGTGGACACACAAATTTTGGTCTTTGCACAATCCAATTCGTCCCATTCTCAATACTTTGATGACGAAACTTCGTGAATTGATCACTAGGAAATCACACGAATGGGATAATTATATAGTCATCATACTAATACCAAAGATCTAGCACCAAAGCATGGGGTTTAACTCTTGATCCTACTGGAAAATCTGGTGTATGTTTATCCTTTCCTTTCCTCTCGTCTTGTACACATACACATACCCACACACCATACACCATACCCCATACCCTATACTCCCCCCTTCCCCTCCGCTCTCCACCACATACTAACCCCCCTCCCTCCCCCTCTAGATCCGTTTCCTCGGCGACCCCACCGCCTCCTTCACCTCCGCCCTCGACCTAACCTTCGACGGCGCCGCCATATTCGGCGGTCCCCGCAGTAAACGCTACGCACTGCAAATTGAAGATGGAAAGGTCAAGGCTCTCCATGTTGAACCTGATAATACTGGTTTGGATGGTGCGTTCTTGTTTTACCTCTTCTCCCCTTCCCTCTTCCTCCTCTCCTCTCTTCACCCCACCCCTCTTATCCCCTAATACCCCCCATCCCAAACCCAACCCCAATCCCAATCCCAACCCCATCACAAACACCAAACACCAATTCCCAAACCAAGAAAACCAACTAACGCCCTTCCCCCTCCCACCATAGTAAGCGCCGCAGAGAAAGTCCTCGGTTGAATAATTCACCTACCTAGGTATACCGTATGCCGTACCATATACCGTATACATACAGTCCATACATACCCACGCAAATTTTCTAAGATTAAGGGTTATGGCTAAGATCAAGGGCTAGTTTCATTAGCTTACCTTACCTTTCTCGGTGATTATATAAATATTTGATTAATCTATTCATCTGACGCACCTCACCTGCTCCTGTAAATACTCGAGTACAGTAGGTTGGTTATATATTGACTAATGAATGAATCGCACTGCCGCAACTACAACATGTACTTACCTAGGCATACCTTTCTTTTCTTTTCTTAAATGTTTGAATGTTTGATCCTCCTCACATTGTACTCGAGTATTATATCCATATCATATCATATCACACCACAACACAACACAACATAACACAACACAACACAACACAACAAATCATAACACACCAGTCATAAATTCATAATCAACAAAGAAAAATCGCACATCATATACAACATAACCTATCATATCATATCATTCTCCATTCTCCATTCTCCATTCTCCATTCTCCACTGTTCAATTATCCCATGGCATCATTTGCTCGCTCAAATATGAGATGGTAACTCCCTCCCTCCGCCTTACCTACGTACACGTCAAATACGCACTGCACCCTCCTATAATTCCCATACATACATACAAACAAATAAGAGATCCACACCCCACCTCAACCCCAACCTCAATACACATACCAACTAGCTAGTAAGACTAAAACTAGATCGCTCGTGCTAAATTGAAGTTCACGAAGTTCTCGCTAATAACGTTATATCTGAAATGTTTTCCAAAGCTCATCTGCACCAATACCATACCACGCTAATGCTCGCTAAAACCATTCGTCTAAAAAAAAATTCGATCAAGTATTTTCGACGATCCACTTCCAAAGCCTTCGAAAAATTAACTAGAATTACCGACTTCGAGGCCGCGCTTTCCAGCTGGATTGATTTGTCGCTTGCTTTGCGTTGTTTTCTTCTCGTATGGTTGCAATGTTAGATTCGATTCCTCGCGCATAAGTGAACATATCGATGCTATTGTCATCATCAATATCATCATCATCAGCATCTTCGACGTCGATAGCATTATCATCCGAAGAAACGTGTATATCGTTGTCTGACAATAGATCCTCCTCCCTCTCTAGGGGTTTGTCCCGGAGATGAGCGATTCCTGTGAAAGACGAGCGATCAGAAGATTCTCCTGTGTAGTCGGAGTTAGAAAATATGCTGAAATAAGAGGACGGCTCTGGAAGTGTTGATGGCTCAAGCATTATAAGTTGTTCCGAGATATTTTCTGCTTTGGCGGGTAAATCCTCATATGATCGGGGTGGCAAAGGAGATAGGGGATCCTTGGTACGAGCAGTCATGCGGGTTATTTTGCTGATTATGCTATCCTGAGGGTCAGAATTATAGAATGAAACCAGCGAAGACTTTGGAATGGTATGTACCATCTTGTTCGAAGTTGAGCGTGGTGCGGATGATTTGGAGACTCTGACAGGACCATGAACATTTTCCATTTTCCATCGCGTATGTACCTTGTAAAGTAAATGATCAGCTGGTTGCACGCCGCCAAGCCCACTGGCACTAAAATTGACGAGAGACGATGGGGATCCTGGGCTATCACAAGCCAGATCGGTCGTGAACTCGAAGTCCATGTCATCGGAAAGCACACTCGGAGTTTGTCGTCGTATTTTAGGGGTTTGAAACATATCTACTCCTTCGGAATAGTCGTTCAAAGGCCTGAATGGTAAAAGTGAGCCAGAAGTTGTCCTACGTTTGAGGAAATGTCTCTGAGGGTGTGAGCAACCGACCGCATCTTGAGTGTGGCTGCTGTAGCCGTCCTTGTCAACGCCAGTAATATGCAGCGGAGGTTCGGAACGGCCACGATCGCCAGAGAGATCACTAAAAAAGTTCGTTCCATGATAGAAAATCATCGGCCCATCGTCACGCGGGCTATCGCTGTCAAGCATCTTATCAGGGGATGCGAAGCCGGCAAGATTGTAGTGGTTTGGCGAATCACTTTCATCGTAAGACATCTCGGAGGGATGTTGCGGATACCGAGCAAATATTGGCTCATAGAAGAATGCACCGGTCGTGAGAGGACTCTTTGCGTTCTTGGGTAATTTTTTCGAAGGTGCTTGTCCTGTGGGAGTGATTTTGTTGGTATGAACCTTGCGCCTCTTGCGCGAACCTTCATCACTATCATCATCATCGAGTGGATATCGAAGATGAACACTGCTATCGCCACTGTCGCTACTTAGCCGTGTTCCTTGAGTGCCACCTCTCCATCGCAGTTTCTTGCCATCTGGAGATACCTGAATCTTTGTGCTCAATTCCGTGACTGCAGATCTAATAAAGTCTGGTGTAACGTTGATGATATGGAGTTGCGCCATGTTGATGAGAAGATTCAAATAAACCCACCCATCAGCGTCAATGGCAGCGTCTTGTGATTCTTCCATTAATAGCTGGGGTGCTGAAATGCCAAGGTGGCGAATATACTTGACATTATCAGAACCAACTTGTTCACGATCTGGATCCAATTCCAAGGGTCTAGTTGGCCTCTGCTCTGGTGAAGGCGACCCGCGAGACTTTGTAGGAGCATAACTTAATTGCTCTGTTGGCGATTGGGCGGTCTTCGAGTTATTTTGAGCGCTTTTCAAACCCTTTTTATCTAGTTCCATGTTATGTGGCCCAATGTTGGCTTCGCGCACACCTTCTTTGGGTTTTAGGTGGTTTTGTGAGGCTTGATCCGCTCTCGCGGCAGACTGAGACACTTCTTCTTGTTGCTTGGAGTGGCTGTGCTCACCGCCATCGATGAGCGGTCCTTTCTTTCCTGTAAATAATTGTTCCAGACGTGTGACAACCATTTTCTTCCTCTGTTTCTCAGTCATTTCTAGCGAAGTTCTCGGTAGTTGCCTCTCGGGAATGTCCTGTAGGAAATCTTGCATTTTTCGGTATTCCGTGTGCCTCGTCTGAGCTGCTCGATGTTCTCTCCCGACCAAGTGACCATGAGACGGCCCGGATCTTGACATCGACGCATATGCAGAATCAGTTGGTCGAAAATTGAATCCCGGTAAAACAGATTTATGCTTTGAAAGTTGACCGGAAAGTGGATTAGCTCTTGATGGACGACCCGATGGAACTTTAATGCCAAGGTCTTTTGACGAATTGTTAAAAGTAGTAGAAAACGAGCGAAGAAGTTCTTCCAACTCCCTTCGTTTGCTTGCCGGCAGGGAATGGATCTTAACTTCGAAAAGCTTTTCATTCTCCAAGTGGGTAACAGACGAACGTTTAAATCTCTTAAGCTCTTCCCTCAATTTCTGGGTTTCAATCGTCAAATCGTCAATAATACTACGGTACTCTTCTGAAGAGCTGCCACCCCGAGATCTTGATATACCTTTCAGTTGGTGCAGGCTGAATCGTTTGGTTCGAACAGACACCTCTTTGCTGGAATAGGTGTCATCGTTGGAGCTTTGTTGAAGAAAGTATGGCGGGTCACCTGCGGATATGTCAATACAATACACAGAGGCTGATGAAGCTTTCTATCTAACCACTTACTGATTTCTCCGGAGTCCTGATTGATAGTAGTCGCAGGACGTTCATTTGAGCGAACAAACCACTCATTCACATTCGTTCCAACAGTATCCTCTGAATCGTCGAAGATTTGTTTCCTACGAGGTGACATAGAAGTGCCAACTGCCTCAGTAGCTGCGTCTGCCGTTGCTATAGCATTTGAAGCCACCTGTTCGTTTCCAATAGGATATCCATCATATATCAAGGGTAAGAAGAGATACTTTGGAGATCGTCGAGGATGAGCACCAGTCGTAACTATAGGTGAACTAGACTCCAAATCCATAGTGGGTGAAACGATTCAAGATTATATGAGATAATGTTATTGTAAAGAGCCCATTGCAACAGATAAGTATTGTGTTTGGCAAACTTTATCGGTCTTGGTATGTATGTTACTTGTATACTTCTTGACTCTTGATTCTTGACAGAACAGAACCAAACAGAATAACAAAAGGGTATAATTCGTCAAGTGAGAAAAAGATGAAGATGTAGATCGGAGTGTATGGCGCAATATGTTGTAATAGATTTGAAAAGATAATTACCATTTGTCGAGAGGTTATTTATTTTTCCAAAGAAAAGGTGAATGGATGAAGACAAGACAAAACAAGATATCCGATATCCGACATCCACCACCTTGTCTTGTCGGTAATAATAATATCATTACTGAGGGTTGAAAATGGCCTCATCTTGTTTGGATCCCTTACTTCACCTTCACATTCACTACTTTCTCTGTACATAACTTGATCGATGTTAGCAACTTACGATCTATCAAGCATCCTTTAAAATTATTTGAGGGTTGCAGAGATCTGAAAATCATTGGGAGATCTTGGTTAAGTGGCATAAGCTTAACTTAATATGATTGGCTAGCATGAATTCAAATAATCATAATTTACACAGCTTACAAGTCACAAATCATGGCCCCACCAATCGAAATCATGTATGCATGCATGCCAAGTTTCGAGCAATTAATGATTGTTTGTTTATCCTTTTATTTTTATGTCTAGAAAGGGAAATATTATTGATATTCCAATTAGCTAGGGGTCATTTGTTGTTCGATTTCATCTGTTTTACAACGACAAGGAATGGATCCATTTTATAGAAGCAACTAAGAAGCTTTTACCCGCTACTAGAAGGAAGTAATCCATCCAGATATCTAACGTTCAAAATTGGATGGATGGCCTGTAGTACCTAGTAGTTATATCAACAAAACCAAAACGTTCCATCTCGATTGGACTAGAAACACCAAGCCCATGTACCGTGTACCGATACTTACTCCGTACATTTTCAGCTCATCTCATCTGCCCCCCTCATTTTATCCGGCATTCGGGGGTAATCGAATTCCACATCTCATCGACGATGATGCTTACAGAAAAAAACCACTTCATGTACCAGATCCGTTATTAAACTAATGTGCTGTTCGAAGTGGTAATGATATAAGGTTAAGGTTACCGGTATCATCGAAAGGTCAACATATCGAAGGATCAACATATCAAAGTATCTCTGTACCAGCCAACAATCGCTTTTTGCGTTGGTGCTACCCACGTTATTACTTTACTTATCGGCCATGCAATACATCCATCTCCTACAGTCGATTTGTACGCAGATTAACGGCGGATAGTTAGCCTATCTAAGGTAAGAATAATACATAAACAATCTTCTGTTGATCAAAAAGTTGTCCGGATACACGATTTCCATTTCTGTCGATTTTGAATTCATAAGCCACCCCCAAATCAAAATGATAAGCTTACCTAGACATGGTTCCTATATACTGTAACTGTATCACAATTGGGTGGTAATAATTTGAAGATTTGCCATGGATGAATGAGCTTCGAATTTACATCATGGCTCACGGTTCATAGCTCATGGTCAAGCTAATCTTCGCCTAAATCAACCAAAGGATCGAGATTCCTCTTTGCAACATTGCGATTTGTCTCCGACTTGATGTATCGGCTCTCGGGCTCCTATTCCTGTTGTAACTTGTCACACAAAAACTGTTTCTCTCAGTCCTACCATGACAATACATCCCACAAAAGGTAAAGGTCACGGGAGACATCAATCGATCAATCACTCGCGCCCGCGCCAAGAGTCTCATCATACCAAGCTCTTTCCCATCTTCACGATGTCCAATACCAATCCATCATCTAACGGCGCATCGGATCTTCCCAGCGGCTCGTACCCCATTTTCTCATAGAAAGCAACACCACTCAAAGTTGAACCAATTTCAGCCCTCTTAAACCCCGCTTCGATCGCAGCATTCTCACAAGCGCGGATAATCATACCAGCGATCCCTCTCCGGGTCCAACTAGGATGAACAAAAAAAGCGCGAATTCTGGCGCCATCTACTTCAGGATCCAAGAGCTGCGAATTTCGAGTGGCGAACTGGTCTCCTCCATATAACGTGGACCTATAAGATATTCCTCCACTCCCAACGATTAATTCTCCAGAAGTCACTACAAAGTAGTTGCCATCCTTGATGAGTTGGGTATCAACTCCGTATACTGATTTAAGGGCACCGGCTATTTGGGCTGGCGTGTAATGTTCGACTTGAAGACCTCGGACCGATGCATCGATGAGCGGATGAAGTTGCGGGATGTCATCTACGGTGGCTCGGCGAAGTTGGAGATTCATGGCGATTGGAATGTATTCTTGCCGAGTACATCAATTTGTACTTTCTCGTCAGTATCAGATGGAAATACTTTACACGAGCATTTGAACATAGATCTGCCTCCTTTTGAAGCCATTGTCGATCGGGGTGATCATCGGAGCTAAAGCTGTCCAGGAGTGAATCTGGTATAGACAACATGGTCATATCACCACTTCACATTCTGATGGCACGATGAGGTTGCAGAACATCTAGGCACCAGCCAAATGGTACCGAGATCGCAGTCCCTCACAATTTTAAGGCATTGGCTACTACGACGTCGCAGAGTTGTCGGAATCCCGGTATGAGAAAACGGAAATATGTCGGTAGTTCGTCGGTTGCACAATCAGTATAGCCAGATGTTGCCCAAAATTTCTTTGGGCATGGGAAAAGCATTGGTTGCGAGCAATGTCTTAAGACGACTCTGCGAACCTTCGTCTTCTGACTCGTTCCAAGAATTGATATATGTTAATTAGACGCTATTATGCAACTCTACCCCTCCCCCTCGATAGGATATATGCTTTCTGTTCAACAGCATGCGATGCGTTGAGGTCTATATTGAAGATTCAATATACGAAGATATACTAATATACATACTGTCAAATACCACCTAGTTAGTTCAGCTAAACAGGAGATCAAATGATGTTCGCATAGGAGCTTTTTTCAATGCATTAAAGGAATATTAACCAATTAGATGTCTTTATTTGACTCGTTTTCTTAGCTTTCATCCATACCGTATTGCTGCCGATGTCATCATCTCACTTGCAACAAGTTGTCTAAAATGGGGTACATGATATATCCGAATTGTTCCTAAAAGGGTTTACTCATAGTGCGGGGTTGAATTATACGGTGACCGAGAAGATAGTTTGCATCTTTATTAAATTCTATGGACATTTGTAGATAATTCATCACACCTACCTAGGTAACTCAAAGAATAGAGTTCATTTACATTCCAATGATCTTTGATCTTTGAGTACTACTTAAACATTTAAAGTATATCTTCATATAAAGGCTCACTTCGAAATATCTAGTAAATTCTCGAATCATCTCAGCCTTTACATGGGTGGAAGGAAACCTCCTTTAAAGTCTGGCGATGAGGTAATTGCCACCCACCACCTTGCCAGTATTCCATGTTCTTGTTGGCGGGGAAGAAGGGTAAAAATTATTGTAACAACGAAAACCAATTATTTTTTTCTTCCTTTGTACTTGGTTCTCATATCAAACAAATTGTACAATAATAAGAACTCTTACCTAGAAATTCCTCTATTGCCATTCTTTTCTTTTCTATTTTGATACCCCAAAAAGTTTCAGACGTTTGAAGTTCATGTAATCGCTATTGAAGACGTTGCCCGATTCAAAATCTCCTGTTCCAAGTTTATTTGACCTCCTTGCAAATCATTCAATTCAAGCACAGCTTACCTACTACTTACCAACGAAGAAATCACTCAGCACCTTTGGCATATTTATCCTATCTTATTCACATTAGCCTTACCGGGAACACCCGCCCGTCGCTTGTACAGTTCCGCATCATATTCTTCTTTGACACTTTGACAGCTTCCTCTAAAGAAGAGAGCTATTTCGACTCAAGGACAAGAACCTACTCTACTCGATCTAGATCAGTTAGTTCTAGGCGTGCCACTACTCGGATATTCGACTCAACAAAATAGCTATAGCATGCCTTCTCTAGTTAACGAGGAGGCTGAGGCTTCTGGCAGATTACTGCTGGTATCAAACAGGTTGCCCATCACGATCAAACGAGCGGAAGATGGTCAATATAGTTTTTCTCAATCCTCTGGTGGATTGGTTACGGGGTTAAGTGGGTTATCTAAGACAACTACCTTTCAGTGGTATGGCTGGCCAGGTTTGGAAGTGCCAGATGCTGAGGCTAAACCTTTGGTTAAGAGACTGAAGGATGAATATGGTGCTCACCCAGTTTTCGTCGATGATGAACTGGCTGATAAGCATTACAACGGTTTCTCCAGTATGTACTCTCTGCTAGCTATATCTGGTTACATTTGCGGGTACTAACAATTTCTATAGATTCTATCCTTTGGCCTTTATTCCATTACCATCCAGGAGAGATTACATTCGACGAGTCACAATGGGTTGCATATAAGGAGGTGAACAGGCTATTCGCGCAAACGATTGCCAAGGATGTACAAGATGGCGATTTGATATGGGTCCACGATTATCATCTTATGCTCCTCCCAGAAATGCTGCGCGACGAAATCGGCACGAGCAAGAAGAATGTCAAGATTGGCTTCTTCCTTCACACACCTTTCCCTTCCAGTGAGATTTACAGAATTTTACCTGTTAGAGAATCTTTGTTGTTAGGCGTTCTTCATTGCGATTTGATCGGCTTCCATACATATGATTATGCTAGACATTTCCTTAGCAGTTGCTCTAGAATTTTGTTAGTTACCCTTGCTACCTTTCGTGAACTTTAGCTAACAATGTATAGGGAAGCACCAACGACGCCTAATGGTGTTGAGTTCCGTGGTAAATATGTCACAGTAGCGGCTTTCCCTATCGGTATCGATCCCGATAAATTCATCGAAGCTCTTCAAAAGAAGTCGGTCACAGAGCGTATCGCTCAACTAGAACGCAAATTTGAAGGTGTCAAACTCATCGTCGGAGTTGATAGACTAGATTACATCAAGGGGGTCCCCCAAAAGTTGCACGCCCTTGAAGTTTTCCTCACGGAGCATCCCGAATGGATCGGTAAAGTAGTACTCGTCCAAGTTGCCGTTCCCTCTCGTCAAGACGTTGAAGAATACCAAAACCTACGAGCCGTCGTCAACGAACTTGTTGGCCGCATCAACGGGCGCTTCGGCACCATCGAATTCATGCCCATTCATTTCCTCCATCAATCCGTTTCCTTCGAAGAACTCACTGCTCTCTACGCCGTCTCCGACGCCTGTCTCGTATCCAGTACTCGAGATGGCATGAACCTCGTCTCCTACGAATATATTGCCACGCAGCGTAAACGTCACGGTGTCATGATTCTTTCCGAATTCACCGGTGCGGCACAATCCCTCAACGGTGCTCTCATCGTCAATCCATGGAACACGGAAGAACTCGCAGATGCAATTCATGATGCGGTAACGATGTCTCCCGAACAGAAAGAAATCAATTTCAAGAAATTGGAAAAATACGTCTTTAAATATACAAGCGCATGGTGGGGCGAGAGTTTCGTAAGTGAATTGATGAAAATCAGTGAACATGCAGCCAAGAAAGCAAGTAGTAAAGAGGGTGGGAAGGGGATCACTCCAAAAAGACAAGAATTAGTAGAGGGGGTTAAACAATTTAATACAGGGGAGACGAGGGAGGAAGGCACGTTGGAACCGGGTGAATTCGATGATTAGAATACCTAACCCTAAATACCTAGTAGTTAGTTGGGGTTAAACGTGTTATAATATGATATGAAGTAAAGGAAATGAAGGAAATAATATGATAATGATAATGATAAATAATCTCTCAGGGACATACCTACGTACATACACACTCTCCTTTTAGCATATTGTATACAGTACGAGTATAGCATTGTATTGTGTGTATGGATGGATATGTGTGGATATGGATATGGATGTGGATATGGATGGCGTTTACAGTATTTTTATTTTTGCGCATGATGATGATGGTGAGGATGATGATGTTGATGATGTTGATGATGATGATGATGATGATGGTGAGGATGATGATAATGATGGTGAGGATGGTGATGTGAATTATATTGATTGATTGGCTGGGAAGTGATAGATAGGGAGGATGGAAGGAAGTGGGAAATGGGAAGTGGGAAGTAAGAAATAGGGGAGGGATAGATAAGAAGTGATAGATAGGTAGGGAGGAAGGAAGGAAAGATAAGATAAGATAAACCTATACATCTATAAGGAAAGGAAAGGAAAGGAAATCTGATATGATATGATATGAGGTGAGGTGATGAGGTGATGGAATGATGGAATGCAATGATGTTCACACACGGACACATACACATACAAATTAATGAATCGCTTCGATTACATACATACATACACACTTACTAATTTTGCAAACTTCTAATCTCTGGCTTCGTTTTGTCGATTATTTCTTCCCTTCCCCTCCCCTCCATTTAACCATCCTTTCACCACCACCACTACTTCACACCACCTCTCCAATCTAAAACATCCCCAAAAGATCCTCGTTCGTTTTCTTCCCACCTCCACCACCACCACCACCACTACCACTACCACCCTGCTGTAACTGCGTCTGTGCACTTGGCGGTTGACTAGCACCACTCAAATCCAAGCCCGCAAAACCATTCATCATATCATTTCCCATCCCAATTCCGCCTGCAACTGGAGACGGAGCTGGAGCATCAAACAAACCCATCATATCCGCCATACTACCACCCGCATTTGAGCCTGCAGCTGGACTATTAACTCTTTGTGGCGTCCCAGCCAATCCTTCCAATCCACTCGTGCCCGCAGTCGGAGGCGCATCTGCACTTGCTGGAGCGGCACCATCGAAATCAATGTCGAGGAGATTCTCCGCGTTGTTCTGAGCAGGAGTGCCGGTTGCGGCTGCGGCTGCAATGGGGTTTTCGACGGCATTTTCGCGCTGTTCTTGGATGGCGGCATGTTGTATGGCGTCGGCGCCGTAGCGACCTTGGCCGACGAATGTCTCTGGGGGTTTGTGGTAGACGGAAGCGAGGGTACTGAGTTCGGTTAAGAGTTGGTCGAGGAGGGCTGGGGGGAGGGATGTCATGGTTGTGGTGATGGGGGGTTTGTCGGATAAAATAATGTCCTGAGTTTGTTGTCAGTAGGAATAACCTTAGTGAGTGAAGAGGATAGGGGTAAATACCTTTGCTATTTGAAGATCACCTGACAATAAACGCCAATATACATAAGCTCTATCTCGGATATCAGGGTTGTCATTTTCGGCCGTTGATACTTGTAAGACCTTTTGGACGAGGCCTTGATTATTGTCCGGCTTCTTCAAGAACAACTTGACAACAGCTGTTAGGATTTGAAGTTGAGTCTGGGTAAATTCTTCCATGAAACCTTCAACAAATCCCGCAAGGATTTCATCCGCATTGCTGATCTTCTCGGCATATTCGCCTACAATCCAAATTAAAGCTCCTCGTGCATTCGGCTCATCTAATTCGTCGATGTACTTGCACAAGGTTGGAATGATACCTTCGTATCCTGGATACTTCCTGAAGATGTCTTTGATAACCACAATGGCCTCTTGAACCACGTAGTTGACCTTCGTAGCAATCAAATCGAGTAGTGTATTGACACACTTTTCGCTTGCGCTCTCAATTTTGATGGCTGCTTGGCCAATAGCTTTGACAGCTCTTCGAACGAAATCCATGTCGACTTCGAGAGCATATTCCTTAAGCTCAGACAACAACTGATCAACATTTTTATCATTTGCTATCCGTACCATGATCTCCAATTTTTGAAGTTTAACATATGGGGGGTCATTATATTTGCAGAAAAACACTCTCAGTTCTTTGCTAAGAATGTCAGGCTTCGCTTGCAAGAGGAGATCGATATTCCTCAAAGCAACATATTGAACTTCTGGGGCGGAAGCAACAAGAGTTACTGAGTAACGATTAGCGCAGTGATTCTCGGACATGAATATTCCACCTACCAAGTGGTGGAGCCATCTTTTTCAAATATTGCTTTCCCAATTCCGCATTGACATTCCTCATATGAAGGAAAACAACCTTCACAGCAGCCAAAACAACACTTGGGTTAACGTGTTGGAATTGAGGAGATACTCTTTCACAAATGTGTTCCGACTCCTTAACATCCGTAGCCTTGTAATCTGCCAGAGTCGTCAAAATTGTCACTCTTCCCCATTCAGTACACTCATTTAAAGCCATAAGCATCTTCTTCAATGTCGTAGGTGTGATCCGTAAAGCCTTTGTCTCCGGAGCAGTCTCGTTGATTTCCACGAGCGCGGTCACCGAATTAGCCACCACCATAGGATTGGGATCTCCAACCATTTCTTGCAGAGTTTCCAGGAACCCGTTTTCGAGACACATTGTAGGATTAAGATCGAATAATTTCGCAACGCAGATTGCTGCAGTCTTTCGCACATATGGCGATTCATCCCTTAACGTTTTCCGTAATGGCTCCTCCATATAATCCACCATCTTATCTACTCGAATACAACCCATCGTTCGTATCGCAAGGGCTCGAACCAGTGGATTTGGATCTTCAGAATCTTGAACGAAAGTATTGACCGCTAGAATACAAAGGTCTGGATGCGATTTGGCATAATTCCTAGAGTAAACATTAGCACAGCATCCCATCATCATACTCCCAATGAACGATCCTGACATACATTAAGTATAGATATACTAGCTTCTTCTGGTCTAAATCCGATGTAGCAATGTTCTTTAGAACATCTGGAAACAACGCAGACACATCCTTGCCCAAGGTCATGGACATGATGGTCTTCTGAATTGCTTCCTTGCGCTCGTAGGCATATTGAGATACTAAACCCGCTCTCAGCTCATATGTTTCGCCTTTCTTGGGTGGCGCGAAGGCCCCTCTGATCCTATTCACCGCCATCGCTCACACAGATGGCGACCTTGAGGGTGCCCCTCATACGCCAATGGCTTAGTTGTCGTTTGACGGTAAGGCCACAGTTCGTGGAAGTAGTTGATTATCGTAGGTTTGCGCTTTCCTAGTATGAATCCTCAAGTATATCCCGTAAGGTAAGGGTGAATTATGAGAGTTGTAAATCGTGCTGTGTAGTATGGGGTTGCTGTTAAAGTGGTGGTTTGTTGATAGGTAGCTTCAGCCTGGTGTGCTTTGTGGAGAGGACTCGCTAGATCTTCAAAGAACAGGGGACAAGCAATCATGCTTTCATATGGTAATCCCCTGGCAAATAAAGTCTCATGAAAACCAAATTATTGATAAACCCCTTGAAGATTACGACTTATTATGGTAACATTCATCCCCTCTATTTTTATCGAGTTGCGAGACTGATGGCTTTCTTCAAGGCAAATTTACCAAATCTTCGACGTCTTTTTGTTGAAGCAAGAACCGATGCTGAGGAAAGCACGTATTCAAGAAATGCGGTAGGTTTCTTTTATGGTTGGATCTTCAAGACTTTTGACTTATGAATCATAGTTCTACAACATAGTTCTATTCATATCATCTATTGCAGTTTTCAGTGTCATTGCACAGCGTGTCAGCAAAATTCAGACATAATCACTAGTAATGGGATGCTCAGGCCTGACAACGGGAAATAGACTTGAGGATTTTGCTGCACCAAACTTGCCATTGTCTTGTTGTCTTGAGCTGTCCGAAGGCTTGAACAGTGTGGTTGGGCCTCATGCGAATGAGCATGCAGGAGCCTATGGAATGTGTGATTGAAGGATCAGTGCCATGAGTCTAGCACACATGCATTGGAAGACAGTGTCCTTGGGATTCAAGAGACCGGGGTGAGGAGAAGCAGTGTGCTGGTTGCAGACACAGTACTTCATGTTCCTCTACTACTCCACCAGCACCTAGACGAGATGCCGTCCGTATGACCCTCGTCACAAAGTCTCAATCACATATGGGTTCCCTCCTTCCCAATGACTCCTTGGTATATTATCACCCTTCCCACCCATGACTCATTCCTGGGAAAATCATTCCTCGCCGTCCAATTGCCCTCACCACCCCGAAAGCTGTGATGTAGGTATATGTCTGCGCCAGAACTCCGATCCTGTCTCCCTCTCAAGCAGTTGTCCCATCCACAACCTCTCCAGTAGTATTCTTTCCTGGCGCAACGGCCTCCTTGCCATCCTCCTTCTGCTTCTCCCACTGTTCTGGCGTGTAGCACTTTGGGGTCCAGGCATGAATGGCCGCAATCTCCGTCTTCAAGGCTCCATTTACCAATCTATGCCTTGCCAATGTAGTCTTCTTCTCGAATTGTGGTGAAACAATAACCGCGGAATATGCCTGACCACAGCCTCCTGTAGACCAGAATAATCAGTATGGCGGGGGGACTGCGGGGCAGTAGAAGGTATTCGTACCTGACATGTCTTCGATTTCAACATGAGTTGCGTTTAGTGAATCTGTGATCTTGACCTTGAGAGCTTCCGCAGATACGCTTGATGCTTCTGCCATTATTTCGTTGATAGAGAAATATTGGTATATGTCAGTTAATGGGAAGTGTACCGAACTTTTCTCAAATTGTCATACGAAATGGGGATTGCGATTGCGATGATGCGTAATAGCCGCCGCTTTAGTGAGCCTTACACTCTTGGAGAAAGTCATCAACATGTGGGTTGGCAAACGACACAAAACTCGATATTGAATGTAATGTTCTCAAGGATAGTTACCAAGAACATTGTAAGATCGAAAAGAACCATGTCTACAGCTTCTTCCCCATTCACTCAGGCTGTTGTGACGGCTATGAGAAAGTTGTAAGTCATGGTCAATCAGAAGATTCAAAGAGCCCATCACTCACGGTACATTGTAGGTATCCTGAGAAACTCGCTGATAGTAGTTTCGATAATACGGGACGTAAGTTTTCATTCTGAATTCTTTGGTTGAGGCGTTTACTGATATTCTCCAAGTTTTGTTGGAGGCACCACATCGCGAAAATTATCTCAAGGATTCAGTCCTTCTGACTATTGATCTCACAAAGGGGGTTGCAGATGAAGCTATTCGCAGAAAAGATTCAATCATTGTCACATATCGTAAGTAGAGTTGGTATGAAATAGAGTAAGAGTATCTATTGTATTTGTCTAATTCATCTCTAAGATCCTATTATTTTCCGACCTTTGAAAGCGGTCACACTAGCCAACTCCCAACAGAGTTCTCTGCTCCGTCTTGCCCAAGAAGGTATCAGTATTTACAGTCCTCATACTGCTGTAGATGCTGCACCGGGAGGCCTCAATGATTGGCTTGCCGATATAGTCACCAATCGACCCTTGAAGAAGGATCAATCGTATGTTCTCTCTTCTTGCCCGCTTAACTCGTGATATAAGAGGCTGAAATTTTAATAGCACTGGTACCGAGTCCATCGACCACGAACGCTCAATCATCAGTTCCGTCAAGGATATACCCAATGGATTTGAAGGTGCCGGATATGGCCGAGTCGTCCGATTCAAGCAACCTCAGAAGCTAGGAGATCTTGTTGCACGGATACAATCCTCGCTTCAAATTGAAGGCCGCATATCCGGACTTTCCGTAGCAGTTCCACAATCCATACCTAGAGGGCAAAAGTCTTCTATTGAAATTTCTTCGATTGGTATTTGTGCTGGATCGGGTGGATCTATGCTTAACGGTTTAGATGTTGACTTGTTATTCACTGGCGAATTGAGCCATCATGAAGCTTTGGCGGCCGTTGAGCAGGGAAAATGCGCTGTTACTGCGTTCCACAGCAACACAGAGAGAGCATTTTTAAAGGACCGAATGCAAGCTGCATTGGCGGAAGCAATGGAAGGAAAAGCGGATATTGCGGTAAGCGAGGTCGATAGGGATCCCTTTGATATCGTTCACAAGGATGAGGTGAATTGGTAATATAGTGGGTGTCCCTGCCAGTTTATACGAATATTCGTCCGTCCGTAATCCTAGTATATAGTAATGGTTCGCGTGCCGGTGGTGTCGTCATTGTCATGATGTTCTTCTTGCCTTTATACTGATCCAACTCTTTTTATTTGGAGGCTCGCCTCTCAAAGCTGCCTCGCCGTCCTCTATACAGGCTTGGACATCATTTCCGCCCACGCCTCTCTCCTTCCACCTTCTCAACAACGTCAGAGTTTTTTCCCATTCCGACCTAGCCTCTTCTTCGTTGCCCTCCGCTACCAAAGTTCTTAGTTTCTCAGGTGTTTCCAATATCCGTAGCACAAGTTTCTTCATATTTTGTTTCTTCTGAAACGCCGCCCTTTCCTCAACTCCCATCTCCATAAGCTTCCTTTGTGACTCTGGAATACCCTTCTTTAATTCCCCCTTGATTTTTTCTGCCCTCTCATAGATACTCGCGATTGCCGGGTCCAGCGTACTAGCCATTGGATTTAACGGATCCATGTTTGTCCTCATCTTCCTGATCGTCTCTGTTGCCGCAATCAACTTGCTGTAATTATCATAAACCAGTGCCTTCTTCTCCGCATCCAAAGCCCGTATATCAGTCAAAACCCCATTATAAGTCCGCAGCAGCTCTCCCAGTGTTTGTTTCTCCAGAACCTCTTTCACGTATTTTTCGCCGTCGAATTCATCTTTGTCCATCTCACTTTCTTGTACTTCACTATCAAAGTGGACTGAGGAGACTTCGGATGCAGCATCGTCGGTAACAGCTTCTTGGCCTTTCTTGAGATTGTAATACTCTCGTAGAGCAGCACGATTGCGCCGTGGTATCGCGATTGAGGAGCCTCGACTGGGAGAAGGTTCAGATGAACGGGAGCGGTCTAAACTTGGTCGTGTTGAGGAGGTAGGTGTGGTGAGTAAAGGCACACGGCGGCCATTTACGGAGCTTTCTCGAGGTTGCGCGATCGTAGACATGATGCGCGAGGTCAAATACCATACATCAGCAACTGTACAATCCTTCTTGGCTAACAAACCAGCTGGCCTTCATGGGATTCAGTAATGGGGAATGAGGTTGTAGATGTTGAAAGTGAAGGCACGAGCGTAAGGCTGAGGTTCTAAACTTGTTCGTAAACGGCAATTATCCATTTCATAGAACCTCTAGAGGTTTTAGGTGCGGCATTGAAGTCACGTGCTGGATATGATCGTCTTTAGGCTTAGCGCGACAACGCTAAGCCTAAAAGCGACCGTATAAATTTCAAGTCTGATAAAAGTGACAGCATCGATAATTCGACCCAATAAACAGATACCTTTCCTCCCTCAAAGGACCCTCTTATTGTAAGATTGTATTTATATGCATACTAGATATAAAAGAAATGGACCAATTATAACATTGCATAAAGGGAAAGTCGGAACCGGAAATACTTTAGCGACCTTCCTTTTTTAGACTACCAGTGGACTTCGCAACATTCTCCCAATTTTAAATTTCGAGTGATTCGGACGCGTAGACATCTCAATCCCCGGACTAGGCTGTCAACTCCCTGGAAATAATATTTCTAGAATATCTCCAAAGGGGTGGGTTCACCACTGAACTCTAACATATTAGTGGCTAGGGAATCCCTCCCCTTTGTCTGGAGGCAGCGAGTGCTGCCATTGCTATGGTCCATCCTGTAAGAACCTCAGATTTCATCCCATCTTCATCCCAGAACCTTGTTCTCCCGCCGTAGATTTTGACTGCTCATTTCCGAATATCGAAGTTCTATGACAAGCGTTTGTGGACCTGCTTTGTAATTTAATGTATATTTTTGGCGCCAAAGCAAGGCTATGTGACAAGCCACCACCACCGAGGTCACGAAGCAGATGCATGCTTACTAAAACTCAATATATATGAAATGAATTCCCCGTCTGTCATGTTTTCTTTCACGCCTTTCACACCGTTTGCTTCTTTGCGAATTGCTTCCCTTTTCAAAAATTCAAAATGTATGCAATCAAGGTCGTTGCGATTGCTGCTTGTGCAGTTCAACTTGTAGTCTGCGCATTGCCGACCAACGCATCCCTACCAGTCGTTGATATTGGGTACGCTCTCCACCAGGCTACGATCAATGTATGTAAACCTCAATCAGTCAAACTCTGGAGTGGGTGCTAAAAACGATCATAGGAGACAGGACAGTACTACAATTTCTCAAACATTCGATACGCGGCACCACCCACAGGAAATCTTCGATTTGCAGCTCCAGTCGAACCTACTGAAGTTGACCGGACCATCAACGATGGCCAGCAAGGCGCTATCTGTGCCCAGGGAACACCATATTGGGAAGAAGTTGCTTCGTACTTCTTTGAAGGTGCCAGCACGGCTACCTTAGAATTTGTCGAGGCAGAAGTAGAAGCTGTCGGAAAAAATCTCACAATCTCCGGACTTTCGGCACCAGCACCGTTAACTTCAGAGGACTGTTTGTTCCTCGACGTCATTGTCCCAGAATCCATTTATGACTCTTACGGCGAAAGTGGAGCACCAGTTGTGGTCTGGATATTCGGAGGTGGCTATGTTGCTGGATCAAAATTTGGTTCAGGAAATCCGGCTACCTTGATCTCTAGGGCCCAAGAGAATGGAGATGATGGTGTAATTTACGTCGCTCTAAATTATAGACTTGGACTTTTTGTAAGTTTGCTTTCGCTTATCTTCGGGGGGTGAAGTAACTAATCACTTCTAGGGATGGCTTTCTGGTCCGACATTTGAGGAAAGTGGAACGGCAAACGCTGCCCTTCTCGACCAGAGATTGGCACTGGAATGGTAGGTTTTCTTCCGCTTCTGTCCATGGCCAGCCTGGTTACTACTTTGCTAACCAAATATCTTTAGGATACAAAAGCACATTTACCTTTTTGGTGGCGATGCAGATCGAGTAACAGTTATCGGCGAATCTGCCGGAGCTGGATCCATCATGCATCAGATTACGGCATATGGTGGCAGCAATGGCAATGTGCCTTTCTCCCAGGCTATTTTACAAAGTCCTGGCTATCCTCCCGTGTATTCGGATGTTCAGCAGGAGGCAACCTTCCAAAACGTCATCACACAAGCGCAGGCACTTATTGGCCCCAACATCACCTCAGTATACGATTTGAGGAATCTTGACTTCGCTACTTTGGCCGGACTTAACACTATCATTACTGCACGATCAGCTCCTTATGGTACTTTTACTTTTGGACCGGCAGTTGATGGGACTTTTGTACCCGAACTACCAGCCAAACTACTTCTTGCTGGAAAATTCGATACAAGCGTCAAGATCATGACTGGACACAATTCCGATGAAGGTGCATTCTTTACATCTCCTTTCTTCTCCACCGAAGCCGATATCACCAGTGATCTTACATCAGTTCTACCCACCGTATCTAACTCTACACTTGCCTATATTACTGGGACCCTATACCCTCCGGTCTACAATGGTTCCTATCCATACACAAGTATCTACGAACGAGCATCTCTGATCACAGCCGAGCTGGTTTTCACATGCAACGCTCGCTACATGAATACCGCTTTCCTTAACGAAACCCATTCCTACTACTTTGCCGTTCCACCAGGACTTCACGGGGAAGATATTGCATACACGTTCTTCAATGGCGATACTACAACTTCAAACGATGGACTACCTGTAAATGCTACAGTAGCAGCTGTATTACAAAGATACATCATGAACTTTGCTCAGACAGGCAATCCTAATGGGGATGGAGTGCCTTTCTTCCCAGTGTACCAAAGCAACGCTACGACAGTGGTTCTTGGAACCACTGGTTTGGGAAGCGTGCAAACTGATACGACTGCCAACAATAGATGTGAATGGTGGCAACAAGCGTTGTATGCCTAGTAGGGATAAGATGTGATACATTGATCTCATGGGTTACAAATTAGTTATGGTTTAATGTTTAAGTTTAGTTTACGTACTATTTATACCACATTTGTTTGATCAATTGTTCAATCATTGGATTCGTCATCAACATCTTGTGGTTTAGCTTGTTTTATAATACATCTTGATATGAAAGATGCTACCAGTATTTGAAATTTATGTTGTTTAGGCTAGCTCATATGAGAGTTTAAGTGCTATAACTCTACCATTGATCTCAACTCCGAAAAATCCCAGAATAAGATGTTACCGTAAGATAACGAGGTATCGAAGCATCTCATCTCGTATGTACTGTAACCACGCGGAATGCATTATCTCTGGAAACACTGAAAACGCTCGTGCTGTCTGTTCAAGTGAACAATTCGACGGTTTCGACACATCGAATCACTTCATTCACTTCATTCACTTTACTTTAAGTTGCTCCTCCAGATCCATTATCAACGTTGCATATATACTTAATAATGATAGTTCTATTACATACACCCATAAACAGAGGAGAATAGATATATAACCCTGTTCCGTCATACCAACTCTAACCTAAAATTCTAATCTGCGTTTTAGTGGAACGATTAGTGGTTTTTTGCGCTGTGTTTCGGTGAGCAAGATCGCGAAAAGCATATCTCCAGGAACTCTTTTACAGAAAGCTTGATTAGTGTCGTAGCATCTTGTGTCGATTGATTCTGTATGCTCTCAGTTATCTGGGCGGCTTCAGACGACGCCTTGGAGTCAACGAGGCCGCGGATGAGATGGCGACAATTGATTATCTTGCTCCTCTTCCTTGTTCTCCTTGTCTTTTTCTCTTTTATTCTTGTTCTCATCTCATCGACCTTAGTATTTGGTGGATGTGGTGCCATGGTTGCCATCACTTTCCTCTTTATGCACGATAGTACTCGAGTAGAACTTTAACACATGCAAAATCTGTTTTTCTACAGTATCCATTCCGCCAAATTACGTACCCTGTCCTTTGTCTGTATATCTCTCGAAGCAGTTGGATGATGTGTATGCTTCTACCCTGGAAATTCTTTCAATCTTGTGTTTTCATTACCCAGTGATTGTAAAGACCTTGTTTGACTCCATCCGTCTATAAACTCTGCCAGTCCTATCGACGAGCTGCCATGATCCTACTACTGTGGTATCCACTCTGCTCAGAATTATTCTTTCGATTCATCGTTCTAGGTCATGGAACTGGCGAGCCAGACTGTTTGCATGGACTTGAGTTTAGCTTTGTCATGCGAGATAGAGATCCCTGGGAGCCAAATCTAAATATAAATCATTGAGGTAGTCCTCGTACTTCCATAGTTCATTTTAGATACTACTATACGCCGACGCTAGGTTCATACAGACGATTTTTTCGATTCTTGAGTGCGTGTAGATATATGCATGATATACCCGTTGCTAGGTTCACGCTATTGAATGAATATGCCAACCACTGATGCTTTCGAAGTCCCTTTTAGACATAAATAGATCTAAAGAAACTCGATTCCTTTGAGGATTCTGCCTTTATCTCTATTGTTATTTACAGATTCTTTGATTATCTGCACAAAGGGACTTCCAGTACAATGAAATTCCATTAACAATGGCATTCTTCTCCTTAAGATGACTTCTTCCCACCAAGACACCTTCTCTCTTTTTCACTTCTGCAATTCTCTTAGAAATATCAAATACGTATTGAAGCCTCCAGTTCTATTTACGAACTACTACCTACAATTTACCACAAAACATAATCTAACAGTCAAACACACATTTATACTTACATACAAATTCCAAACTCACAAAAGAACTCCAACGAGAATCCAACCATCAAAAATGCCAAAATACACCCCACGCCCCTGAGGACAACCCCTTGAAGAACGACCTGGGTCGAGCCACACATTCCAGAAATGTTATCTAGGACTTTATTTCGAGAAGGAACTCTAGTTCGGAGACAGAGACAGATACAGAGACAAAGACAAATACCTAGGGTAAGTATTTTCACCGAAGAAAATGTAGATCTTATTTCCCATCCCACTTCCAGTGCGTGGTTTAGTATCGATCGGGGAGTTATACTCGAAGAAACAACGGAACAGGAAGAGGAAGAAGATGAAGGTATATCCCCGGAGCAGGAAACAAGAGCCCAAGGTATAGTATCACCCGTATCCCCACTCTCACCTGATTTAGCTGTTCAAACTCAAGCACAAGCACAGGCGCATGCCCATGCAAATGTAGAAATTGAAATCGAACCCGCAACACCTAGTTCAGAACTAGAACCCCATGCGCATTGGTATTTTAATTATGCGGATGCGAATCATTATCATGAGAAACATGTTTCGATCAGGGAGTATGAGGAAACTACTAATTTACAACTATTGCTATCACCTGATGCCTCGGTGTCGAGAGAGGAAACGATGGGAAAATGGGAGAAATGGAGGAGTGTTGGGTTGAGCAGAGTAAGGGAATGGTTGAAGAAGAGGCAGGAACGGAAGGCTGCTGAGAAAGCTGCGGAGAAATTAGAGAAGGAGGGGGATTTAGTTGTTGGGGTGAGAGTTCTTGAGGAAGAAGAGAGTATTAGTGTTGTGGAAGAAGAAGAGGAACGAAAAGGAGCGAGAGGTAAGGCGAAGGATATTGTGAGGAGGGGAACAAATAAATTGAGGAAACTATCACCTGAAGGTGGACGTAAGGAGGCGAAGTTGAAGGGCGTCTGGAGGGAAATGAGGAGGATTAGAGGGTTTCAACATATTGAGTAGGTGAGTATGTGAGTATTTTAGGTGAGTTTCTGTTTATTTATTTATTCCTTTCTTTTCAATTTTGGTACATGAAGTTTGCTGGTTGGTTGCTTGCTGTTGAGTATCGATTGTATATTATTTACTTGAATGAATGGTAAGTTTTTTTTTACTTCAAATTTTGTGGATTGTGTCGTGCTTTGCTATTTGATGTGATATTAATGAGCTTTTGTGACTAATCTAATCGGGTAAGTAATTCTCGGGTATAATATAAGTGTTTATATCCGAAGAGTACATCCGGCCCCGGCATAGCATCAAATGACTTAATTACTATCCTTACCTTGCATTGCTTTCGTACAGATCAAAATAGTAGTTTGCTAGAAAAATTACTACGTTTGTCACAAAGAGTGATGATTAGACTAGGAATGGAGTTTACCTGCCTACTTGGGATTTAGTTGCATAACACTATCAATTCGATGGATAGTATCCCTACTACTAATACTGTACCACGAGATTATGTACAGTGTTGTAAACCTAGTATTATATCGGCCGATACATGCACCTAATCTGCAATACATTAAGTAAATCCGATGCTACAATAATCAAACAAAGTACAGTATCCCCTTCATCAAGGTTTTTATAGTTTGAGAGCAATTTACCCAAGTTTTTTTACTATATCCATCTCGCATCAATAAATCTCATCATGCCTTTAAATGGAATTTCTTCAGTTCCAATTGTTGATCTCTCACCCTTCACATCTGGAGGTGATCTCGAATCTCGCAAACGAGCAGCGAAAGACCTAGCGGAGAAAGGACACATAAATGGAAGCGTAGGCATATCAGGCCATGGAATCTCGTCGGATTCACTCACAGAGGCTTTTGCCTTAGTCAAAAAGCTTTTTGATCTTCCGTACGAAGATAAAATGAAAGCGCCCCATCCCGATGCTCTTGTTCCACATAGAGGATATTCCGGCATGGGTAGAGAAAAGGGTGCAGCCAAGACTGCAACCGAAACGGATGATGAAGTGGAAAAAGATGAATATCTAAATGCTTCAGACTATAAGGTATATATACTTGTGAGAACTGTTCTTAAACACATATACTGATGATACCCGTTGGTTTGGAACGATAGGAGAGCTACGAAATTGGCAGCGAGGAGAATAAAGTTCAGTACAATATTTGGCTCCCTGAAGAAGTTCTCCCCGGGTTCCGCAATGATACAACCGAGTTGTTCTGGGAGCTAAACAACACAGCTAACGCCATTCTCGATGCCCTGATAATGAGTTTGGACCTAACAGAGCCGGAAGCCAAGAGTATTCGGACACTACACAATGGTCATGAGAATCAGCTGCGTTTCCTTCACTATCCTTCTATCTCCAGCGAGATGCTCAAGAATAAAGATATTGGGAGACTTGGAGCTCATACAGATTGGAGGCAAGCTTGATCTATCTATAGTTATTGACTTAAGTGACTGACTGAATTAGCTCCTTTACTCTCCTTTTCCAAGACGCAAGCGGTGGTTTAGAATTTGGCGATCGCAAAACTGGTGAATTCATGCCCGCTACACCGAACGAAGGAATCGTATATATGAATATCGGCGACATGTTCCAGCGAATTTCCAACGGTGAGTTTGATATCATCCACAAATAGGATTTTTCCTCCTAATATCACCAATCACCAATCATACTAACATACACAATCCCCCAGGTTTCTATCCATCCGCCCTCCACCGCGTCGTAATATCAGGGCAGGCCAGCGGAGAGCCAACGCCAGCTAGATATTCCATACCATATTTCGTAGTGCCGCTTCCAGATGGAGTGATTGAGCCTCAACCCTCTCTTGTTGTTGCTCATGGGAAACAGGTTTATGAACCTGTGACTTTTAACTCTTACTCTGAGCAAATGTTCAAGATTACCCAGATTCACGATGTAAAGGAATAGCTTTGATTTGATATTGCACAGATTCGATTTAGACTTTCTAGCCATGGTAATAATAGCTACTCAATTGAATCATGATTTTAATCTGCTGAAGCTCATCACGTTTCCTGTTCCCTTCCTCTTTTCTTTTCTTTTCTTCTTGTTTTTGTAAATCAAATAATCGTTTAAAGTCTCTTTCGCCTTTCCGCTAGACTTGCCTTGTGCAACTACAAAATGTCCAGTCCACCTTTTAGCCAAATAACTTATCGATTAGTGAAGCCCGTAGCATTAAGCTTAAATGATTTCAGGGTTTCACTTGTGTCAACGTACCATTATTTGATGAGTTCAATCTTTGTGTAGTGTAGGTAGTAGTTAACCTGTTCAACCAGTTGGTTTAGTTTATCGAATCCAAACTGGTGGTTGAAAAACATAAATTGAATTGGTGGTTTAACTGAATCTTAGACTGATTAGACTGGTAGTTGGTTTAGTTTGTATAATTTCAACTGCCAGTTTAAAAACGGGTTCGCACTATTGCCTGAACTGCTGTTGCGGATTAGTCCAAATCACCTCTATCAGGCGTTGCGCTACGAATTATGTTACACACGAGAAAATCCTCTCTCATTTTGAATTCTAAACTACCTATACAGAACTGAATTGATTACAGGACCGACTGGACAATGAACAATATTTACCAATCAATAAACCACTTTGTGCCGATTCACAACGATCTCCCTTCCCATTTTATTCGAGGCATCATGCTCCCACTAGCTTTGTAGGTTCAGAATCCAAATCAAACCTTTTCGTCACTTTGATCTCCTGATCTCTAGGTAGTGGATTCATCTCTATATCAGTAGCATCGGCATGCGAAGGACGTTCCGAAGCCGGCACTGAGTGAGAATGCACCGAATTGAGTCTCTCGTGTTTGTCCCCGCTAGATTCATTGCTTCTGGAACGATTGCTTCTGGACCGATTGGACCTCATAGAGCTCCGAGAAAGATTTGAGAAGGCAATTGAGAATCCCTCCATCATGGTTTGTACTCCCTTCAATTTCAATGCACCTGATAGCGATGGCAGACAAACAGCTGTTAGACCAAAGCATGCCTCGATGTACATGAAATAAACTCCGGCAGTAGATACGACTGATGTAGCATGATTAGCAACTTTGTATATTCGTGATGGGTTGGGAGTGATGGCATACAATCCTGATCGGCGGTGGCCTGGAACTCAACTATGTATGTGTTAGATGTTGTGGATACCAACTGTTAGGAGTGTGACACGTACTATCTAGCTCCTCTACGATAATAGCAAGACGTGTTATGGAAGCTGCAATGGCACTAGACAAATATCAGCGCTGTCTCAATCTGAACCGATAAAAAAAAGGGTACCGCGGAATATATACATACAGAGCACCAAGGGTAAATATTGCCAATACCGCAAGCTTACTAGCACCTGACATCTGCAGCCTTAAAACCTAATGAAGTGTCAGCACGATATTCGAAAATGACCCTACATTGGTCTTCTTTATAAAAACCACAGCGCATACCAATGGAATCGGGAACACCAATAAGATGACATCCATAATGACATCCGAGATCGACAGCGAGAGTTGGATCATAGTCAAGTCCGCAGTACATTTAAGTTGGTTCTCTAGATTCGTCCAGAAGTAATTGAAGTGTGTTTCACACGCGAATAGAAAACTAAAAAAGTAGCCAAGACCCCATAGAATAATGAGACCAATGATGACGTAGATTGATATATTGACGAAACGATTTGAACCTAATTTGAAGACGCGTTGGTAGAAGAATATGCAGCTTAATTTTATGAAGGCTAGAGCCGCGGTCTGGAGAAGCACCATAGCCATGTAAGCCTGCCAGCATGTTTTATCTCGTCAGTAAATACAGTTGCAAACGGGTGAAGTAATGCCGAAGGGAAGAAATATAATAACCTTTCTGGTTACAGTCTGCTGTGGACTTGTAGCTGTCAACTCCGTTCCAGGTATTGGGATTGGCGTCGGGTGTCCCAAAGCATGTTGTGCTGTTCCAGCAAGTATTGTAGCTGCCATACCGAGTATGAGGAACTTCAAAAGTAGTCAGTATGAACCACTATTCAATTCAACATTGGAGAATCAGTAGGAGAGATGAATCGTCTAGTACCAGCGCAGGCACAATTAGCCAGTCATCAAATCCAAGCTTCGTTCTTTGAGCATTCCTTGTTGCAATTCTAGCCACGACGATCCCGATACAAATCGGAGGCCATATGGTTCCGGCTGTGTATAACAATGTGGAGTGAATATGGAGCGATGCCATAGTAGATTCGAGGAATGTATACAATGAGAGGTAAAAAACTCGGTGAGCTTTGCAGCACGGAGAGAAGAGCGGAGAATGCGGCGAGCCTATGTTCAATCTTGAAAAAATATACTTCGTAACATTAGCCCTGATACTTAAGGCGTGTTGGAATTACATTTCAAGGAGAACCTTGAAAGACCAGGGACGAAACCTTAAGCTTGGAGCTGCGGGCTCGTACGACGTAGAGTGGCATGAGGGCAAGGCAAGGCCCTCGATTTCAAGGGTGTAAAGGTAACGAACAGTATAACTCGTAGATACGGACACACACTCGAATGCCCTCAAGTTCCGTGCAATCATTCGTACGAACAGATTGTCCAGTAAGGTTATCACGATCAGTGCGAATGAACCCCCGTCCCTGCAAGCATCGGATTGTATACAGCCTAATAAATTTACAAATTAAACATTATATGATACCCCGGTTTAAGGGTGCAAGATGCCTGGGTGGTATGAGATAAGTACAGTTCTGTACAGTATGCGATAAGTGTGTGTAACGTTGTAGCTGTTCAAAAATGATGTTGTGGAGCACCGCTAGGTGTATGCAGTTGATTGGCAACATGTTCATTCTTCATTCTTCCATCGGTATATTAAAATTGGATAGTTGCTGCGCCGTGGAAAACGGCCAAACTGTTGGTAAACTTAAAACTTAATTGTTATACTGTACTCGTAAGTTTTCCTAGTGAAGGTGACAGCTTTAGATTGGTTTTAGCGAGATAAAGGAAGGTTCCTTCGCGGGCCGATCCAGTGCCCCAATAAAAAATCGGATATAACTACCAAGTAATGTATCTTCGAGATCAACTGAAATGCTCTATGTTTTTTTGAGGCTTTGAGTCCATGTATAATTGTTGGAAATCAACATTGATATCAATCTAGTAGACGAGGCTCTTGAAGAGAGATCTCCAAGAGGCCACGGCATCTAACATTGCATTGACGTAAATTCTCCCAACTGACAATACTGTACTGTACAGCATGTACTCTAGTAGTTGATTTAATATCGAGTTCATTTCGGGGCATGTAATCAAATGTGGGATGTGATCGGAGGTCAAATTATTTAGCGAATTAGTTCTATGTATAGTTCCACTACACGGAGTATATACGGAGTAGACAGTGGACACACGAGAATCTAAATTTTGAGCAGATGCTTGTCACCATCAGTGAGAAAAGCTTTTTCCAGTGGTAAATCTTATTACTTGCTGAGTATTATTTGGGGAGGGATTATTGATTTGCCACTAAACGATCTGTGTTAGGTCAATGGGGGAGCGGGGGAGCGGGGTGTCATGGGTGTGGAGTTATCCGGACGGGGGCGGGGTGCGAACGTTAACCTGTATTAACCATTATTACATACCGGTATACCAAAATAAAAGATACGGAATTTGTTGTAATGATTCCAAAGGCCTACAATCAAGAGTGTACGGAGTACAATGTATATGACATTCGACCCACAATTGAGAGAGGGCCATTCATATTGTTTCGATCAGTCGTTTGGCCGGATTTTTACTGAGATTTTCACGCAGTTGGCGTGCTGTAACGAATATGTCCCTCTCCCTTTGAAGAAGTGTTCTCCTCTCGACTGAAAAGAGTTATGATCGAACTCCCTTTGGATGATAGCCACCAACTGTAAGTACACATTTCAGGTCTAGAGCTCACCGCATTGACCAACTTCCCTTTTTGAGTTATACTCGAGTATAATGGTGTGTAATTCATCGCCGCAAACCCTTCCTTGTAAGCAGTTCGAGTTACTTTCCCAACATAACTCTCATGCCGCCAGAAAATCCGCAACTCAGGAAGTTAAAAATTAGGCTATTCCTGTTGTAGTTTACCACCGTATGGTACGTGCTAGTTTACCCGAGTTGCGGACTTTCTGGCGGTATGAGCTGTGATACCCACCTTGATTTGTGTTTCGAATCAAACCTGGCTTGCAGTGAATGCGTTTTATGGGAAGAAATGCGACTCGGGCTTCGTAGCCTCCTCTAACTCTACAATTATCATTTCGGTCTTCAAAAAAATCACAAGAAATCACGGGGAAATAGAGAGCGCAGGCCAATTCATTCAATTCAGCTACCCGACTCACGACAATGACTACCATAACGACAAATTCTTATAAGCATACCAACCACTGATATCTGACCCTCCCTATAACAGATGCTTCGCCTTCCAAACCGAACTGAAGCAGGCTCGGCACGCACATAGAAATCAAACGGAAGCTTCTGGGAGAACACTTTCAATCATCGGAGCATCGTCTGCCTTGCTACCGATGGCGTATGGAGAATATGCTATTTCGAAACATTAGTGGAAATGAACTCATATCAATCTACGAGTATTGGCCAGCCACTGACCATGAGCAATTGGGACTGCAATGACTATGGCTACTTGGGCCAGAATGACGAGAATGATTTGGAAACGCATGTTGCTTGCTCCCTTGGTGCCCAGTTAAGGTAAATACGAGTAACCGGTATATGAATGTTTTTCGATTGGGAGAATATGAATGAATGAAGGAGGAGATGTATAGGTATGTGTATTCGTGAAATCGAGGTATCCGAGGTGTGCTTGATAGTTCTAAATCGATTGTGTAAGGTAAAGGAATAGATATTTGTGCGGAGAACAGTGTTTCGGAAATTTGCAACAAATTGATGGTCTTCACTCAGATGTTTGCATATGACTGTCTCTTAAATATGTTCTCTTTTACAGAGTCGATGTGGCAATCAATGTTGCTAGTATTCAGACTTGGTGACTACGCCGCAGTATGCAATGGCGGCGCACTGTGATGAACTCAGCTTCCTCATTTACGAGTAGTGTATTGAGCATCCATCATTAACACTATATTAGCTTCGCAGTGTTTGCAAACAGACTTTTTTGCTAATAAGCCTGATTGGGTTGAGTGAATGAATGTGCAGATTGAAAAGAATCGGTGCATTTGGTTGAGAACCAGGGTTGGTATCAAATTTGGTCACCTGGTAGGCTGGTACGTTTAAATAACGTTAGGGCAAACCCACCACCAAAGTTCCAACACACATATAATTTCATAGTCCCATGCTGATCGTTGTGTTGTCTTTTGTATTCTTCGATACGTAGACTTCAATACGTAGACTAAGAGCCCGTTCGGCGACCAGTTGACGGTGTTGACGAATCACTCAAGAGTGATAATGGACAGATTTGTAAACACGATGAAAAACACGCTAAATACGCTAATCCAGTCGTATGTTGCATTGTTGACAAAGGGGTAATCGTGGGTGGCCCCTCTTAAGCTTTAATATGATGGCGCTCATACTTAAGCACGATTATGATGTATCTGTTCGGTGTTCAGATTTTGAATAAAATTTGAATGAAAATTCCCGGGAAATACCGTGTGTAACCTCAAAAGTGAGGCTATTCGCTTAATCATCAAAATGAAGGATCTGGAATGATTCTAATCTTGAATCTTTAATTGAATAATGAATATATATTAGAATTTGATAAAAATGATATTATTCGAAAGCTAATTATCAGAAGTATCTGGTTATCAAATTTTCAAAAATAAAATATCAATATCAATGTTAATGAAATTATGATTAAGTGAAGTTGAAAACCTTTTCAAATCTTTCATTTCGATGAGAATCTTCGAAAGTTCAAAAATCAAAATCATTAGGCTAACTAGATTAAGCGTCATTAGAAAGGCAAAACCACCTCTTGAGCTGAATCTGAATACAAATTGAGTGCCTGAATAGGATGATATTCTGTCAACTGGACGCCGAATAGTGATTTATGAGATGGATACGAATTTGCAGATCTTTTTACTCTATATTAGTGTTGATCAACACTGTCAAGTGGACGCCGAATGGGCTCTAATATTTCAACTCTCAACGCCTTCCCAAATATAGATAACCCCGCCATCAACATACATGCAACTTCATGATTCAATGCTGATCGTTGTCTATTTTGTGTTATTTCAATACGTAGACTACTATTTTAAACTTTCGGCGTCTTTCAAATGTGGATAGTCTTAGCTGCAGTATGCATCTGAGAGGTATCTGGACGAAGGTCACAACAGCTAAGCTCTTCACTTTAGCCATTGTTATCAACTGAGATCAACTTTGTAACCCCATCTCCCATCTCGGTTTCTCTCGATATTTCGAATCCCTTTTTGAAAATCTTCAACCGTACCTTTGGTGAGCTCAGCCATCAGCATGGAAAATGTTTCAGACGACAAAGAGGAGCTTCTCCAAAAATGTCAATTTTGTTGTGAAGGCGAAAACTATCATCCTGATCCTGTAGCACCTCATAAATACAAGAAATACTGGATATTCTCTACTGTTATTCATATTGCGGTCATCATCTTCACAATCTCCATATTACAGTCCTTTTATTCACCACGAAGAACACCAAAGAATTCGGTGCCCTTCCTTCCGGTGAATCATGACTCACATCTTGTGGGGGATATTTTATGTAAGTTGTCCTTTCCAAATCAGAGGAGCCAAAAAAACGCATTCGAAAACTGATGAATTCATAAACAGCACCATTGAATAACCACGCCCAACACAAAATCGAAGCACTCTCAACCGACTCCTGGGACCCAGAACTATACTTCGGAGAACCAACTTATGAATCTGATCGTGCTTGGAACGCTCTGATTTACCGTAAGTCTTCATGTCTATGACAGTGTGACAGATCACATCATATCATATCATAACGACAAGACTAATAGCAATCTGATAACCTATAGCAAGATCATTCCGTGTACACAAGGATGAAGCTGTGCGTCTAAACATGACGGAAAGTATTCTTCTACAACCTGGAGATGATTTCGGCACCATGTTAGGAGCTCTACATAATCTCCATTGTCTCGTAAGAACTCTCCCCTCTTCAATCAAGTGACCCTTGCCAGCAGAAAAAAGTTTTAATCAAACACAGAGACGCATTCGTCAGATGTTGTATTCCGATTACTATTATCCCGACGCATCACCCGAAGAGAAAGAGTATAATCGTAATCACGCTTGTGAGCACCCCTTCACTTCAGTATTCCACTCACTGCTCTATCCATCCCATTGAAAAGTACAGTACATGACCTATAGACTCACCACTAAATGAGAAAAATATATATAGTTCATTGCCTTGAATCAATAAGAACATCAGTGCAATGCTATCCAGATCTAAATCCACATCCATACTTCTGGTCCGAAAACAAATTTCACCCTGTCGCTGTCAGCTCGAAGGTGACCCGGCAATGTACAGATTGGAAGTCTCTGCAGCAGATATTGGAGTCACGGAATTTCCCAAACGAGAATTTGATGGCCAACACCGGTCCGTTAAACTGAGTAGGTAGCTGAAGGATATTTGTGGCTTGTGATATATATATACCCTCCCATTTATCATTGAAATTTAAATCAACCCACTAGTAATCAATTTGAAAGTTCTCAATCTTCTGTAAACCCTATAATCCTTCAAGTTAAAGATCTTAAATAAAGCTAAAAGCGTTTCAATAAAGTATTCAGGAAATCAAAGCTTTTTAAAGGAATTTTTCAAAAAATCGTTGTTAATTAAATAGTTATATATAATATGATTTCTATATATTAAGTACTCATACTTGTATTCATACTCATACTCATGCAATAAATACACTGTACACCAAACAGTACACCAAACCCAAAAAGCACAACCACAACCCCCAACTCCAACCCCAACCCAAACTCAAATCCAAACTCAAATCCAAACCCTTAGATAAGCAATCTTCTCATCCCCTCCTCCACTCACTATTCATCTCCTCACAACTCCTCATCCACTCATCACTCATCCCCTCATCCACTCCTCCATTACTCCTCCCTTCCTCCTCCCTTCCTCCCTCCTCCACTCAAAGAAGTAGTTGGGAACCTCCCAACATCACTTATATATATATATATATACAGTAAGTACTCTATACTCAATACTCAATACTCTATACTCTATACTCTATACTCTATACTCTATACTCAATGCTCTATACTATACTCTGATATAACAAAACATCTAATCCATCTAATCCATCTAATCCATCTCCATCTCAAACCTCACTCGAAACACTTCAACACTTCAACATTTCAACATGATCTGATAATTACGGTTTGATACAATACAATACAATCCAATCCAATTCAACACGATTCAATTGATTCAACACTAATCGTTTCAATTCATCTATTTCATTTCATTTCATCCACCCGGGCTAGTCCACCCTATTCCATTCCATTCCATACTTCATACTTCATGCTTGCTTCGATATAAATGATACCATGATACTATATCATCCATCATCCACCATCCAACATATAGAAAAAAGTATATACTATACTATACTATACTATTACTAAACTCTCATATCCCATATCCCAAGCAAGAAAACAAGAAAAAAAGAAAGAAAAAGGAATATCAGCAAACAACTACTCGAGTAGGTAGTTAGCTAACTAGCTAACTAGCTCATTCACTTCACAATGTCATGATGCCACAATGCCATGATGATGATGATGATGATGATGATGATGATATGATATGATGTATGTATGTATGTATGTATGTATACAATCAAGGGAAGGGAAGGAATAAACATCTGTTTTCAAATCAAGACACATACAATACTCTTCTACTTATCCGCATCTTCATCTATATCTCCATCTACATCTCCATCTACAACGAGATATAACTCCCACATCCCTATACATCGCGTTTGACAATACAGTAGACCACAGCTAGCACTGAAACTGAACCGATCATACTTCACTATATCATTTCAATCTCATTTCATTCACATTCCATTTTTACTATTTATTTTCCCCAATCCAAACGCCAGACAGCCTACAGCCATGCAGACCAGACCAGACCAGACCAGATCGTAACAGATCGACCATGTACATACACGTTCAGTATGCGTGATCCCATCTACCCATTATCAAAGACCTACTAGATAACAGTTTTCACGGTCCAAACTTCCTCTCTAACCCATTCAGAGTAGATTCTCCTCACTTCGCAACAGCTGCGCTTAGAACTTGTGTTCTGAAGAATCCTCCCTTTGTCCTCTCAATTACTTGTTGATATACGCTGCTTGGTGGGTGGTTCATGACAACTGTTCCTTCCTTGTAATCGATCTTGGCGTCAACTCTGGTATCTCTGATGAGATTGACAATCCACTTTTCACCCTCATCTTGGTTCAAGCCCAATCTTGCACTCAAGTCCTTGATATCAATTCTTTGATGAATCTTGCAGTAGCTTTCGCTGATCAAATGTCTTGCTGCCTCAACAAAGTTCTCCGAGGCTGCGACAAGGAAGAAATCGGAACGGAGAACCTCTTCGGCCTCGGAAAGTTTCTTTTGTGCTTCTTCGAAATCGAAGTCGAGGTATAGAGCCTTGATGAAATCAGTGACTGGGTCGGAATATTCGTAGTTCTCTTGCTTGACGATACGGATGATGTCTTTGAGTTGCTTTTGATATTGACCAGTGTTACGTGTACGATTGCGGTTGGTGATAACTGCAGCAGTCAAATATCTAAGGATCCATGGGCAGGCGGTTTGAATGGTGTTGATGAAAGCTGGGGAGAAGAAGAGGTCGCAGATAACATCACGAGCGGGTTCGTGATTGAAGAATGGGAACAAAGCCCAGTGGATGAGCCAGGTTCGGTGGTTAAGTTGTGCGAGAGGTTTGTTGAAGAGTTTGGTCTCGATCAATTCCTTCACCTTTTGGACTTCCTCCATGGCGGATTCCCAGTTTCCAGTCAAGATCTCACAAGCCAATTTACCCCATGTTGCTGCAGTGACTTTGTCGTCATCAGTAGAGAGGACTCTGAATTGGTAAAGGAGTTCGGCGGCGGCTCCGTAATTTCCACAGCTGTATTGGAAGTTACCAAAGTCATACAAGACGTTGACCATCTCAATTGTGACCTATTGCTTTGTTAGGTTGAATTTTCAGTAGGATAATATTTCCCAACACGTACATCATGCTCCTTCTTCAAGAACTCCAAGTTAGCAACCTTATCGCTTCTCAAGCCGGTAACAACATCCTCTCTGCCGAGCAAATCTGTGATCTTCTCGCTCTCTTGTCCGAAAATTTCTAGCCTTTGGAGAATTTCTTGTCTCTTGGTTGCGTATTCCTTTGGTGGCTCCTCAACTCCCTCAATTTCGCAGTACAGACTTGCCACATAATCTGTCATGTTGGTCTTATTCAACAACTCAAATTTCGCCTTGGTAATTTCTGGCGCCGGTTCCTCATCTTGATCTGCGACGAACTGTAACAAAGGGAAGATCAAATGTCTATCGAGGTGAGTGATGAGTCGAGGAAGGAGATCGTTGTCTTTGGCGATTTCCTCGGGGCTTCTTGCTGCTTGTGCAGCACCGTTGAGCAGGTCATTCGCAGTGGTGGGAGTATTATCCGCCATGATTGCGATCCTATTTTGCTGTCGTGAATTGGAAATAGTGGTGGGGTTCACGCTTTCGCAGGATGAAGATGTCGGAATTTGATGATTGTGTGCGCCCGCCTACAAAATTTCGCGCTAGTGAAGGGTAGCTTAAATTATTAGCGTCTTTTTGTCTTTGAGAAGTTCACGACTTCGAAAGAAGTTTGGGGAGGATTCAAAGTGAGCAGAGATCAATATTTCCACAAACGCATACCCTCTCCAATGTCACTCCAATTTCTTAGACCTATGGCTTTGCCTAGGCTATTGACTTTACGATGTTTCCTAGGCGTCGCCAGACTATCTACAAAGTCCGCCTCAAGCACAACAAAAGTATCTACAAAGTCCGCCTCCTCAAGCACAACAAACAAAGCAATCTCAACCTCAAACTCGACGTCTACTCCCTCAAAAACCCCCTCTGCGGCAGTCCCGAATCAGCCTTACCGCGTGTATCGAACGCCGTCCAAAAGTTTGCCAGTGTATACTCTTTCCAAAGCGGGTGGTAATTTAAGGCAGACAAAGATTAGAAAGATTGAAGGGGATATCATGAAGTTGAAGGAGCAATTAGAAGGGGCGTTCTTCAATAAGGAAATCCGGGTTAATCAATTGACGAAGCAGATCATAATCAAGGTATGCGGAGCAGCTTATAAGAAGTCTCATCTCATCAGCATTCTAACTGTATCACAGGGGTGGTGCAAACCGGAAGTGGATAAATTCCTCGAGGAGCGACACTTTTGATGGAATACTCACGACACGTTATATGGACGATTGGGAATTAATCCCGGTTTCATTCTGTTTCAAAGGCAATGGTTTGCTCTGATTATCATTCTACACACTCTTGCCTATATGTACAATACACTCTTGCTTTTCAAGAGAACCCATCCCTTGTACACAAAACCCAATTCCAACCATACCACAAGAATCACATACGTTAAGCAAATGCCACGCTGAGCAGGCAGATATATCAAATTACAAACGCCGACTCCATACGCTATTAATTCATGCGTCTATGAACCCTAGGTACATGCGTGAAAACCCAATCGCTCATTAGCCAAGACTTGTAAAAGCGCACAATTGTCGCAACGCCTCTTTTAGCCTGGGCTGCTTGCGTTCATGTAGTTTTATTAATCGTTCCGTCGTTGGCATTCCAGGTATGGGTATCATAGAGGTCGGGTCTTCGGGGTCTCGTGATTTCTCAGCCAGGCGGCGTAGTATTCCAATGCCACCAAGAACGATATGTAACATTGCTTCTTCCTCAGTCGTTTTGGGTACGGCGGACACTCTGCCGTGCGACGGCCCCTGTGGAGCTTCGTAGCATAATGTTAATACAAGGTGTGAAAGATTATTTGCAAATCCATCCTCTGAAGTCAACCAAGCCTTTGCAATGCCGCTGTCGTACCCCGGTGCAAGGGTTGCCAGCAGTTCCGCAGCTAGTATTCCTTGCATCAACATCGCCTTTCGTGCCTCCACCAGCGGTAGAAAAGTTCCCCGTTTGGTGTCCCTTTGTTGATCAGGTATTGCAGAGATAGAAAGAGCGAATGTCCTTGTCAGAAGATCGAAAGGTGGAGACGAAGAAACGTCAGAGGCAAAAATCGTTTTGTAATGCGTTCGGTTTGGTTCATCCCGCGCAAGAAGCTTGGCAAGACTATCAATAGCAGGATAGATATAATAATGGATAGTTGGATCGTACGGCGGAAATGTAATTCGATCGGATCCCATTACGTTTGGAGGCGGGCAGGGCGCGAACGCTAAGAGGAAGTGCAATAGACACAATGCTTGTTCGCGGCCAGGTAACTTGATCTCGTGTGCCAGATTTGATAGCAAAACAACACCATCTTTCATAAACTCTAATGTGTTCTGATTCGTCCTTAGTAGCATATTTCGAGTTCCCAGATACCTTATGACCACACATAGAAATTTGATAACAAATTCTTCTGCAAGGAACAATACGTTTGGTTCATAGAATGAGAGATTTCGCATGATACTGGTTATGCAAATCAACTTCTCAACAGCTCGATCTACCTTGTACTCCTCTGACCCAAAAGGTGGAATATCTTGTAGAGTACTTTGCTCGGCCTGGCAAGCGCGGACAACGTCTTCATATGAAATTATAAGCATCATGTCCGACACTTCCGCCGCGTTCTCAGCTAACAACTCAACTTGATCCTCGGCGCAATCAATAAGTGTCTCGACCAGATCGTCGCATGACTTCAATTCTAGCGGCAAGCGCTGTTCCGAGGACAATAGGAACAGAGTATCTAAAGCCAATCGTACTTCGGCATATAGTCCAGATTGCAGACTCATAGTTAAAGCATGCACGTCAATGGTACCAATCTCGACCATTGTTGGAAAATCTGGCTTCCACTTTAACAATTGGTCGCCCAATTTGTGAAGAGCCGGTAGAACGAGACCGCCGTGAGTATCAGGGATACGCGAAGTAACTAACAGCTTTGGCGGGAGGACCACGTTCATGAGCTCGTCTTCGCTGTGCCCATCTAATGTTGGGACCATATTATTAGGAGGTGATGCTAACGATATACTACCAGCCTTGGGTACCGAGGCTGGAGACGGTATTGGGTATGCGCTGCCATTTTGCGGCGGGGTAGCCTCAACACTCCTCGAGAGACTGTTTCGAGCATGACCCTGAGGCCCTAAGGGATGTGCTTGTGGAGCTTGCGGTGTTGAGAAACCATTCATGACAGGCTGTTGAGGATGATGTAAAGGGGTCATTTGCTTCATAGGAGTAGTTTGTTGTTGCTGCTGAAGATGCTGTTGCTGGGCCATCTGTTGTTGCATATAATGTGACGCTTGCATAGAATTCGAAGGGGACATTTGTTTGATGGGTGACATTTGAGGTACGCCGATGTTACCGCCCTGCTTCATTGCTGCTGCTCTCTGCCGTTGCATATTTAAATGGAAAGCCTCCTCAAATGCAAGGAGGTTTCTCTCATATAGAGCTTTAAGTTGCGGAGGGACGTTTGGGTGTCTCAATGGATGTACTTGAATGGCTTGTGAGATCTGTTGCCATGCATTTTGTGCCGTGACATTCCTGTAGCCTCCATATTTGGTCACTGCCATATATAACATAAAAATACTAATATGTCGATCACCCACAAATGGATTTGACTCTAAAGGAAGACCCTTTGACTGCATGAAAGCAGCCAAACTTTTGAGAAAACTGTTCTGATTTTGATTTTGTGCTACAGAAGCTTGTTGAGGTCGCATGCCGGCAAATTGGCCGTTCGGTGCTTGCATCACTTGACTTTGAGACAATGGATTCACACTAGGTGGAATGTTCTGTCGTTGCGCAGCATGTATATTACTCTGTTGATGTTGCTGCTGCTGTTGCTGCTGTTGCTGCTGCTGTTGCTGCTGCTGGAGTGATTGTTGTAGTCGCATCTGATACATTTGCCTAGTTTGGTCCAAAGAAGAGTTCCTTTGTTGCGACTGATGGTTCGGGGGTTGGGCCTGTTGATTGTACATCTGAGGCTGTGACATCGTAGGTGGCATTTGTGGCATTGACATTGCGCTTTGCGGTGGTACCGAGGTTCGTCCAGGTGGGGGTGTAAAATTTTGACTGTATGCAGGTGCATACGGAGGATTCTGAGCAAATGTACTACTTTGCGGTGTATCGACTCGGCTGCCATGGTCGGATTGTGACGGCGAGAATGGATGAGGAGAAACTGTAGAGACTCGCTGTGGTACGCCGCCAGGACGTAGCTGGTTAGCCATGATAGGAGACGGACTAGCATTGCTCGATCCATTTTGCAGATGCGAATATGGAGTTTGCTGAGGCGCATGTTGCGGAGGGACATTATTAGATTGAAACCCAGGATAAGCACCTTGTTGCGGAGTTTGCGAGCGAGAGTTAGGTAACATGCCAGAAGATTGCCTCGGTGATGTACCTAGACTATCTTCCCTCGGCCTTGGTCTCTTTGATGGAACCACAGGATTGGTCTGATACACGGGGTTATTGAAGGCCGGCGACCCATTGCGCATTCCACCATTTTGCATTCTTTGTTGTAATTGTTGATTCTGAAATTGATTGGGATCAAAGGATGAGGAAGTGGACATAAAACCCGATGGGTCCATCATGTTTCCTCCAACAGTATTCGATTCGTCAAGGTGATTGAAGCCTGCGCCATTGTGATTTTGGACGGCAGCGTCGTTCATCCAGGAGCTCATGTCTGTGGATGATAGTAGTGGCAACCCATCTGCAGATGCGCACAAGTGTCAGCGATCATCAAAGTTAAGTTAGGATCCATTGAATTCCATTAAGATAAAGATAGAGATGCACAAATAAAAGAGATAGAGTCTGGCGCGATGGAAGTCGCGACGCGCTGATGGGGTCAAATGAAGCAAAGGGGGAAACAATTGCTTCATTCACCCAATTATCAACAGCATCAACGGATCTTCAGTCAACATGCGCAATAATAACTATAACATGTCTCGTGACATCTTTATAACATAAAGATAAGGATGAAAGGAATGAAAGGTTAAGGTCTTACCTATCGACGCGCTGTTGAGGTCCCAAATTGTTTTGACAGTCTCGGAGTCTCTCTTCACCTGAATTGTGCGCTAACGTAAGATTAGGATTAGTGACTAAAAAAGTAACGCCCCAAAAATAATACCTCGCCTGGTTCAATCAGAAGGCCGGAATGTAGGAGCGTCAAAGATCAAAGGAAAAGAGGTGGTAAAAGTGAATTGAAGGAAATTAATGTAATTAGTACTGTACCAATAATGAAATATAATAAACAGAATTACTCGTATTAAGTAAGAATAGGTAATAATTAAACTGATGATGATGATATTTTCTAAAGGAGAAAAATGTCGTGTTAGTCAATTATTCAAAGTAATTGGGGAATTAATCCAAAATGTTCGAATTGGTAGTTTGGTGTGTATTGATTGTATTGTATTGTGTTGATTTGATTGATGAGTTTATTCAGGAGGAAGCGTGGAGCGTGACCAATTATTGCTGGTAAATGATTAAAGGTCACGTTCGTTTGTTGGTTCAAGGCTTGAGGGCTCTGTCTGAGTAGAGAGAATTTTGCCATAAGTTCGGTAAGGCAGCGATGAAGCGGTAAGCTGGTGTGGTGGTGGTGGTGGTGGTGAGTCGAATAGTAGTAGTAAGTCGGGTACAACTTCTCCGATTCCGTATAGATAAGATGTATGGGAAGCTAAAAGGATAACTGAAAAGATCGGAACATACCCGTATCAAATCAATACACGGCTCCAAAAAATAAGGTCGAATTAGAAAAGGATCGGGCAAGAGAATGGGGGGTTTAGGCCGATGGTTGGTGAAATAATGCTGTATCGTAAATTTAATATGAGATGCTTGCTGTAACACGTTGCTTGAATCGGGAGGTGGACCGAATAAGCAACCAAACTGTGAGAAGTAGGCAGGTAGGTAGGTAGGTAGGTATCAAGTTTGAAGTATCCGAATCTGAATCTGTATCTGTATCTGTATGTGTATTGATGTCCGAATCCAAGCTAATGAGAACTTTTCCGAGGATATTGTTGCGGCGGTCACCCTTCTTCTTCTCTCAACTGAGCGGGCTGAGTAAGTAGGTAGTGCTGTGCAAGTTGCTGAGAAAGTCGTTGGTCGTTCCATTTTTAAAAAGGCTAACCTTGATTGTTAAGCCAATCATATAATTGGCCCAACTAGATATGTAACCCATCCATCCGGCAAGATCGATCATTGATCATTCTTCTTCTTCTTCTTCTTCTTCTTCTTCTTCTTCCTCTCTTAATTGAATTCGAATTGGATTAAATCCAAATTCAAGTCCAAATGAAAGATAAACAAAATGAACCTTGATCGCTTTTTCCTTATTGTTAAAACATCTCCAAATGACCTAAAATTCCTTGGTTAATAGATTGGGTGAGTAAATATAGTAATAGTAAAATAAGTGTTGGACTAGTATGATTGGTTCCCGGTCGTGCCTATCCTGATGCGGTGTGAAATTCGTGGGTGCTTTAACCAAATCTTTTGTGTCATGAGAAAATCTGCGACATAAAGGAAAAAAGCTTGACTGTCCAGAAATTGAGTAAAGAAAAGGTTGAAGGAATGAGGAACAAATCTTCCAAGATATGAAGAAATTTCTATAATCATTTGATGTTGTGAATTCATCATTTGCCAATTTGTAGAATTTGAAAATGGAAGGCCGCCCTGTCTTTTCTTGATAAGGTCTTGGTGATAGTTGTAGTGAGTGATAGTGACAGGAAAGAGAATGGATACGGAGAATTTGAATGAATTTCAGAAATGACACGAAAGAAAAAAGAGAAACTTGAATGAAGATATAAATGGAAGAGAATACCTAGGTACAGGATGAAGAAAGGTAAGAAAAACAAGAAGAGGGAAAAAAAGACGGGGGGGAAGGGAGTTCTATTTATTAAAGGGCCAATCTGGAAAATCACGTTTCCCGTTTCCACCGGGATATAAGCTTTTGGCGTATAAACCATTGCCTTACCTGACGATCCAGAAAAGATCAGATTGATAGGTTGCCGGCTCTGAATAGGTATGGTACTCGTTCCTCTTTTACTTCTCTAGACCCATTTCAATCCTCCTCACATCATGAAGATACACACATACAGACCAATGATAGCGTTACAGATTATGCCTCTTTAACTTGGGATGAGATGGATGAGATGGATGAGATGGATGTGATGGATGGAATGGGATGGAATGGGATGTGTGGTTTTACTGAATCTACTCAGTACCAGTTTATGGCATTAGTCTTTTCTTTCTCTGTGAGTCTGTACCTTATTATTTCCTGGGGAATTCGTTTGACAATTCCTGCATGTTTCTTAATGATATGTTTGTGGTATGTGGCTTTCGATTGACATCCCACTGGACTAAAAGACAGACCGGAAATCAATACTAAGATTGATCAGCAAGTACCTTTCACTGACAGATCACTTGAGACTCTATCTTCCCCAATAACTGTATTGATTCATAAGAATCAATAAGAGTAATGAATTGCTGATGCAAAAGAGAAAGAAGGGTATTGTGTGTGATATTTGTGATTCCTGTATCTGAGACTATTATTTCTGCAAGCTATGTGCTGTAAAATTACAACATCTCGCCTTTTCTTTCTTACTCGTAAGATTCTTTGGGACCGGCTATTTAAATCCGTCGTTGGTGAATCTTATACTGTATACTGTACGGTAGAGACCCAATATCTCGTTGGAGGTGGCTCGGTGGAAGCACGAGAGTTTGTGGTTTGACGGGATGGCGTTCATGTTGCATGTTGCAAGGGGGAGGGGTGGTTCTTTGAAAAAGGGCACTTTTAGATGGCTCCATCAAACATGCATAAGACGGGGTCCAATACCGGTACTACTTGCCGTGGTACTTACTATTGCTTTAAAGCCAAAAAGTCGAGAACAACATTAGAGATGAATAGCGGTTAAATAACAAATGTAGAAACCAAAAATGAGGCTTTGGATTGAATGTATTTTTCCCATGAGTGAGTGATATTATTTACTCCATACTCGAGAATACCTTCCTGGTGGATGATAAGATATGAAAAGGGAGGAGTGCAGATGTGTGTAACCCGTTAGCTTACCTACCTAGGTAGGTATAATTCACACACGAGGCTTTTTGGTCGTCATTCGAAGCTAGGAAGTTGGGAAAGCGCCAAGAAGGGTTAAGTTAATCCCTATCGGTGTGTTATAACAATATATATGTGCCAAGGACCCACTCATGTATAAACTTCGTTTCCATTGTTTATCGGCCAACAAGATACAAATTAAAATGGTCGTAAGAAGACTTCGAAGATCAAAACGTCAAAAGACAAGTAATGATAATACCGGTAAATTGAATTATCAAGAGAGCTCGGAAGATGAGGCTACCGGGTCAACTTCTTCAACTTCCCCGGCTTCAAAACCCAATAAGGAGAACAAGAAGAAGACGGCAAATGGTCAACCCCTACTAGTAAAAGGAACAGAGGTCGGAACAGAGGAGGTCAGAACAGAGCTTAATGGAGAAATCATTGCATCAAAATCACATACTGTAGGTCGATATTTCTGGTTATTCTCAATCTTCTCATATACTTGTATCTACTGCATTGCATTTCGATCTATCATCTTCAACTTTTGTATTTGAATTTATATTTATGTTTATATTTGAACGCGCCGGGAGTTCTTGTACTGGCACGTGCTGTTCAAAACCTTTATCAACTTTCATTCTATATTTGCGTTTATGAGTTTAATCTCCTCCGGATCATGTTTAGAGTACTGCCAAATCCACCAAATCACCTCTACTAAATGGCACTAAATCAACCTCGACGGTGTCCCCATCAACTCGTCAATATTGGCTCATGAAAGCTGAACCAGAATCCCGTATCGAAAAAGGACATGATATCAAATTCTCCATCGACGATTTAGCGGCGAAGACTGAACCAGAGCCTTGGGATGGTATGTTTTTCATTACACACCTGTATTACACATCAACATTAACACTAACGTTTTCAAGGAATACGAGCATATCCAGGTGTGTCACCTTGCAATTCCATTTGACGATGCCATCACTCACATACATATTAGCACGCAATAATCTTCGTGCGATGAAGAAGGGAGATCTAGCTTTCTTCTACCATTCATCATGCAAAATCCCGGCAATCGTTGGCATCATGGAAATTGTAGAAGAGCATTCTCCAGACCGTAAATCTTCCCATGATTCTCATTTTCCCATTTTCCCTGATCATGCAAGCCACTCGAGTATAACTAACGAGAACAACAGTCTCAGCACATAACCCCCAAGCCCCATATTACGATTCTAAATCCTCCCCAGATAACCCCAAGTGGAGCGTAGTACATGTTGAATTTCGCCAGAAACTCACTACACCCATCACTCTCAAGGAAATCAAAGCCTGGTTTGGCGAAAAGGGAAATGCATTGGAGAATATGCAGATGTTGAAGCTGGCACGTTTGAGCGTGAGTAAAGTAAGTGGTGAAGAGTGGAGGTTTCTGGTAGGTCAGATGGAGAAGAATGGAGATGTGGTTCTGGAATAGAAACTCTTGGGCTCTACTCTACCTAGGTAAAAATGATAAAGAAATGAAGAAACGATTGTATGAACAAACCTCGTCTATGGATGTAATATGTATGTTATGTAAATGTTAGATTTCTTAATCATATACGAGTAGTCGAAATAAGGAGCACATCTAAAAAGCTGGGCTTCGCTTTGGTGCATGGAGCGTGGCGCATGAAAGTTACAGAGATGAAGCTGAGAAGTATGTGGGTGGGCATGTTGAGGGAACGTATTTATAAAACTTTTAGTCTAATGGTAGAACTTGAAGGGGAGTTGAGTAAATATATTTTGAGTGCGTATATGGTTTGTGAAGGGAATAGGACGGTTCCGTTGGAGGGGGCAGTTGGAGATGAATGGGAGCGATTACTGGAGGGTTAGTTTTGGTTGTTCTTTTTATGTATCTTTGCTCTAGCATCCCTTCTTTGTTGTCTATCATGATTCCAACTCTTATTCTGTCGTCCACCAATTTCCCTTTTAATCCGGGGTAATCCCTCCACCAACCCCAATCGATTTTCTCCCCACAACAGCTACTTACCCCTACCCTCCGTCCCTCCCTAAATCCCCATCATCAGATTCCTAGAAACATACTAGGTAACCACAAAAGATTCGCTAGGGCCAGGCTTCGACACAATCGAATTTAAGACTTAGGAACGCTGGTCACAAGTTCATTTATAAGCCAGCCAGAATGGAGTGGCTCCCTGAGGAATTAATGGAAGTAACTAAGTAAGGCTTCCGTGTAATATACTCAGGGTGATCTGATAATGGAATGAAATCATGGAAATTGATTTTGGTTTTGGCTGTGGTTGTTAGTTGCTAGTTTTTTTGTGGTTCTTTTGATATCATGGATGGCTGACCATGACTATTTGGTAGTATCAGCATCACCGGCAGAAAGAGTACCTTAGAAGGGCTCAGGAGTCGTAAAGATTGAAAGGTTCACAAAAGCAACATAAACTCTCATGGTAGTACATGGTGGTGCTTTAGAGTACTCGTGTTTTTACACAAGACTTTGTTGTTAGTTGGAAAGGGCAATTTGATATTTTTGTTGATTTATACCTGAAAGAAGACTTTGCAATTTGCTTTCACACTCAATCTGCTGGGTAATAGTTAACAGCGGATGTTGATTTTTTGGGGCATTCTGTTCTATTGTATCCTTGATTGTATTGCTCTAGCATCGTTCAAATTATAAACGGGTTTTTTGAGAAGGAAGAGTGATGAAAGCTCTGCTTGGGTCAATCAGTCCCGTGATGAGGAAGCAATGCCGTGACTTGGGTCTCTGTCAATTTTTGATCGATCTGAAAGCTGCCAGTATCAACCATAACAATGACCTCAATACAGTCCGCACATACTTTACAGACTGTATCTACAATCTCTGCCGGAATATTTCTATTGATTCTACCTGTTAGGATTTGGAAGCTGTATAAATCTCGCATTAGGAATACTCACAGCTGGCAGGGACCGTTCAAAGCTGTCGGTATTTTTCCTTCCCACGATTACGATCTCAATATCTAATACTATTAACGGCCGTAGGCGCTTGGGATATGGCTCTCGATCATGCTGTCCTTACATTGGACGAATCTCTGGAACTCGGAGACTCAGCACAAGACCGGACTCTTGATTTCACTATCTACTTCTATTCTTGCTACCCTTGGCCTAAGTCTACTTCTACATCTGGAGAATCGTCGACATCATAGAGCCTCAAATCTAGCATCATTATATCTCCTTTCATCTATACTCTGTGATGTGGTCTATCTCACTATGCTTTCCAAAATCACAGGGACCACTAGTAACTCCCCTCCGTTTCTTATTCGTTGTTGCGGGCATTCCGCACTTTTGATACTTGATTTATGTGGCAAACGCCCATTATCCAATGCTGTCAAGCAGCATAAGTTTCCTAAAGAAATTTATGCCATCTTGAACAGAGTTTTCTTTTTATGGATCAATCCAATTCTTGTCAAGGGGTACGACAACATCCTCACCGATCAAGATTTACCACTCCTCGGGCAAAACATGAAGCCAGCGCTCACAAGAGAGGCAATGCTTCAAATGTGGTCTCAGCGAGGTTAGTCTGACACTAAAAACCCAATTTCCCCATCATCTTAATAAGACTAGCCAAACCTGAAACGAACAAGACTTTACCTTTCGCGTTGATCAAATGCCTGAAAACACCATTTCTCGCTGCTGTTATGCCTCGCCTATTCTTGATCGTTTTTCGTTATTCGCAGCCTATACTAGTTAAAGAATCGATCAGATACGTTGTGACATATCCTACGAGGACGGAAAGTAAGCATGGGTTTTGGCTTATTATATCTGCCTTCACTATCTATGTCGGCCTTGCCGTAAGGTACATTCCCGCTTTATCTTCTTCTATGCTAACAATCAATCTCAGTTATCAACAGCTGTGTATCAACATTGCATAAACAGGCTGAAGCTTATGACAAGAAGTGCTCTCGTGGGACTTATTCATGATAAGACCATGAAGTCGCCGAGTATAACTTATAACAACGGCGAGGCCACTTCACTCATGAGTAATGATTCAGAAAGTCTCGATGGGATTGCTGAAATGTTCCACGAGATATGGGCCCAAGTCATTGAAGTTTTTATAGATATAGGGCTTTTCGTTACTCAAGTTGGCTGGATTTGGCCTTTTCCGCTTTTTCTGATTTATTGTCAGTATTTTACCCCAAAGGTCTGATTAGATATTAAGTTCTGTAGTATGTTCACATATGAGTCGATTTGTTGCGAAGCACTTACAGCCTCGCCAAAAATCTTGGAACACTGCAATACAAAGTCGTATAGTATCTACAAGCTCTTTTATAAGTGCTATGAAAGTCATCAAGATGTTAGGATTGCAATATAACATTGCCTATCGAATACAGAAGCTCCGGAAAGAGGAGCTCTGGGTAGCCTCGAAACTTAGATGGATTATGGTATACTATAATGCATCTGGTTCGTTAACATTAGCAACATGTAAATTCGGCATTGCATACTCAAACTGACAATGATACAATATAGCGAATGCACTCGGTATCTTCTCCCCGGCCATCACACTAGCAATATTCGCTTTAATGTCACAGGCTCATGATATCAATCTCGATACAGAGACTGCATTTACCACTATATCGATCTTAAGTATGGTCACCCACCCAGCAAATATGGTCATAACTATTGTACCGCGTGCAATGGCAGCTTTTGCTGGATTTGAAAGAATCCAATCATTCCTAGTCCGCTCATCTTTACAAGACAATCGTGGCATACTGCCGAGGCCTACTCTGAATGATCTGGCTTGGAACCCGTTATCTGGTCACCTCAAAAAACCTAGCATCGCTGTTCAAATTCGTCAGCTGACAATTGGCCATAAACAGATAATTCTGTACAACATCAACATTGAAGTCCACGCCGAGTCATTCATCATAATCTCGGGCCCTACAGGTAGCAGCAAATCGACTTTGTTACACACTATACTTGGAGAAGTAATCCCCGCCAGTGGATCTATTGCTCTTTTAACAAGACAGATAGCATACTGTACCCAGATACCCTGGTTACCCAGCGATACAATCAAAGAGGTTATTTACAGTGCTGAAAAGATCGAGGATGCTGCTACGCAAGATCATGAGAAGTAGTACAATACCGTAATAGAAATATGTTGTCTCACTCATGATTTTGACTCCCTGTCCGATAGAGATCAAACACAGATTGGCAGCAAGGGGCTTAATTTGTCTGTAGGTCAGAGACAACGTGTGGTATGTACTATGAAATGGCAAGGTATACTCGAATAGATTAACTCAACACCGGTAGATACTGGCACATGCGTTATTTGCAAGATCCGATATATTTCTGTTGGATGACACCTTCAGCGGATTGGATAGTGAAACGGAGCAAACTATCTTCGATAATTTATTTGGATCCACAGGCCTAGTGCGGCGATTGAAGACTACTGTCATTCTCGTTTCTAACTCTTATAAGTTCTCCTTGGGCGTTCTTCAACGCAGTGTCTGACTGTGGAATTAGCTCAATACTTCCAATCAGCAGATCACGTCGTGGTTCTTGGAGACCATGGAGTCATAGATCAGGGGAATTGGCAAAATATCAAGATAAGAGCTGAGTCTATAGCAAAAATTTCTTCTGGAAACCATATCAAAGACAATGCTGCAGTATCGGCAGCTTCTTATAAACTTACCGCCCATGTTCGAGCAAAGAACGAAGCTGAAGCGGATCTTGCAAGACAGAGTGGAGACTCCGCCTTATACGGTAACTCCCGATCTTTCTCGGAGTTGAGGTGTAACTGATGTGAGCGTAGGATACTATCTGAACTTTGTCGGCTCGAAGAACTTTGTTCTCCTCATCACTTGCACAGCGTCATATGCCTTCTTCATCACTATACCCCAATACTATCTATAGCTATGGACCGAATCAAGTGGCAAGCATACTGTGTTTTATGTCTGTGCACTTCTGTCACTATCGTTCATGTCGTGGGTCTTAACAAGCTCTCAGATGTGGTAGGTTCATCGTAGACTTCCATGAGCTTATTGTTGTTAAAACCCTACTAGGATCGTTATTATACGATTAGCGCCGCAATCTGGGGTGCGCTTACATGAACGGCTTCTGCATATTGTAACGAGGTTTGTCTCTTTTGTCCCATGAAAGATAATCGGATGGTTTAGAAGAGACTGATAATTACTAGCGCGCCTCTTTCGTATTTTTCCCAAACCGACAATGGATCAATTTTGAATAGGTCAGCAGCTCATGCTCAGATGACAGATGTTGCATGAGGACTAAAATTCTCCTAGATTCAGTCAAGACATCCAACTGATCGACAGACAACTGCCATTAGCACTTCAAACTATTGCAACTCGTAAGACATCTATCGAAATGCACATGTCAAAATCTTCTGAAGGATCCTAATATACACAGAAATCTTCAAGCTCTTTATGCAACTCATACTTCTTTTCGTAGTTCAGAAATGGCTTGCAGTGTTCCTACCAGCCTGTATACTTGCAGTTTATGTCGTCCAAAAGGTCTATCTCTGCACCTCTAGACAACTTCGATTTCTGGAGCTAGAGGTCTGGGCAGGGGTCTTCTCGAGCTTCTTAGAATCTGTATGTATAATATTCTCATGGCCAATCTTCTTTATCTGACAGTTCCAGGTTGAGGGCCTCGAAACGATACGCTCATTTGGTTGGTCAAACGCAGTAATACAGGATAACATTATAAGTGTAAATAACGCTTAGTGTCCAGAATTTCTCCTCTTTTGTCTTCAAAGATGGTTTAATATTGTCCTAGATCTTTTAGCGGTGGCTTTTGCGACCAGTGTTGTCACCCTAGCTGTAGTATATCGAGATTGTGTTAGTGGTGCACAAATCGGAATCGCACTCAATATTATGCTTGTAGCAAACACAATCTTGTTGAAACTTGTAGAGAGCTGGACGACACTAGAAATTTCTCTCGGAGCGATTACTCGCTTAAGTACACTTGAAAACACGATACTCCCTGAAGGCGATGTAGCCTGGAATTTGGAGCCTCCTGAATCTTGGCCCTCTAGAGGGAATATCGAATTCAAGGATATTACTGCATCCTACCTGTGTGTAATCCTAACGAGGTCATTCTTACTGCTAGCTAAGAAGAGTAATAATCAGACCCAACTCGGTGGCTCTCCGGAACCTGAACTTGAATATAAGGTCAGGCCATAAAATCATCGTCTGCGGACGTACAGGCAGGTCCGTTTCTTTTCTCCACCGAATCTTTCGGAGACTCACTCTTGAATTAGTGGCAAAAGTACACTACTCTTGACGCTCTTACGGCTTCTCGAGCTGCAATCCGGCCAGATTGAGCTAGACGGATTCGACATCAAGAAAATCGCGCTCGATGTTCTGCGACAGCGATGCTTCATCACCGTGTCGCAAGATCCTCTACTTCTATCCAACGAGACCTTAAGGTTCAACCTGGACCCAGCTACTTCACTATCAAACGAAGCTTTGATTACCTTGTTAGAGAGAACAGAGATCTGGTCACACTTTCTGCAAGGGGCAGCTGAAATGAATGAAACCTTTGGAATAGTGTCAGGGTTTGTTGTTGATGTCTCGTCGCCCAACCAGCATCCAATCCTCGACAAAAATATTTCAGTGTTTCCGGAGCTGTCTGTAGGACAAGGTCAGCTACTTGCACTCTGCAGGGCACTCGCCAAAGCTCAGACAGCCCGGTGTTATGGTCGGAAGCCTGTTGTTCTGTTAGACGAAGTCACTTCTTCCCTTGATCCTGATACAGAGTCAATTATACAGTATCATTAACAATGAATTTACTCGGAAAGGGCACACAGTCATATGTGTTACTCATAGAATCGAGGTATTAGCAAAGCACACTGAGCCCGGAAGAGATGTCGTAGTATTACTGGGCAATGGCCAGTTGCAGGAAGTCATCACAGACTTAAATCCGACGACGTTGGAAAAACTCGGTAGATTAGATTAGATTGAATGACAGTAAGATTACAATCATTATGCCCTTGAATTTCCATCCGAGTGATTGTCCTATTTACTCCTCGTAAAATCGGTGAAGCAACATGTATCTGACGTAGTATCGAACTGAAATATCAACTTACCAGCAAAGCAGGTAAAGTTCTAGAGGCTTCAACTCAGAGATTCTTGTCTACTTCTCGTTAGCAACATCTCTACAACGACTCAGATACTGAAAGTTCCAACTGCCCAACTAATCAGGGGGGACATTCACACCACTTGGCCTTCTATGTATTATGTACCGGCTGGCTCTGAAATGAATTTTGCCTACTCAAATATTTATATGACGAGGTATAAATGTGTCCGTTTCGGGTTCAGCGCTTGTAGTTGTCGTAGTAATTTTGAACTCATAAAGAATGATATTTTGAAGATTAGTCGTGGCAGAGTTTCCTTGGCATATGTATTGGATGCGGTGTAGGTCCGTTGTGCGTTGCTGGGGCAACATGATGTTTGGCGATTTTGCGGACTAATGAGCTCCAACATCAAATCAACCAAAACTTTGACATGGTATAACGTTTCGCGATACAGTACATCAACCCAATCAACATTTTAATTGGTATATAAAACTCCTTGAAGAATTGGGCGAGGATTTGATTCTGTCAATACAGTTCTTTACTTCTCTGTTCATCTTGTAAAATCATTAATTACATTCCTCCCCCTGTTCGGTCTGATATCTACTCTTTGCTTGGAATCTTGGATGTCAATTAGATTGCAACCATGTCTGTAAGAGGTCAGTATTTCCACAACAGAATAATTCAGTCTCAACTCAAGCTTACCTTCAAATAAGTTGTTGCAAGGATACGTCCTCTCCTACCAAAGGAATTGGATAAAGATACCATCGTGCGCGCCGAGAGCAGTCAAGACAGCAAAACTTTCAATGTAGTCCGGATACCGAACCCTAAAAACGAGTCGGAGGAGTTCAGCTTTACCTTCAATGGCGTCTACGACATGGGAACATCACAAGAGGAGTTATTTACGAACGAGATTGCGCCCACGCTCAAATCATTGTTCCAAGGACTCGATGTTACACTGTTTGCATACGGGGTTACTGGGACAGGAAAAACACACACAATGCGCGGCGGGACGAAGTTGGCAGACCGTGGAATTATACCCCGATTATTGAGTGGAATTTATCGACGCGGTCGTAAGGTTGCCAAGGATTCCGATGAAGAAACATCGGTCAATGTTATGTTATCTTACTACGAAATATATAACGATAAAGTCTTCGACCTTTTCGAATCTCTGGATAAACGATCTCTTGCTGGTTTGCCTCTTCGAGAAAAGGATGGGAAAACAATAGTTGTTGGACTATCAGAAAGGTCCTGCAATGATCTAAACGATTTCGAAAAGTTATATATCGAAGCCAACAACAATCGGAGCACAGCGGGAACCAAACTTAATGCGCAAAGTAGTCGAAGCCATGCCATTCTGATGGTTAAGGTAACACAGACCACTGGTGATGGGAGTTTGGTCAGTACCGCATCCGCAATTGATTTGGCGGGATCAGAGGACAACCGGAGAACAGATAATGGCAAGGAGAGAATGATTGAGTCTGCAAGCATCAACAAGAGTTTGTTTGTGCTCAGTCAGTGTATTGATGCTATCGGCAGAGGCGACAAGAGAATTCCATATCGAGAATCCAAAATGACACGAATCCTTAGTTTGGGTCAAAACAATGGTATCACTATAATGGTTTTGAATCTTGCACCCTTACGTTCATACCATCTAGATACTTTATCTTCTTTGAACGTGAGTTCAAGAGCCAAGAGGATAGAGGTCAGGGAGATTGAGAATGAAGTGGTGTTCACGCAGCTACCCAGAAAACCAGCGGGAGCCAGCATGCAGCGACAGCCATTGAGACCTATCACGAATTCACATAACACTGTAACCAACCCAGCCGAAAAGGTAGATAAATCCGCCAAAGCCTTCTCTGTATACACAGATAAAAGCAAAGCAACTGTTGCCCGACCATCGAACAACACTCAACCGCTCCGCAGCTCGAATTTGAATAAGAAAAGGCCATCTGATGGGGTTATCGGCTCACGGATTACCAAAATCGCCAGGCCTGCGCCTTCCGGATATAAATCGACTACAGCTGATATTTCGGCGGCGAAGATTGAGGAAATGGTTGAGCGCAAGGTCTCAGAAATCCTCGCCAACCGTGCTTTACAACAGACATCAAACTCGGCACCCACTGAGATTAGTGAGGCGGTTCAGAAAAGACTGGAGGCATTGGAAAAGAAGATTGATGAGAACTCGGCAGAAGATGCAAGGTCGGAAGGGCTCAGGTTTCTGCTCATGGCGAGACAGCATAAAGAGCGCGGTGAAGAGACCAGCGCTCTAAAGATGTATGAGTAAGTTTTACCCAGCTCATCAAATTGTCCCGAGTGACTTTAGCTAATTCCATCCAGAATGGCTCTTCCTTTCTTCCCTGGCCAGGAGAAATTGCTGAAGAAGATTGAGTATCTCAGAACCAAAATCCAAGAAAGAAATACTGGTGTAGCAGCCAAGCATGTACCGGTAGACACAGATAGACGAAAGCCTACTGCTCCATTCTTACAGCTACCAAACCCCGCCAGTTCGTTTCAACAAGACGAAGAGGAACCACGACCAGTATCACGAAAGGGCTCAGTATCCTATGTCGAGTACGATGCGTCCTTTGTCCACCAGGAAGAGAATCACGAAGATGATGATAGCTTTCCATATCGAGCCACCAAGTCAAAAAAGACAAAATCCAAACCGACAATCAAATTACATGTATTTAACGATGAATCATCTATTGGCCCGCTGGACCCTCTCACACCTCGAACCAGACATTTATTAGATATCGTCAACTCCAGAGATGTTGCCATGATCAGAGGCCTTTGTGGAGTAGGTCCCAAGAAGGCTAGAGACGTTGTTGAATTTCTAGAGCTACAAAATGAGGATGACGGCGGTCAGATCAAGACTTTACAGCAGCTCAGAGCAATTCCAGGATTGGGGAGCAAAACGGTAGAACGGGCGTATGATGGGATTGGATTGTTGGTTTGAACTTTTTGGGTCAATTTTGTATTTGAAGATAGGGATTATCGTGGCATAGACGGGATTTTTGGAGCGGCATTAGTAGGAGTTATGATGGATAGGTCATGAGAATTAGCGAGCATTATTCAAATGGAGTAGTATATATTAGTTATTTTAAAGATAAAGATTTTCAAACACTTCTTCTTTCTGTGGTCTACCTTCGCCAACCACACACATATAAGTCAAGTGCCGAAGACTCGTGGATGCCTTCTACGGAGATTGACGTGAGATGAAGCCTGAGGGTTGACATTTACGCCGAAATTGAATCCTCTCGATCGAGTATTTAGAGAGGTAGCAGACCCAGCGGACTTTTCTCACTCTTGTTAATACAGTAAGAAAAATGAGATAAAGAGAAAGTGTTTAAAACACACAAAAAAAGAAACCCTCGCCGAGCATACTCGACTACAATAGAATCACGTAATTCGTTTCGTTTCGTTCGCTCCCTCTCTCTCTCATGCTTGCTTTTGGCCAGGACGTACTACGTAATTAACGAACAATGATGAGAACGAAATACGAAATGGGCATAGGGGATAGGATAGGCGGGGGATAAGATAGGTGGGCTCAATTGGGTTTATATGTACTGAGTAGGTAGGTATATAGATAAATATAGGTGGTTGTACTGAGTAGTTGTAATTTGTATTTAGCTGCTGGATGGCGTGGTGTGTACATACGGCGAGGGAGGAGGTGTCGATGCGTGATATCTTGGGCAGGTACGTTTGTATGTGTGTGTGATATATGATGTGTTGTGTGACATGTGATATGTGACGGGAGAGTCGAGAGTCGAGAGTTGAGAGTCGAGATTAATAAAGTGATGTTATGACCAGCCAGCTAGTCAGCCAGTCAGCTATCTGTGGTTGATAGTTGATAGTTAATGGTTGATCAACCAAATGACATGATATGATATGACAGTAATGGTGTGTAGCCGGAAGGAAAATTGTACTTGATTAGCCTTGGGTTTTGATGATATGGATAGATAGATAGAGAGAGGAGGAGAGGGGCAGAAGAGGCGAGAGAGAGAGAGAGAGAAAGGGGGCGGGTGATGTGATGTGATATGATGATGTGATGGCACGCAGATGCAGATTAGATCGCGCATCATGGATATCAGTGAGGTTACAATACTGAGTAGCAATACCTTTATATAGGCTAGGTGTTCGCCTAGCACCTGTCTCTTCATTGATTTGATTTAGGTAATTAATCTGCAGGAAATGATAATCTCTCTATTCGTTTATTTAAGGGTTAATATTTCTCGTAAGAGGTCCTGTAGGCTTTAATCTTCGAGCTAAACCTAAAAAATTAAACTTGATATAAATTTTTTTGGAAAATTACTATTTCGTACCCAGCAATACTAAAGAAATCAGTGTCATAATCCATGTTTACGGAACGAGAAGGAAAACCTCTCTCTTACGACCTGAGGCAAAAACTTGATATAAGCTTAGTCCTGATATGAATCATAGATTTTCATTGACTGCTAGGTAAATTTGAAGTAAAGTAGTAAAAGAGTCGGATATATAACAGATTCCGCTACCAATAATAGCCTAATCAAGGTCTATTAAGTAACACTACAATCCATGTTAGGACTAAACTTATCCCAAGTCTCTAAGTTCTGACGATAGAGTTTATATTTCGGCGCGGCACTTGAATTATATATATATATATATATATTGCACTACACAGATCATTAGGAAGCGAATATGAGCAAGGAGAGGATGGATCTTCAGCTTGTGAATATGAAACTTGTGTGTTCTGTACTTTTAATAGAAACTCTCATCATCGGCTCAACTCGCTATAGAACAACCGCCTAGTTCCTTCCTAGTCAAGGAAAGGAAAGCCGAGTATCCTCCCTAAGCGAATGGCCCCCTTCTATAATATAATATGGGAAATAAAAAAGACTAAAAATATAAGTAGGGTTTCACCATTTGGTGTAGATCTTACCTGGCTTTATGATTTAATCTACTTCTCTTAGCAAATATATACTGTTCAAAGGGGGACAATCGTTTGCGAAATACAATCGCTTTCCCTAACGTGGAACTAGGCAGCTGTTCTATTATCTATGGAGAACCCACTATGATATTTTGTTTAGCTATAATTGATCTAAGACCCATATGCCGGGGAGAAGGAGGTGTTCTTTAGGTTGTGTATTTAAAAATTTGAATATATCCTATGCTGTTAGAAACTATATATTTAGTCTAGCTATACCGGCACTATAGTTACTACTTAGTTCAAAACCCATGTAAGATTACTATGTATGGATAGAGTACCAATATAGGGACTACACGTGCGTATGCAAGTCTTCTGGCATATCAAACGACTCGTACATTATATCCTATCCCTGGCAATCCATTTGATATTGAATATTAAAATTAATATCAATACTATCCAGAGACATTTCAAGTTTAAGAACAGCGATGGTGAGGAATACATTGAAGGGGGTGGTAGTGGCATAGGATAGGTGCACTAGTCATGGTATAGTATGTTATGGTATGGTATGTATGGTGAGACATTTGGATGAGCCACAGATGTAGCATAAACAAACGAGTTCGAGTAGAAAGAGCTATGAAGATCATGGATAGCGTATAGCGCTCAGCTCAAACTCACCCATTTCATACCTTTCATATCTTTTATCCTATCCTTGGTATTTATATACCTATCTACCCACTCGTTATATATTTCTTCCTTCATACTCGAGTAGTTTTTTTTGTACATACCAATACCCCTCCCTTCCCTTCCCTTTCTCGCCCCCGCGATTAACACTTTACACTTTACAATTTACACTTTACACTTTACACTTACACTCGATCGAAAACAGGAACATGAGCTCGTGTTTACGTACGGGAACATACAAATACACATATACAGACACACACACTATGCAAGATCTGCAATATATCATCATACCATGTAACCCGACTAACTATCCCTAATCCCCATCCATATCAAACCACCTCGTCGCTTCCCTTTAAAGTCCACTCAGTTTTTCCCTTCACACTCACTCAGAACTGAGGCTCGTCACTCGTGTTCCCTCGATATAAGTCTTACTTACTAATCCACTCTGAATCACTCATTCCATACCATATCATACCACCAACAAAGCAGTTCCGCAGTTCCACAACTCAACTACTCGGTAGGAAAATTAAAATCTAGTCTAATCAAATCAAATCTAATTAATTCTATTCTATTCATTCTCCTTGTATTTATTCTCCTTGTAGTCAGTCAGTCATTTCTATCACTCACTACACAATTAGCACACACATACATACTAGCTAAGCCGAGTGATCGAGTTCAAGTTGCGTGCGGATTTTCTTTTCCGAGCGAGATGGATACGATAACACCGTTCTGTACATTCTAGGAGCCTCATTCATCCTAGTCTTGTCTCTTGTTTCCTAGTCTTGTTAACTCATTTCTCTCAACTCCTCCCCTTCCTCCTCCCTCAACTCATCTCATCATAGACCTATTTTGTTTTCTTCGATATCTTATATTTTCCATCTTCCATCTTCCTTCATTCTCCTCCCCTTCCTCCTCCCCTTCCTCCTCCTTTTCCTCCTTTCCTTCTATCTTCACTCTCCACCCTCCATTTACCCTCCACTCTTTATCTATCACCCATCAAAACATCCCCCATATAAACCAAACCAACCAATCAATAGCCAACCAATCAACAACCATCCATCCATCGAATCAATAACCATTATAATCAAAACATCCATCCCACCAATAACCACAGCCCCAGGCCAAGTATATATTAATTACAATAAACTTCTCTTCTTTCTTCTCTTCTTTTTCAAAAATCAACAACATCCCCCATCTCCAGACTAGACCAGTAAGTAGATCCCTCCTTTCTCTCTAATACATACATCTATCCAATCGAACCAATTCATCCAATCCAATCCAATCCAATCCAATCCATCCAATCCAATCAATATTAATGCCAGGCCCCCTTCCCTCCCCTCCCCTCCCCTCAAATCTATTTATCCATCCATCCATCCATCCATCAATCTATCTTTGTCTATCTCAATTCTCAATTCTCAATTCTCAATTCTCAATTCTCAAAAAACATATTCTTCAGAGTAATTAAAGTAAGATAAGATACCCACCCACCCATCCAAGCAGCGCAGACAATTTTACTAAATTAAGCTAAGCGATTTCATGGGATGTACCTACCTACCTACGAGTAGTTTAGAATACATACTCGAGTACATTATATAGCCTTTTACTGTTCTATATATTAAACCCACCAGTTAAACCTACCTAGTACTAGACTGCCACTACTCGTACAGCTAATACAAACATTCTCTCTCCCCCCCTCCCTTGAGCCATTCCTATCCCCATTCCCATCCCCATCCCCATTAGCAATTATTACCTAGTACTCAAGTACTGACTAAGTATACCAAACTTGAAAGATTCAGCTTTCCTTTCTCACCTTCACCTTCACCTTCACCTAAACATTTCATTGCATATTGTGTTACTCGAGTAGATTTTTCACTTCACTTCACTTCACCATATCATCATATCATATCATATCATACATATCATATCATATCAAATCATATCACCCAGCCCTTCCGAACAGGGAAATGAATAATAATAAATAATAAAGATGAAATTACTAACTATCGCGGTTGTACACACTCAAGAATCAAGATCGTTCCAAAACAAACAAAAACAAAAAACACTACTGTACCCCATGGGCCAATATCCAAAAACAAACTAGGTACCTATACCATAGTCCAAAAACAAAAATACGCCAATAACTAACGCCACCGTTGCCATGAGGCGCGCGCATCTGTGTACCCACCCTTCTGGGATATCCTAAGTCATAAAGGAGATAAAAGACAAAAGAAAAACGTGAAGTTCGTATGCTTCATGAAAATCATGTACAAATACAGTAAATGTAATTGCATCAAATACCGTAATACGTTTGTTTGGCTTTTAGGGCCGTGATTTAGAGAAAGAAAGATGCGTGAGAAGTGCTTTCGATAAAAGACCCATTGCAAAAAAGTGAAAAGGACAGCCTCCACCCTCCTCAATTAAGATCAGATTGAGATCAGAGCCCTGATCGGTCTCTCAAGATTTTGCAACCATGTATATGTTTTTCTTCCAACATAACGGAACTGGAATTTCAAAATGCGACATTGACGCCTTTTAAGCCCAAACCAAACCCGATCCTAGGCCGTTACAGATCCATAATAATTACATGACCGTCTCCACCCAGGTCTATGGGGGTATCATTGAACAAGTGATGAAATGAAAAATTAATTAGGTGAATTAGAAAAATAAGCACAATTCGTATCCTGCCCTCTCAAGCATGTTTCGTGGCTGAAAGTTTTGAACCTCTAGAATGAAGTCTTGGCCATCGGAAAGCTCACGTACAACATCATCGTCCATCTTAACTCGTAAACCACTTTCAAGCACACGAGTAGTCCGCCATATTTTCGTAGGTTCAATATTCCATTTCAATGCGATGGCATCAGTGAAATCCTTGAGTGTTCGTTGCATCAAGTATATAGCTCGATGAAACTCATCTTTGCCTGGTCGAGTCGGATCTCGATGGAGTACGTAAAAACAAGCGACGGGCTTGATAGTTCGTTCCAAGATAGGCGGATTGTAAGATGGATCAACATCCAAAGCCTCAATCCAGACATTCAGATTTCCAGTTTCATCTGACTTGGGAACCCTGGTTAGCTGATCTGGTGGACTCGCCAAACGTTGCGTATTTTGTTTTTGAAAGTCTCCTAATGGTGGGTTATGGAAATCACCCCAGGAAGCTGAAGGGTTGGATGCAGATGCAGATGCAGATGCAGCGGCTTGAGATTGATAGGAGGAGTGAAGAGAATTTGAACTGTGCGAGGGAGAGACGATGGACGAGGTATCAGTAGTCGAGCTACGTGCGCTCCTCGCGGCCCAAATGGCGTTGTCTCCAGGATCCACTTTAGTCAAGTCCAGCGGTTCGCCAGCTAAAGCCACTGGATGCAAATCAGGGTCGTCTTGTTCCGATCCGCGTAAGTAGAGTACGCTAACTATTCGTGGGCTGTCGAACATATCTCGCTGCGTTCGAAGTTTGAAATGAAGATCCTCCTCCGGCGCTTGTCCACCTGCAGAAGATGCAGAAGACACGGACCAAGTCCGTTTATGCTTTTTAGTCTTGCCAGGTCCCTGGTCTAACAATAATGGCTTTTGTGGCTTTGCAACTGCACCTTTCTTTCGCTTTCCAAAATCTTTCATACCAGTCTCTGCTTGACTAATTTGCTGTTCTAGCTTTTCAATTGTCTTTTTAACGTGCGCAATATCGTTGGACAACTTCCGCTCAGCGCCATGATCTCTAAAGAGCTTTACTACGCAGTAAGCGACCTCGGCGCTTTCATTAACATGTTGTTGAGGATCAGACTCTAGTATTTCGGTTTTCGCGCAAAATCGTAGTGGGATTCCCTTCACACCCTTTGAGTGGCTGAAATCCGTAGAAAGGAAGTTGAAGCGAACTGCAATGTTGCATTCGGGGGAACCAGTGATACTGGGGGTCCAAATCACAGAAAACCCGTCAAAAGAAGCTGTGTCGAGCTCCACGCGTGCTCGCTTGCCATCACTTTCAGCAGGCTGTCCGGCTTCAACATATTCAACAGCTTGAAGCTTTCCGCCACGTTGGTGCGCCTCGTTAGTACCTCTTCCTTCCTTCCATAACTGCCAACACGAAGTAGGTTTTTGCGACTGCTCTTCATCTTCGAATGAGATGCGTATAAATGTTCGGTAGCGAGTTCCTGGAAGACGTGGTCGATCCAATGCAGTATCAGTGATGGATAAGGAATATGCCTGTCCCTTATTGAGATATGTGACGGGAATCTCACTGGCATCTTTGATCATGGCCGTTGGAGCACTCAAGGTTGCGTGGAAACGAAAATTCTCGGCAGAAGAAGGGACTGGAGCATACGTAGCCGGTCTGTACGATCGTAGCTGGGAATCCAACAATGGGGCTTGGTGCATATTCAACTCGATTGAACCAAGCGGTCCTTCGTCGTCGACGGGGGATCCTTCGTGGTCCATCGTTTCGTAGCCTGTGTCCTGATGAACGAAAGTGGATGGCGCGAAAGAGGTTGCCTGTAGTTGCTGGACTTGTTGTTGATGATGCTGGAGAGGGTTCATGAATTGGTTGTAAGGCGGAAATTGGTGAGCCATATGCGGATGACCATAGATAGGCGAGAACATGGAAAGATTATGATGAGTATGGTCACCAGCTGTCGAAGTGCAAAGCGGAGACGTTCCGAGTCCCATGCCATTCATACCCATACCCATAAGAGGCGTGTGGAGATCTCCAGCTTGACTCTGATATTGAGCGTTCGGTCCTCCCGCTGTAGGTGTATAATAACCTGGTATTTGATAGGGAAAGGAGGCAGAGGAGTAAGAATTCGGGTCGGAGGTATCAAGTTTCCATGGGTCGTTCTGTGCTCTGGGTGTTGGATCTGAATCTTTCATCTCTTCACTTCCTAGACCGTGAAGACTGTAAATATGTTAGCCTATGTGCACGAAGAAATATAAGTAACCATGAAATGCTTTTGTATTCAATCCAATTTTCATTATAAAACAACTCGAAAGCCAAGAAGATTGCGTTGGATTTCTAGGTACTTGCCTGTCTGGCCCACCCGCAGGCGCGGTTAAGTGAGTAACATCATCCACGTCCTCAGCAGCAGAGGTTGAACTCCCGATCGCTGGATACGATTTTCGAAAGCTGGCGATGAAATCTTCACCAGGTTTTTGTGATGAATTCCTGTAGAAAGAGAATGTTAAGCTTCGTTTCAATGTGCAATGCACTGAACGGAGACCTCTCTAAGAAGCGCATTTTGATACGCCGAAGCAAAGCAATAAGTACAATGGATAATAAAATTTTAAACTCACCGATTGGCAAACATGTAGAGACGTGATGATTAAAAGTTATTAAAAGTTATTTGAAGCTCTTCTAAGCTCTTTTAAACCAAATTTGGGCGAAGCGATGGTAAGAGAATCCCTCCGTAGTAAGGTTCTGTAGAATTGAGTTGAAGTTGAAGCGAAGGTAGAGGGGGAGGGGTAAAGATTTAAATGTGAGCTAAAATACGAGAAGCCAGTGATGAGAATTCAATCTTTCTCTCTTTCGATTACAAACAACTATGACGAAGCGATAGCAATGTGTAAAGGTGAAGGAGAGGGAAGGCGAAGATGAGGGTTGAAGATGAGGGTTGAAGGTGAGGGGTAAGGTTGAGTGAGGGTGATACTCGAATTATTGGATGGATTGGATAGATAATGAAACTTTATCTGTCTGATGGCGAATGGTGGATATCTTAACCGAAGAAGTTCATGTGGGTGAAGGTGAGGGTGAGGGTGATACTCGAGTCGATGGATAGATAATAAATGTTTATCTGTATGATTGCGGATATGATGGTGGATATCTTATTAAATGAAGAAGCTCACGAGGGTAAGGGTGGAAGTGAGAGTGAGGTTGATATTCGAGCCGAAGGATAGATAATAAAGGTTTATCTGTCTGATGGCAGGCGGGTATGTGATGGCGGAAAATACCTTAAGATGGCAAGCGGATATGATGGCGGATATCTTATTAAATGAAGAAGCTTATGAGGGTAATGGTGGAAGTGAGAGTGAGGGTGACACTCGAGTCGATGGATAGATAGTAAAAGTTTATCTATCTGATAGCAGGCGGGTATGTATGTGATGGCCGATATCTTATTAAATGAAGTAGCTTATTATGAGGGTAAGGGTGGAAGTGAGAGTGAAGGTGATACTCTAGTAGTTGGATAGATAATTAACAGCTTATCTATCTGATTGATGAGAAAGTAAGAGTGAAGATGATACTCGAATAGATGAATAGATAATAAAAAATTTATCTGTCTGAGAGCGGGCAGATAGATATGATGGTGGGATATCTTATTAAACAAAAAAAGTTTATGAGGAAGTGGGGTGAATTGGTGATTGTATTTTAGGAGATGGGGAATTAATAACTTATGGACTTATTTGATTGAATTGGCATCATGACAGAATCTCCCTTCAAGGATTATTTTGGCTTGATGTACTAGGTAGGTAGCTTATTGGTTGAATTGATTCTTGGAGAGGAAAAGAGGTCTAGGTGCTTGGACAGAATTGAATTTTATGGGTCCAGACTCCAGATCTAAACCATTATGAGTTATAAGGGCAAAATACAAAAATACTTATAACAAATTAACTAACAAATAAGGCGATAATTACCTACTCGAGTAATTATAGCTTAAAGGTAACACTACTTAGATTAGACTCTCCTTAATTTATACTGGTGATCATACGGATATACCAAAGCAATACAGTTGGTAGCAAGCAAATCATTAAACAAAGCAGCAACAAAGCCAAAAAGCTTCTTACTTCTTACTTCTTACCATCGTCATTCCTCATTAACCCCTCGATCGTCACCCCTTGTCACTTTTCATCACCCAGAACCCCGTGAAATGTGAAAAAAGTGCATGCATGCTTGATTGAGCCTTGACAATAAATGCAATAGCAATCGGGGGACACCCCCGTAACCTCCGTAAAATTATGGATTTGTTATTGTGGGGCTGAGCTTTTTCCTCCCCCTTGCATACGGAGTTTTACCTTAATGAGGCAATTGGGATATAGAGAGACGACGTAGGTATTCTTTAACCTCAGCCATAGCCATCAACCACATGATCAACACAATAAATTTATCGATTGCGAATCTCAAGATGTGGCAAATGAATGAAAATGATTCGTTTGCCGGTACAGTACAAGGAATTCCATTTTTTTTTAATAATCCTTTCCGTACCTAGGTAGCTTAGCTTACAATAATTAAGCATTACCTCCCTACCCAGTAGTCAGTCAACGGGGAGTCCATCTCACACTCTCCAATCATAATCCGATCTCAATCATCCTTTTTCTAAACCATCGGGATTTAGAAATTTGGAGAGAATTATCCGCATACAGAGGTTTTGCCTCCTTTGCACCGCTACTTTACCTAAACGATTCCCATCCCAATTCAACGAATCAACAAGCTCGCTTGCAATTTTTTTGGTCATTAGAAAGAATCCTTTTGGCTAACTCAATAAATTTTTCTTAGATATGCCTTTCAATACTCATTCCGCCAGAAAGTTCGCACCTCGGGTAAGCTAAGTTAGTATGGAGTACTTAGGTAGCTTACCCGAGTTGCAAACTTTCTGGTAGTATGAGTACTATATATACACTAAGTATCTAATAATGACCCTGAGATCGCCCTTGGGCCAAGGTGGCATGCTTGATCGTCCTCAATCTCAAGAATTGGGGCTCTGGTCTAGTGTATTGCAAGCCACATGCATATCCAAACCACATGTAAGTCTAAATTTCTCATTCTCCAGTTTCCATCTTGTGGCGTTTCAGCCAGAGTAACCAATATTTTTTTAGGGGGGTTTTCTTATCCATTCTATTAGTTTCGATTGCTTCGGACTTTGTCCAGATGATGTCAAAACCTTACATTTTCATTGAGTATGTATTTGCACAGCCACCGCCACAAATTTCCAGCAACAAACAAAGAAATGCCACAGCATCTAGTGAGCCACAACACTAGTGAGCCACAATTACTGTAGTGAGCCGTCCCTTCGAGCCACAGTTTGTTTGAAGGCGCCGCTGTGGCGGATCCATCCACCTATCGCATCGGAGATGTAGTAAAATCCGAGACAATTTTCAATTTTCACATGGATGTGTGATCTCCGTCCGGAAGAAAGGCACTCACTAATTACTCGTAGAATTTTGCGATTCCGTCATACACGATAGGATGAGATATGAGTGCAGCATGGATGAATGAATGGATGACCATTGTATTGGGTGGGCCATGGGCAAACGACGAGTACAAAGTCTTGGCCAATATTTCCCATTAGCTGTGAATAGAAGTTAGCGCATAACTAACCTTAATGAAGTTGTTGTATTCCATGTCACCTGCCGAACACAACACCTGCCGCGGTTCGTTCACAATCGTCTTCTCCATACGTTCGTTCTGAATATGCTGTAAAAGCTAATTGCATACTCATTGAGTCATACAGCATTATCCCAGCTACTATTCGATCAAGATTCAATTACTGATTCTATTAGCCCCTGGTCCTGGATAGACTGCAAATCTCTAAAAGCTCAAACACCTAGTCTTATTAGATATTAGACCCTTATTAGTGAACTTGAGGTCTTGAGGTCTTGAGGTCTTGAATATATTTTGCTAGCGTTTACCAGTAACCCTTATTGGTCAATAACCAACGATATTATAAGTTTTTATTAAAAATTATAAAAAGAAGAATTAAATAACTTTTACTTAAAATCTATTTAAACTTAAAAAAATTTTCAAATTTATAATATAAATTTTTATTAAAATCTTTAAAAATGAAAGTTAAATCATTTTACAATTCTTTGAATTAATACTTATTTAATATTCTAAAGAATTATGAACTTCTATTAAAATCTCTGTAATTAAATTCATTAAATTAAAAGTCATAAAAACCTAAAAATCACTATTTTTAATATAAAAGTATAAAGAATAATAAGTAAATCAACTAGTATACTTTTTGATAAAAACTTTCAATTATTTTCTACTAATTAAGATATTATTCTAAAAAGTTTAAATATTTTATATAATGATTTGTTACATTTTGTTAAGTTATTATTAGCTTTTATATAAAGGATTTCAATCAATAGCCTGGAATTGTACCCTTTTGGCCCTGACTCAACCTGTAGAACCTAAATACCATAATGACTCGTAACAAAAAGGGTGGCCCTAAAGGGGGAGTGGCCGAAAAGTAGGGTAGTGGACTTATGCTCAAGATTCCTATTCTTGGCGTCTTCAATAATGTAAATGTTTCAACAACAAGAACAGAACTAATTGAGTTTCTAGGTATGCTCAAAACCTCTATTCTTGGCCGTCTTCAAAAATGTAATGTTTCAACAAGAACAGAACTTAATTTGATATTCGGTTCGATCTTCAAACTCTAAATGTCGGTCCGAGCCTCGGCTCGTTTTCCTTCCACTGCACTGCCGAGCTGATATCGAGCCATAGAATCATAGAGTCAAGCAAAACTACCTACCTAACTTCACAAGACATTGGATAATTGATAATTGTTTAGGCCAGGTAGATAGGATAGTTGCAATTTACATGAGATGAATTCCGCATTTGACATGAGTGTCCTTATCTAAGTAGCACCTTTACTCTTTACTACCTCCTACAGTACTTACTACTAGGTAGGTAAGCATTCTTCCTCACATCTCTCCAACAGATTCAACCGTCCAACCACCCACCTACCTCCCGAGAAAGGAAAAAATTACCCACTCACTCACTCACCCACTCATACACAAAAAACCTATACAAGTAAGGTTATTACAATCTAGATCTAGATGCAACTATTCTATTCTATTCTAATGCCCAAAAATCGAGCCATGCCATGCCATGGCATCCGTAGATAAATAGTAGAACCATCGCGAAATTTCGATCCTCTTCCCTCCCCCCCATGCTGACTGACCCCTCTTCTCTTCTCTTCCCGTCCTGCGATACGATATGAGTTGTACAGTCCAAATATCCAAAATTTGTCTCGGTACATACTCGTACTGCATATATAGATATAGTTCGCATCGCATCTAGGCGATACGATACGATACGATACCGGTACAGACAATATCAAGTGATCGAGTGATCGAGTGCGTGTATGTGATACCCTTTTTCTTTTCTTTTCTTTTTTCACGATACTGTACTTGTACTGTACCGGTACACTCACTCACTCACCCATCATTGTACAGTGCACTGTGTACATACACCGCTAGCTAGTGACGTCGGACAGATAGATATGTTTCAGCCACAGGCCGCCTTAATCGGTATGTACAAGGGTATTCCCAAAAAAAAACATCCCGCATGTGGTGGATAATTGCACTCTGACATATGGGCTTTTTCCGAAAGGGAATAAAATTCCCCGCTGTTTGTTACTCGAGGATACATCAATTAGAGGATAACAATATCACTTGTTATTATTATCACTATTAAGAGAAAACAATCTTCTTTTAACTATGAGTTCCTCTTCTTCTATTCTTATTTTAGAATTTTTATTTCCTTACATATCTTATTAACAGATCTCGATATCCAATTCTCTAACGAGGGAAGATTTTCATTTCTTCTATCCGATATTCCCAAAAAAATTTAAAAGTAGAAGTCCACATAAAATCTTTTCTTCAGTTCAGTTCAGATTCGGCGGTTGGTTACTGTTCCGCCAACGATTCAACCGGCCACTTTATTTAAATTTCCATCATGATTGGTGACTCCTCCTCCTCCTCCAGATTTCGATAATTCAAAAAAGAGCGTCGAGATCAAATCTAGGCCTTTCTACCTAATGCAACAGCCAGCTGGTCACCGCCCACTGGGAAACCCTCCCCCCTCTTCATGCATTTCGGTTGTAAGACCAGACCCTAAAAGACCCTGCGGACCCTGCGACCTTTACCCTGCGACCTGCCGACCTGCCGACTTATTTTTATTTTTACCCTGTGGCCTTACCAGGCTAACTTACCCGGGACCCCTTATCAACGTTTCTCCCAGTCATTACGATCGAACGATCCAATTAAACTTTACCTATCCTATCCCAAAACCTTTCTATCTGATTCTCACCGAGGGTTTGGCGTACATCATGATCATCGATGGGTTCGGTTCGATCTCTCATAGATCACAGTTTATTCCAAAAAAAAAAAAATGATGCCATCATAGTACAGATACTGACTGATACTCGTAGATATATCGGTGTCGTCATTTGGCAACACTGCAGGTACAGAGGATAACGGCACATGATCGGAATATCGGCATGATTTGGTTTGGTTTGTGTTACGTTGGTTTGGTTATGTAACGTCAATCTGATTCTTGGCAATTATTTCATAATATTTACTGAGTTTGCATAGATACTTATGTCACCAGAAAAGTCCGCACAACTCGGGAATTAAGACTATGTTACTAGTACCCTTGTAGTTTACCAGTATATTACAGTATGGTACATGCTGGTTTACCCGAGTTGCGGACTGACTTTCTGGTGGTATAAGTAGATACAGTAGGTAGGTAGATAGGTAGGTAGATAGGTAGATAGATAGGGCAAAAGAAAAGTTTATCGAAAGATTTGTATATATAAATTTATTGAAAAAGAAGCTGTAATATCAATGTATCTATCTTACGAGGTGAGGTCTTAGATTCATTACATTCATTATATTCATCACTCGAGTTATTGATAATACTCGAGTATACATGTATGAGTATATGATATCCCTTCTACGAGGATAAAATAAATAATAATGAAAGAAAGAACAACGATTTGATTTCGAATAGTACTATATTATATACTCTAACATATGCTCGAGCTAGGTATTGTATTCATTTGCGGGGTAATGTAAGGTTAAGTTATCTAAGACTGTACTCGAGTACGAGTATTAATAAGAAAGTTCTTGCGAAAGATAAAGTGAAGATGTTTCGCGTTTCTTCTCTGAGAAGTTTGAGAAGGGAAGGGAAGGGGGAAGGGGGGAAGGGGGTCTGATTCTGTAATGTGATCTCAATTACTCAAACGTGGGTGGTGGGTGGTGGGTGCTATAAGAGCGCCTTTATAAAGAGATATACCTATGAGTACAGGTAGTGGCTCACCCGATTACTGTATTGTACTGTACGAGTATTGTTGAAAAGTACTCGTACATACCGGTACTTTCATTTTTTTTGTTTTCATTTTTTTTTGTCATCGTCGTTATATCTCTTCTCTTCTCTTCTCCTCTACATACTAGGTAGTTACTAACTACACTGCTACAGTAGTAAGATAGGACCGCCTAGTTTGGTTAGCAACAGACTATACTATACTATACTATAATATAATATAATCAGGACTACCTAATAGATAGGTAATTATGGTTGGTGTATTTATCTACCTACCTACTTATCTACCTAAGCCCTCAGATCGGTGCTCGGTGCTCAGTGAGCGTTTCTTTTAGTGTTGAGGATTTCTATGCTGTTGTTGTTGTTGTTGTTGTTGTTGAAGTGGGTATAGTATCTCATCTTGTTCTATTTTGTCCTGTTTGTCTGTCTGTCTGTATGGCTACAAGATACAAGATACGAGAGAACACAATAAATATGTATGTGATTAAGATGGAATCAGAGGTACTATGGCGTATGCAGGATGGAGATTGGAGGCTGAAGGCCTGAGCCTTTAAGTGAGTGAGTGAGCGAGTGGAAGGAGTGGAAGGAGTGAAAGAAAGTATATACGGATGGATAGATGGATAATGGGGAGGAGTTCGAGAATCTAGATTACTGTACCATTTTTTTAAAGATTAGATTAGACTGGTTTGCTTGCTTGTTTCTTCGACTCTGTGAATGTGAATGTTAATGTGGATGTGAATGTGGATGTGAACCATTATTTTGCTTAGAGTTAGGTAGGTAGGTACTTTTCTCTTCTACTTTTCTACTTTCAGTGCATCGATATGATTTTCATCAGCCGCTAGATGGATAACATATCTCTGCTATGTATAGACTCGGACACTCGAAATATTCGACTATCATGAAATCCTGAACTCCTGAAATCGAGGTTCTTGAAGTGGTAAGTAAGTAGTAAGTAAGTAGCTTGGTTGGTTGGTTTCTTTCATTATCGGTTTTCCGATGATGCTGATGTGCATGTTTGAAGTTTGAAAAGAGCTGGTGTTACTTATTGGATTGTGATGAAGAAGTGATGAAGGAGTCCATCATATAGGAAAAACGAGGTGGAAAAGGTTATAAGTTTGTATTACAGATTCAAGAATTGATCTCGAATTCAATTGAAATACATAATAGTGATCTAAGAATAATGAAGCAATAAATAGCTTGATATCTTTTATCCAAAGCTTTTCCTTCCTCGATATACAAAATTTGAAAGATCTCTTGCTACTAATCGAATTGATATTTCTTTCTGATGAAGGAGTTCACTTAATGCCTATTATATAGGAGAAGCGAGACATTCTTGATAAATAAATGTGAAAAGAGTTTTCACTATTAATCAAATTGATATTTCTCTCTGGAGTCCACTTGATACCCATTGCTCAGGAAAAGCGAGACAGAGGAGATTATAGATTTATATTAGAACTTCAAGAATGGACTTCGAATACAATTGAAATATACAACAGCGACCTAAGTATACATTGTAAAGCACCTACTGTAGAGCTCCTTGGTTCACCAGCGAATATAGGCCCATTATTAGCCGCATGAAGCTATCCAGGAAGATCATATACTAAGCACACAGAAGCGGGCGTAATGTGACTAGGAAGAGACCCTCGAATCGATTCCTTTGGTCGCCGAGTGACTTTACAAATTTGCAGATATTTGAAAGTTAGGAAATTGAGAAATGCAAGAAAAACGTTTGACAAAAATCGTTATGAAGAACTTCTAGTTCATGTACGAGTAGATGGCCCAAATAAACTTTGATCACTGGTTCAAGTAAATGGCCCAAATATGCTTTGATCGCTGATACTAACTATGGAACTTATGGAAGTTCATATCTCGGAGTACGTCTTGACAGTAATATAACATAACGCATGAGAATCTGGTTAGGGAAGTGTTTAGACTTCAGAAGAGGGGAGCATTGATGAATTTACTATGTTTCGAAACGTGGGTTTGGGGGTTGAGGGGTT